GCACTTGCTCGCGTATCACGGGGCTCATATTGCATTCAAGAGAGGACAAACAGTGTGCCTCCTTCTCACCCCTGCACTTTCCCGCCACTCAGCCCACATGGAAGTATCTTTTATCGTTTTTTCCCATCATTCCGTCGCCGTGACAAACGCAGGAGTGTCATATGAATTCCTCAGGCCTCAACTTCTGCACAGTCGATGCCATCACTTTGATACCATCAGCGCATTTTCCCATTCACACCACGCAAATTAACGCGACACCGCGCATCGTTATCAAGTGATACGCGCTGTGCGCATTCTTAAACACTCCAGACCACACATGCCGACTGCTCGTGGTGTTGCGAGCACGCACTGTTGGGATTGTTGGTGCTTTTTACGACGCGCCTCAGCATCCCTCGCAGGTTTCTGGGATTTGCCAGGAAGACAGTGAGATTGGAAACATGTGGCGGAAAGGGAAAGTGAATTGGGGACCCCGACAAGGCTACACGTCTACATAATTAATGAGGACTTTATGAAAAAATCAAATGGAAATAAAACCAGAGGAAATCCAGATAGAATTGCAGACATGTATATTGTGGCGAATTTATGGGCGAAACACTCTTGCAACTGAATTTTATATGTCGCCAATATATTTTCCGCACAAATGTGATTTTCAAGGTTGGCCAAATTCAATATTGACGTGGAAAAGCACAGCAGAATTTTCAACCAGCAAAACATATTTCAGAGAACTTTATATCAAGAGAGCTCATCAATTTTTGAGAGAGAGAAAGAAAGAGAATTCTTACATCGACAGAGGAAACAACATTATGAATATTTTTCTTCTAACAAAATTCCTCTGAGTCCAATTTTCTCCGGACGCCAAAATAACCCACCGAAATACCTTCGTCATGATGCGCCATGCATGCAATCTTAAGCCCCGAAAAAGATGATTGTTTGCGGTGAAAGAGTTCACGGTGGATTGAAAAATTGCCCTGGCACATCTTGAGGACGTGGTGAGGCAGTGAGACAGTCGGGATGGGGTTTCATTAGGGCATTTCCGTGGAGAAATTTTTGGTAGTACAACACACACACACAGATCATATGTGCTCCCAATTTGAGGACTATTTGTTGGGTGATTTTCGCTCCACATCCAACGCAGGTAAAGTGTTTTGTGGTTAAACCGATAATTCGATCCAGTGAAGACGAATATTGGGCACAGGCAGAGAGGAGCAAAAGAGGTAAATCACTCGTCAGAGCGTAAAAATCAAATAAATAAATAATCATCCGCCATGTCTGCATCTCCGCCAGTGTGTAATACTGTCTTGTGGTCACGGAGTGGCATTAAAATGCGATTATCATAATGTGTAATCCTCCGTGGTGTATTATGGCGCGCGGAGGGAAGTTTTACAGCAATAAATGGTTTAGAGGTATAAAAGATTGTGATAATGATGATGGAAGAAGCGAATCCTGAGCCTTTCAGCCCGAAAAGGGGGCCCTCAAATTGCCTTCTCGGAATCATAATAGAGAATTCCATCTTCTCGTCTCCTAATCAATTTTTCAAGCGCATCTCATATCACTTGCATATGAGAAAATGCACATGCAATGTCGGCCGGAGAGATGGGGAAAATACAGCGCGGGGGAGTTCCTCTGGTCGCAGCGCTGTGGTCGGAAAGTTCTTGCATTATTCACAGCTCTTCCGCTAAAGATTGCGAGTGTTTTGCGCAAATTGCAAGGCCACAGAGCACGAGATTAGTTTCGCAACTAAGCTTCCTGCATAGTAAATTCTCACCGAGGGATTCAATTACCCTACTTGGTAATCATCCTAAGCACTCCTCGTTGCTTCTCTCAAGTAAGTCTTGAAGCTAAAGAAGTATCAAAGGGGAGTTAGAAGCTCAGCAGAAGTGATAAACTTACAATATTCCTTTTCTGCGTGCTTCTTTGACTGATTAATCATCCAGATTCTTAGGATTTCTTCTGAATTGTACGAAGAAACAATGATTTTTCTAGGTTTTGTAATGAATCAAGAACAGATTTTGTAAATAATAACGCCAAGATGCCAAAAATCACTGTAAATTGTGTTGAAGTCGAACATAACCTCAAAAAGAGTGTTGTTGACTTGGAAAATCTTTATTTTAACCACTTTCTGCATGATTTTAACTCTGAATTTACAATTTTGAGTTTACTGGCAACTCATTAAAGATGATTTTATTGTCTAGAAAGCTTCCAATTGAAGTCTTTGAGCGGGTTAATATTTGCCGATTGATATTGCAAAATCGAACTACACTTTCAGCGACAATATGATTTAAATTCTACAAATATAAGGAGCTTCGCGTGAGGTTTTTGGATACAAAGCAGAGTCTATGTTTCGATCTGCAATTCAATAAAGCAATTCTCCAAATCTCTGCCATCTCGCGAGTTGAACTTTATTCGTTTTCCAATATTCAATGCCCCACTAAATAATGTTCGCGAGGCCTTTGCGAAAGCACATCTCGCTCTTTCCCATGGGACGCTGGCGGAGTGACTATATTTTCTGGGTCTTCCTCATTTGTCTCTCTGATCACAATCATCGGCGGAATCATGAAATATCAAGGCACTTAGGTGAAAATTTTCTCTTTGCCAGTGCAAAAGAAGATGAGCGCGGGGGAAATGCGGTGACAGCAATGCTGCACGTTCTTGCACAACAAATGGGCGACAGTTGATTGAGCGAATTAAAGAGAAATTTTTCCCTGGAAAAAAAGGTCCGCGTGAGTGAATAATTGTGTGGCACACAATCAATTGGAACACATGAATAGAATTTGCATAATAAGTATGTATGTGAGCAATTGTATGAGCGGATGGTAACATTCTTTCACCAAATCAATTGACATTCAATGCTTTGCGCACTCGAAGGTGTGACCGTATTAGGAAGACGTCTCGAGAAAATCAACCGTTCCCAAAAAATCTTATTCATCTCTCGGCTCTCTCGACTTTTGGGGCTTCGCGCGCCGAGGGAAAATAATGGATGAGTTCATATGTATTGTTGGAGGCAGAAAATAAGTAGATTTTCAGACCGATATCGCCGAACACGTTCGTGTCAAACATTTACCTGTCTTTTATTATTTTACCTCTCTTGCTCGCCTCGCGGTCGGTAAATGTTCACTTCTCACGTGGCGATGCTCCGCCGACAATTTAAGAATCCAGAATATTCTTTCCTCCGCGGGGCGGAAAAAGGGAGAAAGAGACGAAGATGATTATAACGAAAAAGACAGGGGAAATGTACAATAAATTCGTGACATAGACAACGTGAATCGTGACATTCAGAGTCTAAAATTGTATACGGATGGAAGATGCACCTTTAACACAATTTAACGCTGAGACTCGCGTGCTTTTTTTCCTCCTCTGCCCATTCTCACCATCCTTTTGTCTCTCACTCTCGCAGCGGATGAGCGTATATGGTAATTTTTCAAGACGTCCTCGAAAGAAAAGCATGATGTATGTGTTCCCAAATGGTGGAGAATCCAGAGTGCGAAGATGAGGAGAGCGTCCATAATGAAATCGATTACATTTCTCTCCCTTTCCACACTTCGGCCCAAAGTGATATAAATTAGAATATGAGGCAGAGTGAAAGAAGTTTCAAATTTAATGCCTTCGCACCGTCCCGCGGAGCATTCAAACGATCTTCTTGGAATTCTTCAGCAACACTCTGACCGAGTCACCCGCGCCGCGAGCCATATCCACTATTCGTCAAATCGTGACTTGATTTTTGTATACAATTTCAACTTTATCCACTTGTGATGGTGCTCTTTTTTGCTGCCCTCTTCAATGGCGAGAGAAATATGAAGTCAAGAGTGGCGTCCAATGTCGAGTACACTCCACACGCGGTTTATTGCGCCACGAGAGGCTCAGAAGCCAAAGAGGACTTCAGCGAGAGATCCACGATGGGGAGAAAGATGTTGAATTGGAAGTAAAAGGCTACTTGTGGCTTCAGTGCATGTTCTCGCCTAATGTAACTTTTGGAAAACAAGAGAAAATACAGCATGCGATTAAGTAAATACAAGAATAATGATCAGTCTAAGTAAAAGCTAAATAATCCGAACTGTGGAAATAAAAAGTACGACATAAAGGATGTAATAAAAAAATCGTCAGATTAGAAGAACATTTTTTGTGATTTATTTTTCAAAAAAACAGAATTATTTTATTAACACATTTCAGAGAAGTTTATAGTTTGTCAGCGCGAAAGTCTGGCAGCTTGCTGACTCAATCGCAAATCTGTAATTGAATAACGACAGTTTAGTAGGTTATATGAGAGCACAAATAAAGAAATGTGTCTTCAGATCACTAACTATTGAAATCTACTTGCATTTAAAACAAGCACACATTACAAAATAATACAAAAAAATGCTTAAAGACATTTTCCAGTATTACATGCCTGTTGGAACTGAAATATGTAACAAAACTGTTGATTTGAAATTGACAGAGAAAGTCTGTCATCAGCCAACGTGTATGTCCTTCGATTCTCCTAAACTTACACGCGGACCTACAAAAGATAAATGAGAGTTTTTTTTTTTTATAAAAACAGGAAATAGTTTCCAAATCGCTCACCTAGTGGGTCGGCTAGAATCCCTGAGAAAAAAATACAGAAAAAGGAATTTAAAAAATTGAATCGACAAGGAATTAAGAAACAGAAAATAGATTTTTTACCTGCCGCGAAGAGAAAGAAGCTTACAATTGCAAGAAGAAATTTCATTTTGAAAGATTTCAGTTGATGTTTTCACTACAATACTTTTGCAAGAAAGTGAATATTTTTTCACAGACTCCGTGTGTTTTTATATGTAAATCCACAATAATAATTTTGATAAGAGATCATTGAAGTGTGTAATTGTGGGCGATAACATATTATTTTCATTATAAGGTATATTATTATTAGTTTACCGGAAAATTGAGCTATAGATTGATTAAACATTAGCAGACGCAGGACGTAACTATTGATTTAAAACGACTTCAAATAGGCGTAGAGAATAAGGTATTAATACATTTTTAGCACTTATATTTATTGTGTTTTCTTGTCAAACAGCAAAAGCACTTGACTTGAAATTCAAGAGGACATTTTGGGTGTGTCAACAGCTACAAAATTCAATATCTCCACAACAGGACGCTCGTCGTGGCGTGCGCCTGTTTTCTAAATCATCCATGAACCTGTTTCTTAAATCCATGCTCCTGTCTTCCAAGCTCTCGAGCGGATCTGCAGAAAATAGTTTTATAGAGTTTTTCATAACTCGTTTAATGAAAAACTAGCTCTAAATCACTTACTATAGGGAATTGCTTGAATTCCTGAAATGTTTTCAAAATTATTATTTAAAAAATCACTTGTATTAAAGAATAAGAGAAGAAAAATGCGATTTTTTACCTGCCATTATCAGAAAGAAGCACACAATTGTGAATATAAATTTCATTTTCAAAAATTTTACAAGGAAATATCAATTGATGTTTTCACTGCAACACTTTGGCGAGAATGTGATTAATTGTTCCAGTTTGCGAATTTATTTATAGGTGAAAAAGCGCAATTAATGATTTGATAAAAGATCAATGAAGTGTATAATTAAGAACAATCACGTTTGATTTTTCTTGCAGAAAAAAGCCATTATCAAAGGAAATTTGAACATTGATTGAATGAAAGATATCAAATTAGACGAATATTTATTGTGTGTTCGTTTTTTTTCAAATAACAATTGTTTTCAATGTGAAGAAATGTGTGTGTAATAACAAATTATCACTTATCGTCAAATGAAATTACTAACGTGAAAGGTTAAAATCTTAACTTAAAATCTGTTCTATCTCACTTTGTACTTTGAGATTTATCCAAATTCAAGTGGAACAATTCTCACCCACGCAAGTGTTCATGGAGAATAGAATGTTTGTGCTCAATGTGCACTTGTGAGAGCCAATATAAATTACAAAGCAGTTTGATTAACTGAGAAATAATATCGGTGCCGAAAGTCTTATTTGTCTTCCACATTGTCTCTCGCATTTCTCCTAATCACCCGCGCCGCGGACCACAATTTTGGGTAATCGGGGCTAAAAGTGTAGCAATCAAGACCAAATATTTGTCTGGGGGAGAACGCATTTTTCGGCGGCTGAAAATTGCACCTTTGCCATCCGCAAGTCCATGAGTTGAGCGCAGAAATTTCGTGGTGAACTTGCGATTAGCACGCTGCAAACGGGTTATTTTTTCCATCACTTTTTCCTCTCTTTTTCCAACTCCAAATAATTACACTACATAGCACATAATCGCCACCACGAAATTGGCAATTATCATAAATGGGGGACTGTGAATTTTTCCGAAAGCCAATTGGTCTCACTTGTTAAATGTTCCAATACTTGGAAATTTTCGACTTCTCTGCGGAGTGAATTGGATGATTCCGAAGAGGAGAAAAGTACCATGATAAATTTCTAATTCCTCATAATATCGCGGCGTCGGATGTTTCGAGAGGTAATCTTCCCTATGTGTCTCTCATGGACCGCCAGAAAAAGAGATCCAGGAAGAGACGGCGCATTGTTGGCCGCCGGTGAAGACCAAAGGAGGCATTTTCATAATCGTGAAAATAGGGAATTAGTGGACATGTAATTGAAAAATTGCTTCAAGGGCAAGAAAGATGTTCATAAATTGTGGTCCGTGTTCGTATATAACAGTCGATGCACAGGTGTCATTAATGCCGCGGTGTGTTATTTACCAAGTGTGATGCAATCGACTCCCTTCGGTACGCAAATAATGCACATTTACCAGCGAAAGATGCAATCGATCGGTTGAAGTAAATTAGATATGCTTCGTGTGCCGCTGAACAGACCTTGGCCGACAAATTTAATAAGCAAATTGGTGCAGGATAAATTGATAAAATGAGACAATGAATGCATGCTAATTGAAAAATCTTACATCTATTATCAATTCTCGTATGCTCAATCGACAGAAACAATATCATCTATCGCCGTTTTTGTCTTCACAACACCATCGATATTGTCTCACAAGTGGATTTCCTTGGAGGGAATTAATCCAAAATAAATCAACTCTTAATCACTTACGTGTTCGCGATGCAACTCCAAATCCAATAACATTCTCTCACACGATGATTGGCAGTAAAGTAGGTTTTCTCATGATGTCATTGCACAGACAATATCGTCGTCAAGATGCATTTATTCACTCTATCTAAATCCACGCTAACCTTGACTAAGATTGTACGAAGGAATTTTAATACGAAATGCATTCAGGAGATCAATGAGAAGCATGAATTTACGGCTGTGCATAAAAATCTCTCTATTGCGAATTCAATTAAGGAGATGCCGAAGAATAGTTCCCCAGTATTGAAGCTCACGATAGCTTTGCAATTTGTGAAATATTTTTGGCTTTATTGTCATTTAATAGACCATCTCACCCTCATTTCCCGATGGTCTATAAATTTCTCTGATAGCTTTTCACAGTTGCAAGAGATTCGTGACATGTCATTTATCATCCACACCAAATGGTTGATCTTCTTTTGTTGAGTTTCAGGGTAGAATCATCAAATGGTGTGAAATAAAACCAGGAGAAGTATTTCAAAAATGTTGTGAAACGTCCTCATTTTTTTTCACCTTCCTTCCAATCATTCATTCTCACTTTACCTGGAATCACTGGAGATTGACATAAACGCAAGAAATGTGTTACGATTTCATTGAAATACCTTGACAGAAAAATTCCTTTCATCCTCAGGATGTCTTTTGATGTTGTTATCGAGTGATGTGACAGTATCAAAAAATGGTTTAAAGACGTTTTAGAGAGCTTCTTGCGCTGCAGGTTTTTGGCCTTTATTATCGGCTTCATGATGGTGGAAATATTAATAGGAAACATCAAAAGAGCCAAACGCTCTAAATGCTGAGAAGAAACTGAAATCGATATTTACTTTAAGAGGTAATTTTTCACACGACTTTCCGCATTAAATACTGCATGGAAAAAATCAGCATTTATTGGTTTTTCTTGCTTCTTGAGTGCAGTTTTTCAGTAGACGATCCCTTTTTTGTGCTCCCTTCCTTATCAGATGTCCGTCGAAGGGATGATTTTCTGCCTGATGGTCTAATTAGTCGTGAGAGTCCAATAAACTGAAGATGACTAAATTGGTTCTAGAAATGTATCCATTATCCGTCAAAATTACACACTTGAGCGTCCAAAATAGACACTCAGAGGCGATGGAGGAACTCAAGGAAGTGCTGCAGTCTCTCTCTTGCCATCAACTGTCTTTCAGGCATTAGGGAAAATCATCAAGGAGTCTCCCTTTTTTTGCCACAACATCCCAATGTTTATTTGAGTCTTCACAGTGTGGACAAAAGTACCTTCGGGGTCTCTGTAATTATATTATCCGACTTGACGATGATCTTTCAATATATTCCTCCAGCGTCGTCACTTACCTGGAAACATTTTCGGGAAGGGAAGTGAAATGATTACTTCATATTGGGTGTGCTTTTTTTTGCTCATGATGCGCCTCAACATCTGCCGGGCATCATTTCCTTAAGAATGCTCGATGGGCAAAGGAAGAAAAGACATCGACAGTGTGTGTCACCACAATTTTTCCTAGAATATAATCGTTGGTGTCTCTATTTTGATGGCACATCGACCACCTAATGCGCCAACAACGCGCTGCGGGTTGTGCAAAATGGCAAAATGATTGGCCTGGAGGACCACTGAATGACTCTCTGAGCTGTCTCTCTTCGTTCCATACAAATTAATTCTCAGCTGTGGTCCTTCTTGGACTCTGGCTCATTCTTGTGCATTGACATTCTCCATGGGACAACGCGCAGTGTGTGAGCATAAAAACGCCGAAATGGCCAAAAACTTCCAGTATAATAAGCCACACATGCGTGTGCTGCTGGACGATGAAACAACAAATACGCTTTTGATGGTCATACCGGAGCTAAATGGTGGCAACGTAGTCAATTGACAATGAAATCTCCCGAACAATAATATAGAGAGAAAAGTGTTTGTGAAATGGGAAGAAAGATGGAGAATCTCCACAGATTCATCTCAGCTTTAATGCACAGGAGTGGCTCTCTAATCTCTCGCGTGTGGGCGAGATTCTCTCTCTTTTGGCTGCGATGCTTGAATTAAGCATTAGAACCATGTTGCCATACACCCTTTTTCAGAAGGTTTAACGAGCTTCTTTATGGCTCTGCCCATCCAGAAGCTGACACATCTTCACAAATCTCCCGCAGCAATGCGCCCAGAAGGTGAGAGAAGAGCAGTAAAAAGATGTGTCATTTGGGGGGAAATCAAAATCCGCTCATTTTCCAACATTTCCCACCTCATTCAGCACTGATTCACAACTGACGAGGCTCTTGAAGAAGAGTGCAGGAAGTTATGGGCGAATTTGCATTTCGTGGGTGACCCATCGAGAGACACTTTGCATTCGGAATTCTTCTTAGAAAACCCATATTATTGTTCATTGTTGTTCAATTTTTGGTGAACGTGACTGGAAAGAGAGAAAAATGTGCGCTCAATGTGTGAAACAAGACCTCCATTGAGTTCATTAGAGAACTGCTTAGGATGCATGTGTTCGAGTAATTTTTTGGGGGAAAAGAGGCAATTTCTTCCCACCAGAAACGTACAGAGAATTGAGAAAAAGACACAGTGAATTCAACTGAACAGTCTTCGTGCCCATGGTGAATGCCAATTCTCCTCACTGTGCGCGCGATGTTCAGCTAATAAATCTGCAAACTTCACCCCGTGATCTCTTATGTCGCCTCTCGAGTGTGTCAGCAACACTTGAAGCGCGGCGATTTGGCTAATTTCTCCTTGAAACATCAGCAGATGGAATTTAATAAAATACCTGTTCAATTCACCGATATACCTCCATTCGCATGGAACTGTGTCTGGCGACCATACTCTCTGACCCGGCCGGGTTGTTTGCCTCCTAAGCCGCACATCGGATGAGTATGTGTACATACGTGGAAATAAATCGCCTCCCTTCCCTCTCTCTCTCTCTCTCTCTAGCTCTGTTAAGAGTATCAACAGCTCAATAGCCGCGAACATAAAATTTAGCCTTTTGAGTCAGCGTGAAGAACGAATTAAAGTTGAATCGGTTGTTTTGTGTATTTGTGTGCCGCGCAAGAGTGATAAATGAATGTTTTTAATATTTAATTCCCATATTCATGTTCTTCCACACCTTAACTATCTACATATATAGCGTGCTTCCTCCGAGATAAATAGAAGCAATTCAATATATTGTGAAGGTTTTTCTTCTCTTCCCAATCTGCACAGATTTGATGACGATCGAACGTCAATCGGATTGAGTCAAGGTGGATCTGTTCGGTCTCATCTTCTGCTAAGCCGCTCTCTTGTGTGCCTTCAAGACAGAGAGATAGAGAGAGAATGGCGATAAATCTGAAATCCGGGAGTTTCTTTGAATCACACACCAAACAATTTCCCACTCCCTTTAATCATCAATTCAATGGTGCCTCCATGCCATCATAGAGCCTCATTGGAATGAAGACAACGCGGAGAAAATGCAAATCACAGTTTAGTATGTGACAAAACGTGCCTTTTATTTTACCTTTCGTGCTTATGTTGTGGCATTCTTATCGAGCATTTCTCGACCTCTCCAGCACAGACCAGAGATATCTTGCGACGCAGCGCAAGGCGCGAAAAGAAGATGGTCTCACGTGGCTGTGAATATGGATGAAAAGCCAAGGCTCCGCACGCTCAAAAATATTTAGATTTATTCACCAAACCAAATAGTCAACACCGCATCCACAATTGCAGAATCGCGCTCCGCATATGCAGGCACTCTTCCTCACACCCTGTGTGCCAGTGCATAATATTCAGATTTGAATTAATGGCCCCGGGAATCAATTGAGGAACACATGCAAAGACTCTCAATTTTAGAGCCGAGCTCGTTCTCTCCTCGCCCCAGCATCGCGGGCTTTTCTCTCCTTTTTTGTGATGTAAATTGTCAGTTTGGTCGTGTCAACATTTAAGGTCCATTACCTAATGGTGCATTTAAAGCAAACACACGATGCTCTGTTGCTTGTTTCTTCTTATTCTTGTGCGCTATTAAATACCTCCACGGTGGGTGCGGAAGGCATCACATGAGAATTACACTCTTATATTCTAGCACAGTTGCCAATGGTTGGATACTTCGAAAGACCTCAAGGAGCGGCGAGAAGAGATGTTTTCGAGCACCACAAATATACCAAGGTAAGCTCTGAGCGGCACTTTTCGCAAGAATTTCCTCAAAGTATCGCAATTGAATTACTTTAACTGATTGATGGAAAATATCACACAATCAGTTTAGAGATGATTAGCAAAAATTTCCAATCCAAGCTCATTTCAAACCATTTCTCACGGTGTAAATATTGATTCTAGCAATATGAGTTTTGTTTTTATATCTTCTAGCCTTTGTATTATTTAAATTAAATGACTCTCCCACTCTATTGCTCTTTCCTCTTGGTCCGCATCACAGAATTTCACTCATTTTCCCTGAGCTTGAATCTCATGGGCGATGAGATGGAGAAGAAAAGAAGCATCGTACAAGAACACATATTGCTTTTATGTATTTATACGAGTTGTAAAATCACAAAATAAACACTTTTGTGGGCGGATATCGTAGTTTGGACTTCGACGACACGGAGGAGAAGATGCGTTTTCGCCTGGAGATCCAATTAAAAGATCTATCCTAGTGTGAGCCTGAGTGTCTAATTCATATTTCATATATCCACATAATTAATGTATTAATTTTTTATGACCACTTCTTCGCGCGCCACACCGAAAAATGTCCCTTCAATGGCCGCGAGCCACGGTGGAAAATATATGCAAACTTTAATGGTCAGTTGTTGACAGACTCTCATATATAATTTATGTCACAGCCATTGTTGAAGTGGTTTCTGGACGGAACCGTGAAAGCAGGGGGGCAATCGAAGGCAATTTCATCGATGTCTTCAATGTCACATAACAATTTAGTAATTCTGAATTTTTCATTAGGAACAATATTTTTATCTTCCCATTTCTGTGGATGTTCTGTGGCTGTAAATGGCATTTTTATGCCGAATATCCCCATGCCGGTGTGGACATGGGCATCGAGAGTGAGAGAAGAATCCCTCCTGTGTGCCATCTCCAAGAGGCCTTTGTGCACATCCACCATCATCTTCCCAGTTTGAGAGCCTGTCTCTGGGAGACTCTCAATGATTGCCGGCGTGTTCTTCCACCCCGCGGAGAGGCTTTGCATGATGATTCCTCTCGCTCTCTCTCGCCTGACTCCAATACCAGCCGACACGCTGTGCCTGACCAATTTCTTGACATTGACTCGCGGAGTGGCTCACATGAGAAGTGGGTTCGCGGGCGGGGCAAGGAGCGCACACGACTCCGTAGTACAAGAACTCAAGCTTTTTTTTGCCCTGTGTGATGGGGTATAAAATAAAATTATAATAATAATCAGTCCACACGGCACGATATCTTTCACTCCGAAAATGCGTACACAGGCGAGTACCAGGAGCGCGGGCAGATAAATTCCTCAATTTCAACGTGCCTCGAGGAGTCCACAAGACGAATGCCCTGTTTTTTCTTCTTCAACTCCTCATCTCTCGCACCAGCACGCACCCGGAGACTATTGGGAACTGCCAAGGTTGGTGCACCTTGCGTAATTCGCTTTCACACAAACAAATCTCGCCGGTGGCAGAATGTTTCTGTGCATCTTTTCCAAAAGTGTTCTCAAGAGCTGTTGGGAAATCCCATTGACTATCTTTCAATTCTCTCTGGTGGTAAATCACGATGTGTTGGAAATTTTGGGCACAAAGATGACACAATTTTAGCCAATTCCACCGTGAAAATCAAAGGGTCAACGCGTGACGGTGCGCTTTTCTCTCCAATTGACACAATTTCTATCGAAAACTCTCCGCGCAATGGATTAACTCTTTATGCGTGGCTGCACACTTAATGGGATTCGCGAAGAAATTTGTCTGGATTTTCCACGCAACTTCCATGCATCACCAATCGCATTGTCTTGGCCGCGCGTACACCGCGGCGCGAGTGGTTTCGCCTTGCTGGGAAATCACCTTGCTCGATTTCAAATAGTGAATAGACATCGGGTGAAACCTATCAGGTTCCCTATTCAATTCTCGCTGGGGCCTTTTTTGTGGCATTTCGTCTCGCCGAGGGAGCAATGGAACACAGAAAAGCTGGGCAAATGAGAGTGTATGTATGGTAATATTGATGGTATGTGATAATGAAGAAAAAGGCCAAGACAAGAATAAGGAGCGATAAATTTAAGCGGGTGTGAAATTGGCTTTTTCGATGATTTATTAAATCTAATTTTCTGTAGTGTTTTTGTCGATCTGCGATGGGCTTTCGTGCATTGATAAATTAGGTGTTCAGACTGGCTTCTGCTGTGAAGATGACATTGAAGGCTGTTGTGTGGCGAAAAAATGAGAGCAAAACACACTCTTTCTCTTATCTGTCTAATAATATATTTTTGGATATTCATCAAAACAGACAAACACACACACACACACAAAAGATTAATTGCTACTTTGGACAGCGCATATTTAATTGATTGTTCTCCATCAGAGTTCCTCTGATAACGCGTTATTAGATAAAGCCATCAAGATTTTATTTTATTGATTGTCAGACAAATTTCTTTATGCAAACATCAGTAAAGTGAATTTATTGATAATAAACTTTATATAGAAATATATATCTTATAATTTCAAAAATACCCATTCAATCTTTTCAGTCCATAAGAATTATCCCTTCATCTCATTTCCATGCAATTTCGATGGAATTTTTCCCATAAGATCGTTTATATTACGTAAAATTCAAGGTAAGATCTTACAACACTTTCTTGGAGTGTGTAAAAGGGACGAAAAAGGCTAGATTGATGTAATTCTGGATCACATTGAGATTGTGGATGCCACATTAAGAGATATTTGATGCGATTTAGTGCCTGTAGAGCAGCCTCATCCGGCGCTTTCCCTCGGGGCTCCTGTCCACTCCTCCTCCTGGCGATCCGCTCTCTCCTGACATCTGCCTCTGCAGGACACTCTGGCATCCCAGACTGGACTGTCGAGGCAGTTGTCTCACCGAATTGAAAGGAACTGAGCATCTTCGTCCGAGAACAGGTGAAGTGTTGGTCATATTGAGTATCCTCAGAGCCTCATTGGCTCTCATAAGTTCGTAGTTTGTGGCGAAGGATGTGGCTGGCTGGAAGGATTCAATTGTGGAGCGTCGGCAGAACTTGGCAGACGCCAAGGACTTCCTCTCATTGCGCGCGAAGGAGAAGTTCTGCAGTGAGAATCGCCGCGATGCATCTTGCTGTGCTAATGATCTCTTTCTCTGGAAAAGACATTGGTATGAGTGAGAATTTATGCAGATATTTCGCACTTCATAAGGCTATTGACCGGTGGAAAATCACTGCCACTCGTGTGGTTAATATTTTGACAAGTCATTAGGACACCTCAAGAGGTGAAATGGGCAGAGTTTTAATGGTTTTTTAATGCTCGAAAAACACTCCCCATTCTCAAGTCCGTCTCTCACCTCTTTCAGGTCGTTTGTCATTTCAAAGCACGCCTTCCCCAGCGAGAGTAGAAGCCACAAGATGCAAGAAATGATCACAGGATTAGCTGAATTGGCGTTGTTTACATCTTCACCACTCTTGACCTTCCGCCTCTCGCCCAAGGTGTTTCTGCCACTTTGGATATTTCCATTCTTATCGCCAATCGAGAGGACTTTATTGCCCTGTGCGCTAATTGAATCCGCGCCGCTGGAATCGCAATCCCAGAACGGAGCTCTGCGTAGTGAGAAAATGTACAGCAAATTCGTTTTGTTGATCTCCATGTCCAGCCAGAAGCTGTCCTGCAGCACATTCCTCGTCCTCTTCACCACACTCGGCTCTTCCGCCGCTGTCTTCAGTTTCCGCTTCCGCAAGCAAATCGACACGAGACTCAGGATGAGAATCAGACTGATGAGTATCACCTTTCGATGGGCCCACATTTTTCTTATTTTGGGAGCCAGAAGTGTAATCAATAAAGCACGCGTTGCACCAGAAACGTCACTCACTGTCCGTCTCTCTCAAGGATCTGTGCCTAAAGTGCTCTTGCTCTCACTCTCACAACCTCCCTTCTCTCTCTCTGTGGGCTCTAAACTCTCCTTTGAATACAATTGTGCCGCCGAACAGAACGATGTTCGCGTTATCGCCTAAATGCCGGCAATATTTCTGGCTGTCTCCCAAACATTCACTCTCTTGTGTATTCTTTCTGTTTCACTCTCTCTTTTGGCTTGCGCAATGGGATATTTAATAACATTCCACCTACGACTCTTTTCGGCAAGAGGCTCGTCATCCCAAGAAAAATGCACATTCACTCAGTTCATGTGGTGCTTAGAGTCAATATGCAGCATTTCGTTTTCCTATTCTTGTTTGAAATTGCTAATCATTGATATGATCATTGTGGCTCAATTTGCTCAGTTGAGTAAAATGCGTGCAGAAGCAGCAGAAGAAAAACTGCCAATTTTTGAGCAACTAATGGAAATTTTTGTGCTCTTGCAAGTCATATTAGAGCCCATTCGTCAACACTTTAAGTCATGACCTTTCGATTTGATTCATTCTAACGCCACAATTTAAGTGGAAATAAGAGTAGGAAAATCTGTGCTCAGATCGAAATACTCAGTTCATCCTTAGTAAATGTAGTGTGATAAAACCGTAATATTTGAGCGGAATTGAGCCAAAACGGTTGCAGATTCTCAAAATGCTTTGCCCTCTTCGTAGTTCGTGCATATCCCATCATCTGTAATTCAATAAAAGTCGCCCAGGGCTGAACTGGGAGTCCCGTGAATGCACTTACCTTCTGCACCTCTCCAGCACTTGATGATCTCAGTGGCCAGTTCGCTCCTGGCAGCGCGAAGAGCTGGACAGTCAGTGTTTGGGTCTCCTTTGCCCCAAATGCGCGCGCGGTCCACTCATCTTGATTTCGTCACCGCGTTTGTACGGTTTGTATGACTTGGGTCGACTTGGTGTGGAGCGGGAGTGGGTCGACTCTGAGGCACCACAGCGGAGCGGAAAGCTTCCCAGGCGTGCAGTCGCAGTGTGACAGCGGATCGGATTGCCTGTCGTGGTCAAAGATGGGCAGCGCAAATGGATTAAGTGCGGCGAACGGGAAGAGGCACAGGAGCAACGGATATCATGGGAGCAGTGCGAGGATCGTGGGCAGCTTCACGGAGGAGCCCTTCCTCAAGCCGCGCATCACAGAACGCAGCCTGGCGAGCGTTCTCTTCCTCATCACCGTATTGATTCTCATCGTGAAATTGACCTTCATGTTAAGTGAGTACACCGAAAAAGCCCCAGCTATTTTTATCGCGGCGCACTTGTCCAAAAAGGAGGTGAACAGCAGCGCGAAAAATCCAATTCCACAACTCATTCACTCTTCATTGAGTTACAATTTCCGCGAACTTCACCGCATTTTCCATGGCGATTATATTCACAAATTCATTTTGTGTTGAGCGAAAGTCTCAGAGAATACAAACAAATCGATTTTGTGCGGCAAACACGCTGCAGTAAGAAAGAGTGCGGAAAGTGAAAGTTCACTGTGGTCTTTTTTCCTTCTTTCTATGGTCAAAAAGCAAGGGGGAACATCGTGATTTGCTGCAAGCCGCCTTGATGACTGTCGAGGGAATTGAAATGCAAGAGGGCAAGTGCTAAATGTGCTCTCGACAAGCACTCGTTTGGGCATAAAAACGCACGTGACGTAATGCACAATATCGATCATGATTAGATAAGATTATGTGATGATGGAATATTGTGAAAACATCCAATAGCATAAACTTGAATTGATGAATGCGGCTAATGAAAACATTAAATTTCATTCAATCACTGTTTTTCTACCGCACTCCCGGAATAAATACCATACGCTGTAATCAAAAGTCACTGTTTATGCATCATCTGCTCTATTTTTATACCCCAAATATTTCTCTCTCATCTGCAAATGCCTTGGAAATATCCGGTGGAATGAAAACAATCAATTCATCTTCCAACCCAAATTCCGCTCGAAATCTCGTAAATCCTCCCAAATTCCTGTGCAGGTGTGGATGATAAAGAATTGCGTGTAAATTTTTATCTCATGCAGAATGAAGTCATCGCGTTGGAAATTATTGAAAATAGCACTCTCTGGCGCACACGTCACGCGGCCTCAAGTACAGCCGAATGTTTATACTTGCAGAGTCGTCTGTTCAGTCTGCACTCCAGTGGCGGCAGCTGGTGAGGAGCATGTGGACGGATCCGGTCAGTGGGCGGCAGTTTGTGGCCTTCGCCTGGGCTGAGGGCTTCCGGGGGCAGTTCCTCGTGTGTCCTTTGCTCTGCGGACTGGCAGTCTTCCTCTTCGCGTGGTTCATCGTCTACTTCGACAGCAGAATCCCAGGCGTCGATCCGCCGATGCCCAGACTCTGGCAGAGATCCTCCTGGCCACTGGCGTACAAAACGAGTGTCATCGCCGGTCTGCTGGCATTCTCAGTCACTCTAATCAGTCCACATCTGTGAAATTCCCACCTGTGAAGCCCAATCAACTCAAGGAGACTACTTTGCTGTCTCATCATCGGGTACATTTAGAGTCAATGCAGTAATGTTTATCTCTGGTTTAGGATTAGAAGTAATTCCAGTTATTTATTTTGCTCATTTCTAATTTATTTTTCCCATCTTAATGTAAGATATTCCCACGGCATAATAGATGTTTTTGAATGCCTCTAAAAGCAGTGAAATGAATTTATAACACTGCATGTTGATTAGATTGGCGTGAAAATGGAATAGAAAGCATCACTTTGTGCAATTAAAATATCAAATGAATCACTTAAACGACCTTAAATTAATAAAAGCATTATTTTGTGACCATTTTTTTGGATTTGGAATTGAATATCTCAGAAGTCAAAATGCTGTTCGAAGCAATTTTTGCGTTATATAATCATATTGTCATAAGACAAGCAGATTGACTTTTCAGCTTCAGCCAAACAATAGATTTATGTACTTCGCCTTAAAGAATGATTCACTGTTTTGTGTGCAGAAATGCAAACAAGCGCCAGAGCTGCTCAACAGGTGAGTAAACAAATTGAAATATTCACTGGTTTTATGCATCAGCTGCAAAATACATATTTTCTATTCAAATTGTCTCTTCTATTTCACAATTATTCTGAAAATTCAGCGGAATCGGGTGGAATTGAAGGACGAAAAGCTAGTTTTTCTTGTCCTTGTTGATGGTGAAGTGACAGAGCGCATGAAGGCGACTCGTGACATCGACGAATTGTGCGTTTGTGGGTGAGATTTTGAAGATGACGAAGCGGCTCTTGTGATTAAAGCGTCCCACGCATCGCACGATTTGCCCTTCTTGCACGTTGGCGGGCAATTTGTGGTCCACCGCATAGAAGATGGCCTGCAGAAAAGGGCCACTCTCGTTTCTCAGCAGAATCAACTTCTCACACGCATACTTTCCATCTTTGATGCACACGACTTTGGCTGGAAATTAAGACAGCGAGAAGTTTCAATCATGAATAGAGATTTTTTGTATAATTTCTCACCATAGAATTCGTAGGTGAAATTCTGCTCCTGCATTTGCTTGGAAATCGCAGTTATCTGTGCAATGCTTCCTGTGATAATTTGCTGCAAGAAAACTCTCTCACTGTTCAGCGTGTGTTTCCGCCAAAAACATCTGCACTCACCATTGAAGGCATTGCTGCCCTTTTCGGCTCTTGGTATCTTCTCTCGCCAGTTTCCCGGACGGTGACTTTCCATCTCTTCATCGGAAGCTTGTTGTTGGTTTTTAAGAGCTTCTTTTCCTCTGAAATTCGCTCTGGGAATTGTCTCTTGATTCCACACATTTGCTGCTGTCCACAGTCCTTAGACGTCGATGGGTTTATGGTCATGTCTGAATAGAAGCTCCTGGGAACAGTAGAATGCTGTTCAGTGATTTTCTCAGGCTTTCCCGGGATTTTCATGAGTCTCTGCTGCGGATGAATCACTGAAGTGTCTGAAGAATAAACAAATGCGTTTAATTTTTACACCACTCTTGACCACTAATGATACTCACTTCTCCCCTGAATTTGATATTTATTAGCATTGTAGTAATTGTGCAGATTTTCCATGATTTTCCAGCCACTTCCTCTTTTCGTGTTTTTGAATTTATAGACATCGAATGTAAATATAGAAAACGGCTGCGTATCTGTCGTCATCGCAGCGACATCTTTGACATCGCCTCCACGTGAGAGCAAAACAATCGCGCCGCGTTTGCCAGAATTTCACGCTGTATTTCCTTGGAAAATACTGTTTTTCCACAATTTTTCAACAGTGAATTGTAAAAAGCAGACCCTGGAAGTGGTGGATAGCGAGTAAAATAGTGAATCTCTTGCGAAAATGAGCTTCAGAGGCAGAGGCGGTGGGAGAGGTTAGGTTGCATTTGTTTACAAACATTTCCGGATCTCAGGATAATGCTTTTTTCCGGCAGGTTTTGGCGGCGGTCGCGGGGGCTTCGGCCGCGGCGGAAGGGGCGGAGGTGGTGGTGGAAGGAATTTTGACCAAGGACCACCTGAGCATGTTGTTCCTTTCGGAGAATTCCAATATTCGTGCGAAAATGATCTGGTCTGCAAGGCATCGATTGAGAATGTGCCCTACTTCAACGCCCCCATCTTCCTGGAGAACAAGGAGCAAGTGGGGAAGGTGGATGAGATCTTTGGCAACATAAGGGACTACCTTATCACGGTGAAGCTGGGTGACAGCATGAATGCGGCGAGCTTCAAGAAGAAACAGACGCTCTACATTGATCCCAATAAACTCCTACCACTGGCTAGATTCTTGCCGGCTCCTCCTGGACAGAAGCGCGGCGGTGTTGGGAAACCCGGAGGCGGCAGAGGTGGGAATACTGGTGGATTTCTGGTGATAGTCTCTCTCTAATGTGTGTCTTTCGCAGGCGGTCGCGGCGGCGGCGGTAGAGGCGGCTTCGGCGGTCGAGGACGGGGCGGAGGAGGCCGCGGCGGTGGTTTTGGCGGCAGAGGAGGTGGCGGTGGAGGCTTTGGGGGCCGAGGGGGAGGCGGACGCGGTGGCTTCGGCGGGCGCGGAGGCGGAGGACGAGGCAATGCCAAGAGATGGTAACGGTGAATGACCTCTATTTCTTATCATTCTTTCAATACGGACATCAAATCTGTTACAATAAAATTGATCTAAAACCCCATGAAGAAGCTCTTAAGCTCGTCTCACGTAGTTGTTGTAGACGCGTGGTCCATTCGCGAGAATTGCTGGCATTTCCTCCGTTCCGTGCAGGATCAACTTACAATCCCAGAGAATGCCGGAGTTGAAGATGCCCAGGGCGCTCTGGAAAGCAAGAAAAGGATATTTTCTATAAAAAAAACTCAGAAATGTTGCAATATTGCATTTCACCGTGTCGATAATATTAAGTTTCCACAATCCTGTGGGGTTTTCCGACCATGTGGCCACTGACATGAATGTCCAGGGCCTGAAGCCGTCCTTGGATTTGTCTCTCCTCCTCCTGGTCAGCAACTGAATCTCCGTTCCGCGCGGTGACGTGAGGAAAATCTCCAAAACTCCCCTCTCGCTGTACTCCAAATCCATCTGCACTTCCACATGCTCCAGATACGCAATTCTGCCCTCACTCATGAATTCCTCAGAGATCATCCCGATACCCGTGGAGAGATTTCGCGGCAAAAGGTGGGCCTTTGGAATGACTTCAATACTCTTCTCCGGCACACTTTGCCACTGAGCCGCAGTCTTGACGAACTCATCGGCATTCATGAGGCCAAACCCGAAGCGGATGTTGTACAGGAAGCCAGCACCGTTCATGAACCATCCCATGTTGATCTGCAGAGGAACATACTCAGCTGTGTTCACGATGATATGCTGCACATCGCGCCATGTGATGTTAGGACTGGAGAAGAGGGAAATTCACAGAGATCATCAAGTGATTTTCTCAGTCACTAAACACTTACTTCGCTTCCAGTCCCAGGGCGATAATACCGGCCGCCAGCGGAGCGGATGCACTGGTTCCGGTGTGCTTCACCGTGCACTTGTTCCCCACATCCGTGGTCGTGATCATCTGGTCATTGTAGGCGCCTGAAGAGTAGGTCACGGTCAGGATGGAGGAGCAAATCTCTCCGTACCACGGCTTCGTGCCGTGCTGACTCGCGCTGCCCACGGTGATGGTGTAGATGCTGCCCGCGTATCCGTCACAGTTGCAATTGTCGCTCTTGCGACCGCCGTTGCCGCTCGCCCATACATAGATTACGCCCTTCCCGCCGCGGCCGCGTCTCACGCCGCGCGCAATAGCCTCTCTGGCCAGAAGACCCGGCCTCTCCACCGTCTTACCGTCATCCGTGGGGCCCCACGAAGAGCTGTAGATGTCCACCTTGTCGTACGCGAATCCCAGCGCCATGCCCTCGATCAGATCGTACACATGGCCGCCCAGCAGTTTGATGCCGCCAATCCTGGCGCCGAAGGCGACGCCCACGCCGCACTTGTGGTTGTTGGCCACCATGGCGATCTCGCCGGCGCAGCGTGTGCCGTGGCTGTTCACGAGGTCCTGGAAGTTAGGCCTGGGATCCGGGCTGTCGTGATTGCAGTCCCAGCTGATCTCGGGGTCGAAATTGGCCGCCAGATCGTCGTGCGTGTACTCGACGCCGTCGTCCAACACCGCCACGCGCACACCTCGTCCCGTGATGCCTCTCTCGTACACCGGCAGGACGTTGAGGTCGAGCTTCGGGAGGCCAGGCTGGTTCCTGGTGTCCTTCTGCAAGGTTCCACAGCTTTCAGACCCTCAATATGGCTCAAATTTACTTAAAATATAATTAATTTACTTCGAAGGAAATTAAAAACACCCAAAACATTAGAGTTGTAATGAGAATTAATGGAAATTATCCAATATGGCGGCGTTTGTAGATAATTTACAGGCTTTTGCTAGATGAGATTTGACAAAAGCGCCACCTTACGGCTTTTGGCGGAGAAGAGACTCGAAATAATGGATAAGAAATTGAGTTAATTGTACGAGAAAAATTAATTGAAACATCAATGTTTGCTTTTACGGATATTTCGAAAATCGATAATCTTTCCAATTGGGACCGTACAGTGTTAAAGTTAAAAAAAAACGAGGCTGATGCAATAAGTTAGTTAAACTTTTAATGCCTGAATTTTCCAGAATTTCGTTAATTAATACTGAGCTTGATGCAACCAAGTATATAATATAACGCACAGGAGTTAAAATATAATGCGCTCAACGCTGGCTTTTATATTTAATTAATTTCAGCAACAGACTATAAATATTTGCTTTTGAAGGCTTTGAAAATGAGTTTTCACAAAAAAAAAATAGTGAAGGTTTCGCAATGCAGAGCATCAAATTTCAATTCCAATTCCCAGAATTGCAGTGGAAACAATTTCCCAGAACTCACCAAATACCACTCATTTTGCCATAGTTCGTCGTTGAATTCCTGATCTGGCGGCTGATAATAGTCCTCGTCCAGCATCACACTGTTGTCCATGATGTCAAAGTACTTCCAAATGCTCCTCTTGTCGCGGGTAAGCTTCTTCTGCTGCGCCGCCCACATGACGTCACTGTTCTCATGCAGGTCCTTGACCGTCGTTTCGGACCTCTTGAGGCCCCTTCCGGAGCCAAGCGCGCTCTCGAAGACAAAGATGTTGGGGAAGCCTGTGACCTGCGGATGGAGAGTGCGCTCAAATTACAGGCACAAGTCACCTTGACCCTCAAACGCACAAAGGGTGTAAAAATAGTCGAGCGCTTTTGTGAGACTGCTCCGCCCAGGGATTTCTCGTCCTTTGCAAATCCCTCTCACGGGACGAGTCATCAATTTAAATCAAATAACACATCGAACAACAAGTTCGGGGCAAAGTGTCAATCAGGACATCGGCGTGGGTGCTTTTTGCCGTAATGCAAATTACTTTGGGATTCGCAGAAGAGTTCCATTTCATCAAAAGAACAGAGATAAATTTTTCACCGTGCAGATGTAATTGCACATTGTTAGGGATTCTGCAAGCCTTATTTCAATATCCAACTAATTGTTGTTGGAAAAGTATTGCTTTGGATTCTCAGAGTAATATTGAAGTTATGAAGAAGTGCACTTGACATGTCTCATTGAATATATTTCAAGGATTGTTTGTTGATGCAGAAGGAATCATTCTTATTTGAGTGGGAGATCAAAAGAGAATATTTGCTTTGTGACAGCATTTAAACCCCATCCATATAGTGAGTCTGAGCGAAAAATATTCACACGCACTGGAGATTTCTATCTGTGATGTAGAATATGTTGTAGAGATTCACACTATTCGGCATTATGTGATTATGGTCTTATCACTTCCGCGTATTTCCAATGCGGACGCGTCCAGTAATTGGCATCGCGTCACTAATGAATTCAATATAGGCGCTCAATTTGCAACAGGTGGCGTGAAACAAGCTCCAGCGTGAGCTGGAATGATGAATGGGCGGCGCAGTTGATAAGGGTGCCTGGCGGGAAGGGTGATGGGCAGATAATCCGGCCGATATTGAGTTCGTCTCGCACCGATAGACACACGCTTGTTTGCTGGATTGATTGTGTGCTGACGGCGAAACCGCGGATTTGCGAGAGTCTTGTATATTGTTTAATTTGCGAAATTGCGCAAATGCACACCCTCACCTTCCTGTACAGCTTGTAGCCCGTGACTTGGGCCAGCTGGGCCGCGTCCACATCACTCAGGCCCTCCCGCAGGCGAACCACCCAGAAGCGATTGGGCAGCAAGTGCCGATAGACTGCCGTGGTGGCAGTGAGGCAGAGCAGCACGAGGGCGAAGGATCGCATCTCGAGACACTCGCGCGAACTATCTCACCGTTGGCCTCCGCCGAGAGACCGTTGGGAAGTGATTGGCGCTGTCGCAGCGCAGCAAGCTCGCACCGCGACGGTCGCCCACACGTCCCTCAGCACCTCGTTTTATCAGCAGAATCTCCGTGCGTTTGCTTGGAAAGCTGGGGAACGTTTGGGGGGGAAAATGCATCGAAAACATTGGCCATGTTCTTTGGCATCTTCTATTTGTGTGAGAAGCATCCAATCCTGTGATTAATTCAATCCTGTGTAATCCTCAAGAACAGCAGATGAAATTCACAGGAAGGGGTATTTTTAAATTGCAGCTAAATGCAAAACCCAGCAAATCCTCTCGAAAGCCAGAGATTTACTCTCTCTCTCTCTCTCTTCTCTCTCAGGCCACACACTCATTTTTATATGGCATGGAAAATCGGACAAAGGGAAGTGCATGCAAATTAAACCACCTGTTTATTAGCTGAAACCTGATCAGAAAAGAGCAGTATATTAAGCAAAATATTAAGAAAATTGATCGAAATTAGCTAAATGAAGCGTACAAATTTGCTTGACACTGCGTTGAAATATCAATGAATATCGATACAAAATACCTGAAATTTCCTTTTTTAACACAATTCTAGGGTAAAAATGGGACTGATGTGAACAAATATTGACTAATGAATACTTAAATTGTAGATTTAAACTATTTTTCCCCTAAAATTGTGTTAAAACTTGCTTCAAATTCATTGTCGATCATTTGACAGCTAGCGAAAAATGACGCTAACCCAGTTGAGTTTCCTCTATCGACCGCAGCAATCGCTGATCGGTTCCATTTCGATGTTTTTGCTTAGCATTTTTTGTTCGAGGACTGCTAAAATTTGAGCTCAGGCATTTTAGCTAAAGCTGCTGTCTTCTTTTAGCTTTTGTTGTGCACTGGGAAAGCGCACTATTCAGTTACGGACAACAATACATGGGCTGAATTTCACCTTGGTAAGTTCTTAAGCTAATGCACCACGATGGAATATTGGAGAAAGGTTGTAAATAAGAGCTTGGGGCGATTGAAGCAAGTACCTGGAAATTCACGCGCTGGAAAATTCAACTGACGATTAAAGAAAAAAGAACTATTAGAAAATGATGCAAGAGTTCTACTAATTGAATAGAATTGTGGATGAATGCCTTGAGAGCAATTGCATCAAGTGACTGAAAAATGCACAAGCTGGAATATCCAAGGAAATAGAACGGACGGAGAAGAAGAATAGATAAAAGGTAAAAATGTCTTTAAATTAATGGTATTTAATGCAGATATTAACAAAGAATTTGTAGGGAAAATCAACGAAAATTCTTTTCATTTTATTTCCTCTCAATCAACACATTGAAAATAATTTCTCCACATCATTTCAGTACAATTGAAATCAACTCAATCATTCTACTTATGCTGATAAAGAAATTTCTTGGCACTCTGTTCAATCTGGAAACGCTGAAAACAATTCTAGTTGTCATGGTTTTGTTCAGAGTTGCTGAATAGATGCAAATTTTGAATGTTTGAGAAAGTCTGCATACCGAAATTGATGATCTATTGTTTAATTTAGGGAATTTAGGTAGGTATTGTTGGTAAAATGCATAGAATTTCAGCTTAAAACTTCTAGCGCTTCGAGCTCAAACAACCCCTTCTCAACCCTCTTGCACACACTTGCTTATTGAGGCTCTCTGTGTAATTCACAGGTCAAATAGCACACATCAAAAGCATTACTGCAGCTTAAGTTATTCATGCGAAATTAACCATCAGAATATATACTCAAATTCTATGTAGTTTTGGAATACATAATTGAGCAAACTCACTAATTGCAAAGTGAGCCAATTAAATTGCTATTAAATTCCATTAATGCAATTTAATCACTTCAAAGGATGCACCGAGTGAATAAGCAGCTCTGTCCTTTCTAATAAACTCTCTAATTGCAATAAGGCTCCTCTCCTTTGCACGGAATGCAGGCAAAGCAACCGCACTTGAATAGGACTCACGTTTGCCTTGTTCACACAAATTAAATATAGTCATGTTCAATTTCTCCATTTCAATTCCAACATTTTTGCTTTCTTTTATTGCGACCAACACATTCACTCTGCTTTATAAATACCATGCATTCTTCTACGTCTCTACAGTATATTCACAGTTACTGGGCAGCGCCTGCTTCCTCGCCCGTGAGCCTGCGGAAGTGCGGGGGCGCGCTCTCGCTGGGCAAATCGCTGGGCGCGGGTGCGAAGTGCTTGGAGGAGTCGCGCCTGAGGCTCTTGGGAATGGGACCGATGATCTGGATGGGTGTGTTTCGCGGTATCTGCGGAATGGGCACGAATCCACGCTGGCGCCACGCGTGATTCTCCGGCACGACATCTCTGGATTCTCTGGACGCCGTCAGAGGCACTTGTGGAATGGGGAAGGGATCCTCGCCGCGCTGCAGCGTCCACAGAGGCGATGGCCGAAAGTCAGCGGGCAGCGGAGTTTCTCTGCTGAACTCCTTCATCTCCTCAGGCTGCTGCTTCTTCCCCTTTCGCCGTTCCGACTCACTGGGATTCTCTCTGGCGGAGGATTCGCCCTTGGTGCTCTTCACGGTGTCCGCATAGCGCATAGATCCGCGAAAAGGACGACTCTGTTCGCGCTTTGTGCTTGCAGTGATATCAAAGTCCTCTCGACGCTCCATCCGCGTCGAAATCCTATCCACAATCCTATCAATGAGGCGCTTCTGCATGTTGCTAAACTTGGCCGCCATTGCGGGATTCATGGACATCTCGCTGGGCATCACCAGTGAATTGCTCTCGCGCTTCAGTTCACTCAACACCTCCTCAATCATGTCACGATGATTGCTGTCCACCTGCGTGCAGAGCAATTTTTATTTTATTTTTTTATTGATGGAAAGCGTGGACAGTTAGAGAGATATTAAATTAAAATACTCACAGCTATTGGTTTTGGTGGACTTTCATCGCCCTCTCTCGTGGCGTTCTTCCTCACGAAGCCCTTCCTCTTGGTCGGATCGTAGTAGAGATTGCGCTTGGGAGCTCTTGGCCTCTGCGTTGTCCTCTTGACGTCTTCAGGCACATCTTCAATCCGCTGCATCTCAAGGCGCGTCAGAAGCTCTCTCGGCGTTGTGCTGGTAATCTGAGATGCCGGAGTGCCGAATCTCGTCCTGTTCCTGTACAATTCCTCAAGGAACTTCCTATTCTCACTGTTCGCCACCTTAAACACCGGCTTCCCCTCAACCGGAGTCTCAAGCTGCGTTTCATTAATCTTCAGAATGGGCATGAATCGCTTTCTGTTCACATTGTTGTATCTGAACTTCTTAGTTGCCTTCAATGCGTCTTGAGTCGTTAGATTTGGACTCTCGTTTGATAGTGTGGCGCGTGTTTCTCGAGGAGATTCCACGGGAAAGACAAGAATCAGGTCATCTTCTGGCTGATCGCCCTGAAAGGCGCGCATGCGGCGATCCGAGGAATTCTTCGACTCTTCCGTAGGATAAATCACAAGAACGCCTTCTGTGGTCGTTGGAATCTCCGTTGTGAAGTCAAATCTTGCGTCCTCAGTGTCCGTCGTGACATCCTCAGTGGCACTCTCTGTTGTCACCGCATCCGTGGTCACTTCAGCTTCCGCCAAAGCGCTCTTCGTGCTCCTCTCCGCGCTCACAGTCACTTGAAATGTGCAACAGCGCTCGTGCGTTTCGTCGGGACAGCGCAGCACGCGTGAGAAGTACATCTGATCCTCGGGCGACACCCGGAAGACGCCCTTGCACATGTTCACAGGCAGACACGGACACATGTCCATGTACTCGGCGGCTCGGCAAGCGCCGAAGAGCCCCACAATCACCACAATCACCCAACACTTCATCTCTCGAGAGCAGCAAACGGACTAGGCGTCCGCTGGCCCTGCCGCTGCTCTCTTATACCTGGCCTCGCCTCCCGGATGCCCCGCACTGAGTTTCACGACTTTAACAACCGACAAAGTCCCGTGTGTGTGACCACATTGCTCAATGAGTGGTTTCATTGAGAGTGAAAATGCTCAGTTGCCTTTTGCCAAAATTCGGCATTTCCTCCACGCACGATAAAGTCTCACATCTCAATTGATTCTTTTGCCTTTATTGTTAGATCTTCTTGACAATCTGCACGACATCCTCATCGTTCAGAATGTGGTCAATGCCCACCTTCTGCGGCTGATGCTTCACCGAAGATCCCCACACGAGAGCACTGCAAAGAGGGAAAAGTTTGTGAAATTGTCGCCGAAATTCAATTATGTGACTTTCACTTTTGGCCAAAAGGGTTGGGATCGAATTTAAAAAAAAAGTGCTGCTTTTGACCTGGAGCGAGATGACCAAACAAGAGGCCTGTGAAATGAACTTACTACTTGAACTCCTTGGCGATCGAGCGGTGGAGTTTGTTGCAGAAGTCCTCGACGGACGTGCGCTCGGAGTGCAGCACCACGGGCGAGCTGTAGTCCGGCAGCTGTCCCTTGGGCTTCGTGTAGATCCTGATGAGCTTCAGGTACTCCCACATGAGCTCCAGCAGATCGTCGAAGTTCCAGCGGTGGTGCGCGGAAATGGGCACGCAGTGCGGGATCTTGTAGATCACGTCCAGCTCCTCGATGCTGATCTGGTCGATCTTGTTCAGCAGGTAGATGCACGGGATGTAGATGCGGTTGCCCTCGATCACGTCGATCAGGTCGTCACTCGTGGCGTCGTAGCGCAGCGTGATGTCGGCGTTGTGGATCTTGTACTCCGACAGGATGGTCTTCACGGTGTCCAGATCGAGTTCCGACTGCGCCACGGTGGCGTTGAGGTTGATGCCGCCCTTGTCCTTCTTGCGGAAGTGGATGTTGGGCGGCTGCTTGTTCAGCCGGATGCCAAAGCCCTCCAACTCGTGCTCGAGCAGCTTCTTGTGGTGCAGCGGCTTCAGCACGTCCAGCACCATGAAGATGAGGTTGCACGTCCGCGCCACGGCGATCACCTGGCGACCGCGACCCTTGCCATCCTTGGCACCCTCGATGATCCCCGGGAGATCGAGCAGCTGCCACGAAAGCACTCACTTTAGCAATCTGGAAATCGCGAATAGTCTTTCCGGACTGACCTGAATTTTGGCGCCCTTGTATTTTATGCATCCCGGCACAGTGGTGAGCGTCGTGAACTCATAGGCCGCCACCTCGGAGTACACGCCGGCCAGGTTGGACAGCAAAGTGGACTTCCCGACGGACGGGAAGCCCACAAATCCCACCCGAGAATCTCCAGTCTTGGCCACCTCGAAGCCCTGCTCGCCAGCGCCGCCGCCGCCCTTTGGCGTGATCAGTTCCCGACGCAGCTTGGCCAGGCGAGCCTTCAGCAAGCCCAAGTGCCCCGCCGTGGCCTTGTTCTTCTGCGTCCTGGCCATCTGCAGAGGAAAACATACCATAAGTCCCTAACCTTCCCACGCACTCTCAGCGCTTTTCCACTCACCTCCGCCTCGATGGCGGCGATTTTCTCCACAATCGTACTCATTGCGACTCGTGCAGCAACTCAACAGGGATCTAAACACACAAATCAACTCGGAAATTGAGGAAAATCTCACATTTTCCTCACAGATTTGCCAACATAGCGCGTGGTGAGGTTTGCAATTTGATTTGACAGCCGGCGATATATCGATATATCGACTATCCAAGAATTTCCGCCGTTATCTAGCTTTTTGAATTCGAAACGAAAATTTGGGATTAACCCATCAATTATTCTCTTGGTTGCTTGGTTAATTGACAATGCTGATGTTATTAATAATAAAATATGTTTTATTTGCATATTAATATATTACTAAAATAAAAATAAATCGATACTTTAATACAATACAGTATAAATAAATTTATTCATCTCTCTTTTCATCATAAATTTCTTTTATCTTCTCTCTCAGTGTGATAATGCAAAAATGGCAAAGTTTCAAGTACAAATATGTATATTTACAAAGAGTTAAGGAGAAGCACGAAGCATCGAAAAGTATCCATTATTATTATTTTTTAGTAGGTATATATATATAATTTCCCTTCTCAATATCGATGATTTTGGTTGTTAAACACTCATTTAGAACTGATAATTATTTTTCTTGTTATCCTTTTCATGCAAAATCATATTTACAATTAGATTTTAGGGTTTTTAGGAGTGAGAATAAAACGAAGGAGAAGAATAAGGATATTCTTGTCTTTTTCTCATCAATTTTTCTCAGTGCTTTCATTCAGACACATTCCAAGAATTAAGGTTATCTTGTGGTTAGTATAAGATTATTGCTTCCATTGACGGTCTATCTAAAAGGTTTCGCTTTTATTCAAAAAATACGTGCCAAAAGACTATGCAAAAATTTCCTCGCAAAAATCTACTTTATTACTCACATTTTTTTTATACTCTCTTTTGCATTTTTTGCTTCTTTTCTCTCCTGTATAAAAGATGAATTTGCAAATTTAACATTTTTTCCTAAGCTAACCTACTCTTGATCATCTTTCTTTCATGTCTCATTGCGCCTATTCTATATAGCATGATTTATCTACTCTTCCTCTTTCTCCGTTCTCTCCTTCTTTTCATCCATTATATTTGTAAATTGGCAATTTTTTTTTATTATTTTTTGCGGAAGATTCATTACAATTATTTGATATCATTTCTCAGCACTTCAACTTTTTCTTCATTCATTGTATGTATTATTATTTTCTGTCCTTGCGCCGCGCTTTTCATCTAAATAATGTAATAAAATACAAATTGTATATCATCACAAGTATAGCTCAACAGCCTTTTCACATTGATTTCTCTTCTGTTATTTTCTTCAAACAAACAAATTACAAAAGACTAACACCAAAAATTGTTGATAAAAAAAAGTCTTCCAACCATTTGGAATGCTGTTTGATGCATAAAACAATGATGAAACTTAGGAATAAACATTTAGTAACAGATAGTAAAAAAGAAATGAAAAATGTTGTTTTGCTGCAACAAAAGGATCAACATTGAAAAAACTACACATCCTTTTTCTTCTTTAATCTCTACATACAATATTGAACAGAATTACACTAAGAATTTATATTTAAAATAATTATTCATTTTTTTCTGTGTATTTACAACAATTCTGGGATTGCAAATGTAATAGGAAATTAAGGGTTCATTCTTAACGCGCTAACTTAGAATAATTTACAATTAGTTCGATTAGTTTGGTTAAGTATTTGCAAATAATTTCATAGGTTTTTTCCTTTCTTACTTTCTTTCATCCTCTTACTCAATCTGTTTCTAAATTTTCCTCTTTCCTCCACATCCTCAATTGAAATACAAACCACATGTTCTGGACGTGAGAAGAGAGGAAAATCTCTCTAGCAGTTTATCTTATAAATATTATTGTATTATTGTTATTTCTCCCCGACAAAAAAAAACTCTTCTTCGTCTGCTCAACCCTCCGAATACGACGATAAGCTGCTCCTCGTGGATCCAGTTAAATCACGCGGTGATGAGTCAGTTGGAAGAGGAACTATTAGATTTCCACCATAAAGAGCTTCCATTTCTTCCAATTGTTGAGCAAAAGTCTCCTCAAGGCGCTGCAAAGAGACACAAATGCAACAATTAAGTCTCAACATACAGTTCAAGAGTGTGCCAGAAAGATACTCAAGAGTCATCCTTGACAAGATTTAACATATATATATATTAATTCTCTTCTGCAATGAAAGATCTTATTCACAGTGTATTTGTGTTTATCTTCTGTACAATTTCTCTCTTTCCCACCCCACAAAAAAAAACTCATTTACAAAACACTTTCACATTCTGTACAAATTCAATCAATTAACTGCCTCTAAATAAAGCACATCACAAAACATGTGAACAAGTTCTTTGCATCACAGTTGATCAATTAGAATTAAACCATCAAGTGTTAATCTTAAAGGATAGAGATTTGAAAGAAAACCAACCTTTTTGTGATTTGTTCTAATCGGTCCCAAAGCTCTCTTCTAATATCCCAATCACCATCAAAAGTCTCATTCTCCACACTCTTTTTTCTTGCATGTGAATTATATTGATACAGTTGCACATGCTTTTAGGATGGCTTTGTTTAGTTTCCACAAGTTGAGTTAGTTTTGCAGGATGAGGAATGGTAAGGTTAGGAAAGCAGGCAATTTGAACATGTTCACTCTCAATTTTATGAATAAAAACTCTGCAAAATGAGCAATATAAAACATGTACTCAGATTTGAACCTGTGTTTCTTGACTTTTGCCTCAATCTTCAACATCGCAGGTTCAAATCTCAATTAGAGAAAAGAAATTTAGTCATTTTTTTGCAAAGTTTTCCATCACTTTGAGCCTGAAAATCATGTCAAATTTCCGGATTAAACAAAATAAACATGCACTTAACATAAACCGAAACCTAAGTGTACATAAACAAAAAAAAAAGAAAACGGGAAGAAGAACCTGTACAACAAACATAGGAAACAACAAAACATGTTCGGTTGTGTGACGAAACGAAAGAATTTGTGTAGTAGAAACATGGAGTATTTAATAATAATTGATGATCCCTGCTCCAATTTTGCACAGCAATATAATAATAATGGCACACAACATAAAGTGGACAGAGAGAGAGAGAGAGAAGAGAAGAAAGGAGAGAGAGAGAGAGAGAGAGAGTGAAGGATTGTCGGTATCATTTGTTCAAGCTGCCGAATCATCGACACTGTCGCCATGCTGCCAGTGTGGGCGCGAATCCACCCTCTTCAGTATGACTCTCGTAGATGTTTCCCGGTCCGCCGGCGCCGCCGCCTCACTCTGGGTGCCCCCGAGTGAGACACGCGGAATGGAGTACCGCGGAGTGCTGGTGGCGACCGGGGAGTCATGACCTGAGAAACTATTGGTGCCACGCACATTTCCCCACTTACTAAAGCCGCCATCACCATCGATCGCCACAGAGATCTTCTCCCTGGACACCACAGACACTCTCTGTGCCGCCGTCACATTCGTTGCCGATGAGCTTTGGTGCATTTTTGAGCGATTTGTCATAGCTTCCATTAAATTACTGGGTTTCTTTACCGGCATTCGCCTGTCACTGCTCGAGTATCTACTCAGTCCGTCCACACTGTTCCTCGCCGGATGATGATGATGGTGATGATGGATTGGCGGCAGTGAAGCAATCGAGCGCCCAATTTGCTGACTCAGGTTCTTCGCGCCCGGAATCCTCTTCGGCTGCTCCTCACTCGACGTCCGTCGCAGCTGCACGCCGTCGCTCGTGAACACGTACTTGGACGTGGACGGCGCAAGTGGCGGCTTCTTCTTCACCGGCAGCGTCTGGCTGCCATTGATCGTGTCCGTGGAGGACTCCTCCAGCACAGAGTCCACCGAGTTGGCCAGCGTGAGCTTCTGACTGATCTGTGGCGTGTTCGGCACACTGCGACTCAAATCCGGCACAGAGCCGTGCATTGAGTCCCGCGCGGAGTGTGACAGGGATAAGAGTGTCCTGGAGCGTGTTAGGCTGCCCAACAGTCCTCCATGGAGGCGCATCGGGCGTGAATTGAACATGGTGTTGTGACGCAAGTGTGGCGGCACCACAATATCACCATCAAACTCTTTTCGATCTGTTTGCACATTGTGCTTCTTCTCATACTCATCAATCATGGCAGAGAGGGAGTTAATACATTTCTGGAAAATGGCGGTGGTTATTTGGTTAAGAATATAGAGAGAAAAGAGCATTTTGGAAATATTAAAGCAGTTGTACAACTATTCTCTTAAATTACAAAATTTCAATACTATAGAATTGTGAAATACACTCTGTCTAAATCAAAGGCAAACGAATTCTGTGTGTCATGCTACAAAAGAAATAAATAAAATAAACGGGAGCAATTCTGCACAACAGCAAAGCAATCAATCAATTTCCTTAGTATTTTCAGAGTTTCAGGTAATTGGCATTGATTTTGAGCTATTTAAAGTTGAATTCCTCAAAAAATCACTTCTTAATTCACCTTTATTTGAATCTTATCAGCATTTTACTTAAAGCAAACAACAATTTATTATGGAAAATGCACTAAAAATGTCTTCTTTTTCTCAAACACCTTTGTTGAATTGTTAGAAAGTTAGAATCCATCAAATTTAGTAATAATCAAACATTTCTGCCAAATACCAAAAGCCAAAATATCATCATTTCGAGAACTAAAAAGCAACATTTTTGCACGGAAATTCTCCCCTTTGATTCTCTCAATTTGAAAATTACTTTTCTCTTTTTCAAATCTATCTCTACAAATTGAACCAAAGATTGTGTATAAAAGGTTTTTCAGCTAAGAATAAGGGAGGAAAAATCTGTGTTTCGTGTATTAGTATTTCTTGGAGGTCGCAAAGGATGCAGAAGCCAATAGAGAAAATTGATAACAGAGAATGTTTACCGCCAAGACGACATTGCGATGCAATTGTGTGTAACATACCTGTTTGCGTGGCAGCAATTGTGCCTTCCACTCACGCATGTCACGCTGTAGAGCCTCATCGCACTCACGAAGCTTTGCTGTCTCATGCTCCAGCAAGGCTTTGCGCTTCTCATTCTGCAATTGCTCCAATTCTCTGCAATGAAAAGGTGTGATAAGAATCATTTTTCTCACTTTTCCCTTCTTCTGCATCACTTCCAGGACATTTCCCCATTACCTTATTGTTCCTTCAGCTGTCGCTCGCAACTCTTCCAATTGCCTCAAATGCTTCGTCTCAAAGCGCTGCTGCTCCTGATTGTAGCGCTTCTTCTCCTGCTCTTGGAACTGCCCAAAAATACATAAAAAATAAGGATTGTTAAGTTGATAGAATTAAACTTATATGCTCACACATCAATTTCACATAAAATACATCATAATAAATTAATCTACACTTCGTGCAAAATGACATTTGTGCGTGTGATGCTTCACGACGCGCAGAGAAAGCCATTAAAGTGTCTCTAAAATTAACTACTCTTCAGAAAAAAAAATGATAAACGAGACAGAATGTCTACATTAAATATCGGCTAAGCAAAGAAATCTCTTTTTCTCTCTTTTGACTGGTCAGTTTTCCGCTCTCATAATCAAAAAAAATCAGAGAGAGAGAGAGAGAAAGAGTGTGTAAAAAATAGTCACATTCCACTTTTTTTCCTACCTTCTTCAGCTTCTCTCTCTCCGCTTCCGGATCCAAGTGTGTGGATATTCTCAGTGATTCTCTGTACATTGCATCCCTCACTTTGCGCTCCTTCTGTATTCGCTTGGGCAGAGCGCGTCTCTCAATGGTCTGCCTCTTCAGGAGGTCCTCCTCCTTTCGTTGTAGCATTCTGTTGGCAAAACACACAGAAAATATTCATTTTTGTTTTCAAACTCAACAACAACTCAAATGCTATGAATAGACGGCAATTAATTTGATAAATTTGAGCATATTTTCAGAATCTCCGCACTGAAAACATCATTTCCAGGTGATCCACTTACCGTTTTATTTGGTCCAACTCCTTCTCATGACGCACAATCATCTGGTGGCGCTGCATAAAGCACAAATCCTTCACACTCCGCTTCGCCAGCTGGTGCTTCTCGTGGATCTGCTTCTCCTCCAGCTCCCACAGCATCGCCTCGCGCGTCCTCATCGCCGTCTGCTTCTGCTGCAAGTAGTTCTTGTCAATGGTCGCCAGTCGATCGCGGTGCTTCTCACTGAGTCGCCTCAGGGCGATCTCGTGGCTCTCGCTGAGCGACGACAGGAATGCCCTCTCCTTCTCATCATGCTCCGCCTCCATGGCCGCCTTGCGCTTCGGGAACTCCAGCTTTCGCCTCTCCTTCGGCAGCAAGTCAATCTCCTGCTTCAGCAGCTTGATCTCCTGCTTCAGTCCATCGCGGAACAACTTCAGATCGCGCTCCTGCTCGCCGCGGATCTTCTTGGACGTGGCACGCAAATCATTCTCCTGCTGCTGCTCAGTCTTATCAATCAGCTGTCGATGCTGACGCGTCAGGCCATCCATGTCCGCCTCATAAGTCCTCTGCAACGCAATGTGCTCCTGCTCAAAGCGCCTCTCTTGCTGCTCCTTCGCCAGCTGCTCCTTGATCTGCACATCCTGAAATTGCTTCTTCTCGATCTTCTGCAGCAACTTCAGCTCCCTGAGCTCTTGCTTGCGCAAGAAGTGATCATCGTACACCTTCCCATTCTCATTGTCCCCATAGATCACCTTGCTGGTGGTCGTTGTCACCTGAACCCCATCAATTGTGAACTTTCGCGTGCGCTTGCGCGTCTTCTTCTGCAAATTCCTCAAGTGAATCTCCTCCTTGGTCTGCTCCGTGCGCTGCCGACGAACAATCACCGCATTGCTGGGCTCCTCCTCCGGTTCACGACTGTCATGACTAGCTGTTGTGGCAATACTCTCAGCATCACTCCGATCCTTGTGATGATTATTCGCCACCTTGGCCGATCGCATCGATCCAGACTCACTCTGTGTCCGGCTGTCCATGCTGCCCACCGAACTATCCGGAGAATTCCTCTTGTCCGGCTTCTTCTTCTCCTTGTTCACAATCACATTCACATCATCGCGACTTCGCACCTGGAAATGAGAGCGATTTTCCTGTAAATCATCATCAGTCAGTCAATCAATCAAGATCTTCGCTCACCTGTCCATTCACCCTCGATGGCTTCGGCTTCACCTCTTCACTGGATTCACTGTGAGTCACGGACACATTGGACAAATCACTCGTTGACTCATATTTTGGCTGTTTCGGCACATTCGACGAGTCCTTCACCTTCACTTGCTCCTCTCCCACCGTCACAACGGAGACATGCGTCGTGTCCAGAGCAGAATCCTCTTCCTCCTCCGCAAAGCTCGAGCCGACAATCAACACTTCACTCTCATCCAACTTCCTCGCCGTCTTGCCGCCCTTCTTTCTCCCCTCTGATCTGTCGGGGATGACAATTGTGCCGCCGGCCGCCTTCTTAGGCGTACTCTCGAGACTGTCCAGCGACGGATAGTCATCGTCCGTGGAGTTCTCATTCACATGCGTCTTATTCAGCTCATTGCTTACAATCACCACCTCATTCTGCACCTCCGGCGGCGGCACATAAGGAATGGAATTGTCAATGATCACGGGCGGATGGCTCGTGACAACCGTCACTTGACTCACATTACTCGCTAGACTGTTGGACGGATCCGGCAGTTCAGAGTTAATTGTCACAGTGGAAGTGTTTGTATTGCCCACAGCAATGGAATTGGAGAATGACGGCGAAGGTGTTCCCCTGTCATCACTGGAACTCACAAAGACACCACCACCAGTCTTGTCCTCCTTCTCCTCCGCCTCAATCACCTCCGCCGGCAACTCGACGATCTCCTCCAACTCCGTGGACTTTCTCTGCTCCTTCGCATACTTCAGAACAGGCGGACTTGGCGCCACATCCTTCTTTCTCGTCTCACCCAAATTGTCCGGATGATCTGCCGTCAACGGCGGCTCTTGCTTCACTTCTGTCGGCGTGACAACGGCCGGAGGACGCGGAGCCGGACCCTTTTCCTTCTTCACCACCGCCTTCTTCTCCTCCGCAGCATCTCTCTTGGCCTCCTCGGGCCTCTTCTCCTCCTCATCGGGCACAGGTGTGGACTCTTTGGAGTCTTTGGGCGTTTTCGTTGGCAATGATGGTTCTGAAACTACCAAAATAAGTCATGTTTAGTCACAGAAATTCCCTCTCAACGTCACAAAACACCCCCGAAATTAGATTAGAACATGATTTACACATCGAATCTTGACTAACTCATAAATACCATATGGCATAAAATACTAATTACAATGAATGAGTAATTAATTACACGACATGCACGAGTCACTCGCAAGTGTGAAATGTGGAAATTCATTACAATTTTACTCTCATATCATATTCCATTACATCAAACACTCTAGAGAACTTGTGAAATATTCCATCAAAATTACTGCCAAAATGTCTCTCAAGTTGCTAATTGACGACATTCCAGTGTCTTCTATAATATGACAAACTTTTCTCACATGTACAAAACTATTTTCTTAATTAAATACATCCCGATAAGTCAATAATGAGCAGAAGAACTCACCTTTTTCAGTTTCTTGACTCTGTACAGATGAAGAATCATCGTCCAGATCGAGCGGCAACGCCGAATTGCGGGGTTCCTGAAACAGTGTCAAAACAACGGAAAAGATATTGAGACTATTCCACTCTTATCACACACATATGATGGCTAAATTGTCTTTGAAAGGTTAATTGGTTTATGTCAGACCGTCAACCAATATCCAGTCTGACAACTTACCAACCCTCTGATACATGGATCGTCTCTTTGCCTGCCTCTTCGCTTTCTGGCGGCGTCCAGGTGAGTCAGAAACAAGTTACAACAATCACCCAAATACAGTGCGCACACACAAGTGCCTTTCTTACCTCCGTCTCCTCGTCCAGCACCTCCTCCTCCACCACTTCCGCCTTGTACTCCAGCAGCAGATCCTTGATGGGCTTGCTGTCCAGGTGGCCACTGATGAAGGGCAAATTGAGGAGAGTGTCTGTCGTCGGTCGATTCTGTGGATCCTTCACCAGTGCGCGCGCTATGAAGTCATTGAACTCCTTCGACCACTTGGACGGCTGATCGAGCTTCGGCGGATCACTCTTCTGGATCTTCAGCAGCACTCGCATGGGAGACATCTCCGAATTGGGCGGCTCCATTTGGGCGAACTCAATCAATGTGATGCCCAGCGACCAGATGTCCACCTTGAAGTCATACGGATTCTCACGGAATGTCTCGCACAGCACCAATTCGGGCGCCATCCAGTACGGCGTGCCAATGAACGTGTCGTGCTTCTGCAGCGTGTGCTTATTCTTCGCACTCACGCCAAAGTCCGCCACCTTCACGCCGCCGTCCATTGTCAACAGCACATTGCCCGCCTTCAAATCCCTGTGGATGATCTTGTTCTTGTGCAGGAAATTCAGTCCAGCCGTCATGTGTTTGCACACATACGCGATTTGTGGCTCAGTCAGTGGCTTCTCCAGCTCCACCATGATACTATCCAGCGCCCCGCCGTCGCAGTACTCAATCAGCATCCACAGCTTGTCATCGAGCGAGAAAGCCTCGTACAGCTCAACAATATTGAGATGCTTGATCTCCGACAGAATGTCAATCTCCACCATATGATCACTAATGTTCTCCTCATCCTCCAGCGTGCACATCTTCGCCGCCGCAAATCTGCCCGTCTCCTTGTGCTGCGCCTTGTACACCTTGCCAAACGCCCCGTCACCCAGCTCGCCCACCATCTCCCAGTAGTCCGTGGGATCCGTGTCCATGCGGATGTTGTTGTACAGGCGCTTCTTCTTCGCCTCGCCACCGCCCAGGTGGAACACCTTCTTCAGATTGTTGAGGAACGACATCTCGTCCGACTCTCTCACACAACGTCACACAATGTCTCCCTATCACAATTGATATGCCACGATTGATTAATCTCTGCGTGAGTTGATTTTGTCCGCCTGTGATTCTCTCCAGCATGCATTAATGGACCACGAGTCGTATCGATTCTTCCGCTCGCTGATAATCACATGAACAGTTGAGGCGCCACAAATACTGGCAATTTACTGTCTCGAGCATCCTTTCTTCACATCGATTCCCTCCACAGCATCATCTATCACGGAGACAAGAGCGCCGAGTGAAGGAGAAAGAGAGAAAGGAGACAAATTAGTGATTGCTTTTGAAATTTTATGCTCTTTCTTTAATCAAAATGTGATCATCTCTATAAATTACATGAAAAGTGACTCTTCTTTCACCGCCGATAACAATTATTTCATGGCTGTTGTTACTGTGTCAATGATAAGATACAAAACGGGGAAATCATTCAAAGTTTACGCATTTATCACGATGGCATTCCATTGGAATTCTCTCGCAAAAACCAATTAACACTCAACACACACACACGCAATCACACCCACACTAATTTCTCTCATTAGCCATAGTGTCTTTTCCCTCTGCACTTCATGTTCATAGTATAAAAACCATAGAAATCATGTTTGACCAAGTAAATAGAGACATCTTGAGGAATGATAGCGATATTCAGATGAATCTCATTAAGTAAATGATATCGTGATGCATCATTTGATAGTAATCTGTACAATAACATTCACTGCTTTTCCATCAAGAGTAAAGGAAATTTTTCTTTTATAATACCCTGCAAAATATTCTCCACCATGAGAAGTTAATTCTCTCGTGATAACGCTATTATCTCAGTGATTACAATAAGGAAGGCGACAAGTAGCTTTGCCAGAACAAACAAATCAGAAATACACAAAAAATATTTCAAGACTGCCTTTCACGTGATTGAAAAGTCCAATTCTGCCTTAAGATTTTTCTAGGATGCTAATGAATCATGACCACTCCCTCCTCGAAGCTCCGCCCCTCTCGAATTTAATACCTCTTTCTTTACCGCAAATTCTCAAAAATCTGATTTCTTAGACATTTTCATATATTTTCCCATTTTAGTCTTGCCGATCTGGAGCAACATTTCAGAGTGTGAATTTATTAAAATGAATTCATTGAACTTTCAAAGATATTCCACACCATAAAATCACCCACGGAAAATGACATCCACATATAGAAAAAACAAGAGTTCATAAACTCCCAAGAACGCTATTTTGATTGATTTTTTTCTTGTTGACCTCATAATATCATTATCATTCTGCGATTATGCTGGTCTCTTCCTTATGAATTATTACAACTCTCGTGTCGTTTTTCTCCACGCTTTGCCAATTTTACATAATACATGATAAAAAATCAATGAAATGTTGTAGTGTAAAAAGTGTTCAAATGTTATGCAACACTGTAGAATTGGATTGAATTCCATCGATTGTGGAATTTGCTAATTGTACACCTTCTTTTTTTTCCTAGTAAATGTGGCTTCGCTGGTGCCTCAACGAAGCCAAGTGTTTAATTAATGAAAACTGACCATCGCGCACACAATTGTCTTGCACATCTCTCTCTCTCTCTTTCTATGATCTGTTTACGATCTGCAGCATCAGCCCAGCGAGTAGTTGAGGAAAGAGACTTGCTAAATTAGTGAGCAATAATTAAAAGAGTGAAAAACAGCCATAAGAAAAAGTCTCTCTCTCTTCCTCTTCTCCTCTCTTCCTCTCGACAAAATAAAAATTACAACAAGAGTAAGAAGAGAAAAAAAAGAATCAGACGATGTAAAAGAAGCAATAACGGAGTTGTGGTGAGTCTTTGGGGGTCATCATCTAAATCTATACGCGGAATGGTCCGTCAAGTGGAACAACCACATACACAGAGTCTCTCATTGGATCCATAAGATCGTCACTGCAGAGGATTCGCTGCACTTTGTGCGCGCACATTTTTACTTGCCTCTTCTCTTCATCACACATCCATTCCCCTCTCACTCACTCTCCCCACGTCTTCTTCTCCACACACAACACACAGAGATAATTGAAAGCCATATAGTCATAGAGGAAGAAGGCGCAATGGATGGAAATGAGCATGATACGGAAAGCAAATCAAAAGCCATTTGAGGAGAGATTTTATATATTCAACACTCTTCAAGACTCTCCCCTATAGATTCACTTGACCAGTAATCTTTCTCTCCATCTTTCACTCCATTTATTTCCATTTTCCACCCTTTCACCAATATTTATTCTGGAGAAAATGAGAAAAATGTACTTCACCAAAGACTGTGTTTTTTTTTACTTCTCATTTTTCTCTAAAAATCAACCACACACAAATGTCTGATAAGAACACGCGGTTTATCTGTGTTTTCACCTTATGAAATCACTCAGTTACAGATATAATACACTTCTTGCTTTATCGATTTTATAGAGAGATAGAAAAGAAGTGAACAAAAGTGTGTAGATTTAAGCTTAAATTAATCTCTAATCCTTATAAACTGATAACTGCCGACAGACGGGAAAATTTTTACATTCTTCATTTCGCATTTTATCAACAGGTGTCATAAGAAAAAAAAAAAACAGAAAAGATAATCTCAATCTTAGTTTGAAGCCTACACATTCTTAAACAGACTAACCAAAAAAAAATGTGGTTGAAAAGAAATAATCATCAATACTCTTTCCTTTGCAGCAAAATTAACTCACATAATTGTTGTACAATGTAATGAAAAGTAAACCAATGGAGATTATCAACGAACAACACCATGAAACTTGATTTTGTACATGCATAAGAGATTAGTGTTTCCATACATTTTGACGTGTGTTGGGGGGAATGTCTAAATGAGTGATTCACGTTTCTTTTCCACCGCACACCAATCAACAAATTACAGACTTTTCAGACATTTTCCTCTCGATTTGCTCTTTTTTTTTCACTCAATCCACACACTACCGCCAAATATTGAATCACCGTGTCGCTTGTGTTATTCAACCAATTAAAGTCTTCCCTCCTCAGCCATTTCGCACAGCAAACCCGCACAGACTACCGGCAATTTGGCGTCACGACACAGGCACGAAAATGATTTTGAAAATGGGTGGATTCTCAATAGAACCTGACGCGAGACACGGAGGAACGACAGAGATGAGCAATTCTTTGCAATTGGATTTTTGTGAATTACTCCCAACATTACAAACAGGTTGAATTGCGCACATTCTCGCGTCTTCTCTCGCCACACACATCAATCTCGCCATTGCCAGTGATTCATGGGTTTAGCAACGCAAGTCATCAAATGCCGCGATGATGAGAAGAGAAGCGGAATGTCTAGGTCGAAATTAAATCAAAACTAATAGCAAATTCTACATCATGAACATCCGTTTCGACGGAATTTGCATTGTTACTCTCTATATATGAGTTCAAGGACCTGCATTTAGATCAATAAATCCAACTCGAATCTCCTTTGCCAATAAGATTAACCCTGACCTGAAGAGCACTAAGTTTTGGCACTTATCATTAATCCAGCAACTATCGCAAAATGGAAATCAATATCGGATAAGGAAGAGTTGTCAAATGAAATATTAATAGTTGTAATTGATTTTAATCTTTATACAAAAACCCAATAGTTTAGCTCTTAAGTAGGAAAATTCTCAGGTGCCCCGCCCACACAAAAGCCCCGCCCAGTAGCCTCTTTGCTTACTATTGCTAATTAAGTAGATTCATTTTCGTGGCCTCAGCCAGACTCAAAAAGCAGGGAAAGTTGGTCATCATATGAAAAAGTGAATTTATCATTAGGAAGAGGCGTGATCCTTCATTATTAATGGGTGGTGCTTAAGCTGAAGGTCAAACATTATCTATGTAGTGTAGGTCTATTGAAATATTAACGTGGTAATGCGAAGCAAGCACAACCTTTCGTGTCTCACTTGATTTAGTAGGCATGTTTGGCAGAATTCCATAACTAATAAATCACTATGCTTTCAGTTAAGCCACCTGCGAGCCTCCCACCGAGTGCAACTGCCTTCCACCTAAGCCCTCGTCGTCTTCCATTCATCAAGTAGCACAAGAGCGTTAAATAAGTGCAATAAATGTGCCATCAAGCGGACACTTCCGCCCAGGAACACCCTCCAGACGCACTGGGCGTTCTTCAGGACTTCTCCTGCGCCTGCGGCGCCCCCGGAGGAGCCCCCATGGCGTGGTAAAGCCCGACTATGTGCTGCTGGTAGTTAACTGGGTGCGACCGAATGATTGGTCAAATTCTTGGCAGGAAAACCTGTTTGTCTGCGTAAGAATTCACTTGTTTTCCAAGCACTTGCTCAACTCTCTCGGCTTTTGGGGTTATGTGGCGACCCGCAGGCGCTCCTCAAGGGATTGTTTGGGTTGTTTACCACCTTATTCGGCCCCTTTTAGTGGGTGACTTTAATATTTATAATGAAATTTTTGCAGCTCATTCCCCAAGCAAGTCCATCAAAAAGTCCACCCATTCGTCACGCACATTTAATTTAGCAAATTTCACAAGTGTGCCTTCTTGCACACCATTTATTGATGTGATAAGCAGAATATGTTAAGAGTGAGAAATTCCGCAGCATTGGCAAATGGACATAGTTTTCTGTGTCGAGAGCTTCGCAGGCACTTACTTGGCTTTACGTAATCGGCATTTTTCTCCGATTTCCTGCCGATTTTCCGGGATTGCCGACCCAATGACACCGCGGACAGCTTCGTGGGCACTTCAGCAGCACTGGCACACCCCAAAATCACCCGCTAAACAGCCAATTCTGTGCAAAATCTATCCACTTAACGACGACAGTCGAATATGGGGCAAAAGGCACATGAATATTCCACACAACTCGAAAAGAATAATGCTATTTTCACTCTCTCGTTTGGCACTGTGACTCACTCAGAGTCACTCTGCAAGGCCCCAAAGTCGCCCCAAAGCATGGAAAATGCACAGCAACGAAGAAAATACTCCACTTTAAACTCGATGTCAAAATAACAGAGCCATTTTTATTTTTCACACCAAAACTCACAGTTTGCCGTGGGCAACAAATTCAGCTTTCCAAGATGTTTTTCCACATTTCACGCACTCACTCACTCAATTTCCAGCACGCACGCGAATGCTCACAGTCTCGTGATCACGATGCACGCACTTGCGTGGCGAAATAACGTGGAAAAGATAGTTTTTAGTGATTGAAATTGCAGCACTCCCAAATCGCGATGTTGGCTGACACACATCCCACACACTTTCCACAGAGGGCGCGCGCGCGGTCGGCAATCGTCGGTGCGATGTTCGGCCCTCTACCGGTGCAATCGGCCGCTTTCCATGGAAGCGACGTTGCCAATTTTCGCGAATAAGATTTTTCGCAATCGACCAATTGATTGAATTGGGAAATCTCCTCATAAATTCAATTTATTTGTGAAATTTTGTATTTTGATTCGCGGAAAATTACATGTAATTCTCGGCGATATTTCTTACCTGGCGCGGTCTCAATTGCTTTGACAGCGCTCGCAGCGCCATTGTTCCGGGAATTGTTTTTGCGGTGCATATGTGATTATATACGGAGCATCATTCCGAAGCATATTTCTCTATAAATTCTACAGAAAATCATGTCAAAAAGCGCTAAAAAGAGTGATAAGGCATCGAAGGAAGATGAGGTGAGTTCAGCAGATCAGTTGGCTAAAGGGAAGACTGCGAAAAGTGTGTGTTTTAGGGACACGTCATTGCACACGCCATTGTTTTCATTTATTGTGTGCTTTGAATTTTTGGGTCTTTGCCGCCCTTGCAGGTTGTTAAAATCAACAAATGGGACGGTTCAGCCGTGAAGCATGCCATCGATGACTCTGTGAAGACCGCTCTGCTAGAGAAGAACTGCGATGAGCACTTCGGACTGGTGGACGGACGGCTGTTCATCTGCAGTTTAGCTGTTATCATTGCCTTGGTGGCTCTGGCCTGGGATCACCAATACCCCTTCCCACAATCAAAGTAGGACGTCCCAGACACTCCTTGGCGACTCCTATTGATCTCTGCTCCTTTGCAGGCCCGTGCTGATCGTCTGTGTGGCGTCGTACTTCGTCCTAATGGGCATCCTGACTCTCTACACGACTTTCTATGAGAAGGGCATCTTCGCCGTGGCGGTGCAGAAGGACGGCAAGAGCACAAAGGTGTGGCAGGCGAGCTCGGAGATGAAGAAATATGATGACAAGTATCACCTGAGTCTCACAGTAAAGGACTCCCGCGGCGTCCGCGAGGCGTCCATCGTGAAGTCCTGCGCCAACTACATCGACACCAACGGCGTAGTTCTCAATGATCTCGTGGCCAATGAACTGGGCCGGCTGTACAACTCCCTGAACGCCGAGAAGAAAGACAAATAGAGTCACTGTGTCCAGCATCTCTTTCTCCCCTTTTCGATCCGCGCAGAGACAAATAAAGCGTCTCTTGAGTGAAAAGCACCTGGACTCTTTCCCTCCGGCCGATATACGTCACACATAAAAATATCCCCTTAATTTATTCATGATTTGGGTATTCTCTGTCAAACAAGGATCGAAAATGGCAAAAACACCCTCACCACTGTTGAATTCAGGCCTTGAATGAATCCTTCTCGCGCCTCAAAAAGCCCATCGTGGCGACGCCATCGGACGCCTTGGCGTGCTCCTGCACGCTCTTCTCGTTGACCCGCATGAAGGGATTGAAGGTCTTCTCCTCGCCAATTGAGGAGGGAACTGAGGGAAGCTTCGCATCGCGTCGCTCTTTCGTCCACTGGATTCTCTGCTGCACCGCCGGATTGTCCGGCTCCACGTGCAGGGCGTACTTGAGGTTCGCCGCCGTGTACTCGTGCCCACAGAAGACCTTCGTGTCATCCGGCAGGGCCGAGAGCTTCTCCACCAGCGCCGTGAACATCTGCTCGGGCGTGCCTTCGAAAAATCTCCCACAGCCAGCGCTGAAGAGTGTGTCTCCCGTGAAGACCGCGCCCTCGTCCTCCGCCTGGACGTAGTAGCAGATGTGGCCAGTGGTGTGGCAGGGCGTGAAGAGGCAGCGAACGTTCAGATTGCCAATCTTGAAGGTGTCACCGTCGGAAACCTTCCTGGTCAGGGCGCCGATGCGATCATCGCCGCCGAGCACTTCCAGTGCGCTCTTCTTGAAGTCCTTCACCAGCTTCTCATTCCCGCCAGCGTGATCCCAGTGATGGTGCGTTGTCACTGCAGATAAGGCGTGATTTACTGGCGTTCTGGAGGGGCTTCTTATCTCATTCCACACTTACACACTTTCACCAAGTTGACCTTCTCCTCCTCAACAGCCGATATCACCGCGCCCGGATCCACCGGATCCACAATAGCCGCATCCCTGGTGGCCTTGTCCACTATCAGGTACATGTAGTTGTCCTGGAGAGCGGGCAGAATCTTCACATCCATGGTTTTGAGCCTGGCAAAGTCTGCAGAGCTGTGAGTTCCCCGGAAGCCGACAGATCGCCAAGTTTGGACTGAAATACCGCAAGACAGCTCATTATGTGCACACTGTCAGCAACCAGGATCCTCACCTGTGAAGTAGGACTGGATTAGGCCCTGAGTAACTCTGTTAGGCAGGTGTTTCAGTAAATAAGAAGACATTTATGATCCGCCCGATGAATATTTCGATGTTGCTTGCCTTGTTTTGTTTCGCTCACTGCAGCGCCTCTGGTGACTGGGAACTGCAAGTGTGCTGTGTCAGGAAATCTCAGCTGTTCTGGGATGTTTTTTTACTTGCTTTTGAAGCTATAAAATGCCCTTTTCCCAACTTTCTAGTGCTTAGATCCCCTGAAGATCCCTCCTGTCATCATTCCTAGAAACTACAAGACTGTGAACCAGTGATTTTAGCGATTTCCCGCGATCTATTGACGAATTTACGGTGGGCCGAAGTGAGGTTAGGCAGTTAAAGGGCGTATTTTGATGGATAAATTACACTTTCGTGGCCTCTTTTCGCCCCCCACAGATGCTGCCCAGATAATCACCGTGACCAGTCGACATGGAGGATGAAGAGGAGGCTCTGCTGCAGCGCGCGCAGGTGGAGCGCGAGAAGATCTTCCAGAAGTACGAGCGTGGAAGGGAAGACGGCGCTGAAATTGATCCCTGGGAAGACCCCGACTTCTCCCTGTACAAACACACCGACCGCTATGGCTTCATACACAAGCACACGCTGCCGGCGCGGCTGGACGCGAGCACGACGCGACGCAGGGAGGTGGAATTGGAGCGCGAGAAGAAGTGGCTGAAGATGCTGAAACGATGGCAGCGCAAGGACACGCAGGAGAAGCTGCGCGGGAGGATCTTCAAGGGCATCCCCAACAAGCTGCGTCCGCAGGCGTGGCTGCGACTGCTCAACGTGGAGGAGGTGATGAAGAGTTGGCCCACAGTGTATCGCGAGATGCTGCGGAGGGCGAGATTGCTGTCCACGGAGGTGCGCCAGATCGATTCGGACGTGAACAGGCAGTTTCGCGAGCACCTGCACTACCGCGAGCGCTACAGCGTGAAGCAGCAGAGTCTGTTCAACGTGCTGGCCGCGTACAGCATGTACAATTCGGAGGTGGGCTATTGCCAGGGCATGTCTAGCGTGGCCGGGCTGCTGCTGATGTACATGGACGAGGAGGAGGCGTTCTGGGCGCTCAATGTGCTCTTCACGGACGACAAGTACGCCATGCACGGGCTCTTCATCGAGGGCTTCCCGAAGCTCACGCGCTTCCTCAGCCACCACGATCGCCTGCTGGAGCGCTTCATGCCGCGCCTCAAACGGCACCTGGACAAGCACCACGTGGACTCGGTGCTGTACTCGCTCAAGTGGTTCTTCGTTGTGTTCGTGGAGCGCGTGCCCTTCAGTCTGGCGCTGCGCGTCTGGGACGTCTATCTGCTCGAGGGCGAGCGCGTGATGACCGCCATGGCGTACACGATTCTCAAGATGCACAAGAATCGGCTGATGCGGCTGCGCGACATGGATCTGATCATCGAGTTCCTGCAAGTGAAGCTGCACGCGGAGTTTGGCTTCGACGATGACTTCGTCATTCGCACACTCGGCCAGATCATGTCGGATCTCAGGCGCGTCAAGATGGACCTTCCGCCGCCGCCGCCGGCCAACGAGCGCCCCAAGTGCGCCTTTGGTGAGCTCGTAGAGGCGCCGCTGGAGAAGAAGATCGGCCGCCGGCGCTCGGTGTTCACGGAAACGGAGCTCAATGTGCACAATGTGGTGATTAGTCGACGCGAGCAGCTGGAATCCGTGGATCTGTCGCAATCCCACATCTCTGATGACCTTCCCGATGAGTTCTTCGGTGAGTCTCTTATCCCAGATTCTTGGTTTTCCTCTTGGTTTTGCCCTCGTTACGCTGCGGTTTTATTTCTTATGATTTCTGTTCTTTTGGTTCAGATCCTGGCCTGGGCGCAAACTCGTCGGCAATCGTGTCGTACAGGAGCGTGAACAGCCTCTGTACGTCCGTGGCCTCGAGCAACAGTTCGCTGGCCAGCTCGACGGATTGCGTGACGAAGTTGTAGGCGCAGCAATACTCAGTTTCAGTTCTTTTTTTGTTTTGCTAAAGGTAAATTTTGCACTTCTTTCTCTCCATCAGCGGATCTTGTGGTGATTTCTGGTGATTTATTGGTCGTGTCTATTGCAGATGATCTAGATCTGTCCAGGCGATCGGCGCGCGAAGTGTCCTTCGAGGCGTCCTTCTCGTCCACGGCGGACCTGAGCCTCTTCTCGGGCAGCTGCAGCAATCCCATGGACGACTCGTGCAGCCTCAACGCGAGCATCCCCGAAGAGGAGGACAGGCGCGCCAAGTGTCCGTAGACCATAAGGAATTGTATCCACACACATTCTTATCTTTTGTACTCTCGAATCGCATATATTAGATTTTTCACAAAACACTGAATTTATATGATAAATAAAGGAACGTGAAGAAATGCACGAAATTTCAGTGGAATCTCAACGAAAAGTCTAAAGGTCCTAAAAAATCTTTATATTTATTTTAGAGGAGTTTTTCGACAGAATTTGCAAGTTCAACGGAATCTGTATTTATGGAGGCAACTTTTAGAAAACATCAAACAACATGTCCACCATGTAAGAGAAATTATGTCTTCGAAAAAGGACACACATGCACTTTTAACTAAATAGATAAGCGGAGAGAGTGTAAGAGTCGCCGAAACAGCTCGATTAACCGGGAGGCCTTGCCGGTCATCAGGTACACATCCAAGAGAAGCACATCTGCCGACCCGACGCCCGCGCAGCTCAACCCGAGATGGACAACAGAGCGCTGCAGACCGAGAGATTTTCCACCTTACTTCATCTTCTTCTACCGCGACGGCGTTGGCGACGGTGACATCTCGCATGTGATGGATTTCGAAGTGAAGAAGCTTGCATCCGATCTCAAGAGGATGTACGGCCCGAAACCGCCGAAGCTGACCTTCATCGTCGTCTCTAAGCAAATCAATACGCGCTTCTTCAGGAAGAACCCCAGAAGTGGCGTCCAGAATCCACCGAGCGGAACCGTTGTGGACGACATGATCACGCTGCCGGAGCGCTACGACTTCTTCTTGGTATCCCAGAGCACCCGCTCAGGAACCATTTCTCCAGCCAGCTACAACGTGATCTTCGACGAGTCAGGTCTGTCTCCAGATAGGATCCAGATATGGACGTACAAGATGACGCATCTGTACTACAACTGGAGCGGGAATGTCAAGGTTCCGGCCGTTTGCCAGTACGCTCAGAAGCTGGCGCTGCTCGTCGGGCAGTACATTCATCAGGATCCGAGTAATCTCCTGGAGACACAACTTTACTTCCTCTGAGTGCCCAGCTGACTTCCTCGCCACTCTCAACTTACCACTGCACACATTCAATGCATTTTAATACTCTCATTCACTTTTGTAATATAATCCGACAGATGCAGAAGGTGTTTGCTAATAAATAACTTTTTTCAGTTATTGTACAAATTGCGGGTTATTGTACCAATTACCAACAACCGCGAATATTTGCTCTTATTTGATCAGATGAGCGAAATATTAATGTAATTAGAGATTGTTGGCATTTTCCACGCGTTTCTAAACTCTGTTGAATTTGTCTGGCTTCTAATTAAGAATTGATTGTTCAGTTGCAATTGACTGGAAAAATCGACTTTAACATTCGAAGCGTAACAAAATATTCTAGATATATTTCATTACTAATTTTTAGTCACGTTAAGGCTCTGTTAAGACTTCAAAAGAACCCTGTATTCGGATATATACACATGAAGTCGAGATAGAACCGGAAAAGCAAGGCAAAGGTAAAACAATCGATTCTTAATTAGAGGCCACATAAATTCAACAGAGTTTAGAAACGCGTATCAAACGCAAATATTCTCTAATTACATTCTAATATTTCAATCATCTGATCAAATAAGAGTAAATTTTCACGGTGGAATTTTTAATTACAGATGAAGGGTTTCGCTCTAATTTTCAAACATTGTTTTTGCGACAGATGCGAAATGTTTAACGCGCTTCTTCGTCATCATGTGACTTGAAGAGAAGACAATGAAACCATCTTCTCGGGATGATATAAATTGAGCTGCGCGTCTCGGAAGACTTCAGTAAAGTGTTGATGTGAATCAATCAATCAACATGCGTTTCTTCCTCGTGACTTTGGCCGTTGCCGTGCTCTTTGTGCTGGTGAAGGAGTCAGAAGGTGAGAAGAAATCTAATTCCTTTTTTCCCATCTTTAGCATTTTGGAGTTTTACTTTGAATATTCACATTATCTTCTGTCTTTTCTGCGTTTGTTCTGCTGAAGCTCAAATCTTGGATTCCCTTGCGGACGTGATTAATCCAATTTCTGCTAGTGTTGAAAATTTTGAAGGTAAGAATGCCTCCAAATCTGCGTGGGATCAGCTCTTTCAGTTAAGCTAAGCAAAATAAGTTCTGAATTATTTTTTTCTCTTAGCATTTCTATTTCGATTGGCGTCATAAAAACTGTGAAACCGTCGATTTTTTCCTAATCAAATTTTGTCAATTTTTGTCTCTTTTCTCTGTTGTTTTTCAACTTACAGTATTGTCTACTTTTGCTTCTCAGGAATTTTAGCTGGGACTTTAGGGCCTATATTAAAAGCACTTCAATCTGCAATAAACGGTGTTGACACAGGACCTCTATCTTCAGAAGAAAATATAAGTGAGATACGTTATAAATAATAAGAGATTAGTTTATAATTAGGGATTCATTTCTTTATTTCCAAGTTCATTTCAAAGTATTTCATCGAATTTACAATTGTCTAGATTGTCCCGAAAACTCAATTAATTGCTTTTCTTCTATTTTCTGTTCTTCTTTCATGACATCGTCAATTGCTACCCGGGAAATTCCCGAGTCCAGACACTGTTATAACCTCTACGATAACTGCTCTCAATCAAGTTCTAGCTAATCTTGGAAATGTTGGTGTTGTTGTAACCTCAGACCTGGGTCAAACTACTAAACTTCTTCTGAATGCAATACTTGAAATTCTTTCCGTTCTTCAAGATCCACAGAGAATTCGCGCTTTCTTGCCTGAAATTCTAAGTCCATGCCAATGTGAATGACTTCCAAAGCCTCCAAAAATACAATTTTTGTGAAATTGCTATCAAAATGTAAAATTGCATAATAAAAAAATTGTTGAGCAACAAATTTTTGCGTAATTTTTTTGTACTGCAATCAATTTTACTTGAATACCTCAAAATTTATTTGTAAGGAAGTTATGACAGTACGACATGAACAGACTCAATTTTAGAGGCAAAATAGAATTGATGTGGATTAATTAGTCATTTATTTGTCGATTTTAACAATTTTTCGCATAAAATTGCGTTCCAACTTGCTGAAAATTCATTGTCGATAACTTTAAAGCTATAGTGGAATATGACACTTAGAGAAAAGAATAAATGAATGATTTACTATAGCACGGGCTTTACGCCATACGCCAATTTAGAGAAAAGAAGCGATGAATAATTCTAAAAATAACCGTTGTTTTATTCAAAATTGCGTAATGTTTCGAAACATGCAGCAAATGCTTGTTTCGTCGGCTTGTTTCGGCTTCTTCAGCACTGCATCCGTCTGCTGGGTTGCGCGGGTTGCCTGATGATATTTCCCATTTATCTGGCACAAACAGACAGAAAAGTGGCACTTTTCATCACTTTTCCTTCCTATTTTCTCTGCTAATCTCCCTTAAATACGTGCACACTGCTGTGCAATCCTGAAAGAGGGGACTTTTGGCTGGCAGTGCTTAGCAGTGCCGGAGAGAAAGTGCGAGTTTGTCGCGACTTTGGTGTGAAGTTCGTGGCGTGACATTTTGAGTGGTGGGCAAATTTGGGTGAATTTAGCAGCGCATCGTTTGAAAAGTCATCCGGGAGCATGTCAGGTGAGCGAGCAGTGAACAGGAGGAGAGTTTTGCGGGGTGCTGAGTTCTGGGCGTGTTGCAGGGCTAGAGGAGGAGGCGCAGGAGGAGGCGAAGGAGATGTACGAGTGCAGCAGCTGCCAAATGTACTTCCCGGACGTGATGGATCACGTCCGGCGCTACCACGGCGGCCAGAATGTGGTGCTGGAGATGGACGAGGAGCCACGCGAAGTGGCCGAGGAGGCGCTGGAGGAGCCCGAGGCAGTGGCGGAGGAGGAGGACCAGGAGTACACGATCGAGTACATCACGGATGAGCCGACGGAGGTGATGAAGGTGGAGCGGGAGGATGAGGCGGAGCCGCGGCGGCCCGAGAAGGTGGATATGCCGATGAAGAGTCGCCACGTGAAGGTGGAGCGATTCTGGGAAGCGCCAGCGCCGCTGCCCACAGAGCGCGAGCCGTCGCCGCGGCCCAGCCGGCGGCATCTACCAGATGATCCCGATCCGCTAGACGTGTACAAGTGCGGCGAGTGCGGCACGGTGTTCCCCAACAACAAGTCGCTGCGCCTTCACGTGAAGATGCACAAGCCGATCCACCAGCGCACCATCGAGGAGGCCATCCAGAGCGACATGCGCGGCGTGCGGGGGCGCCCCGAGCAGAAGAACACCTTCCACTGCGACAAGTGTGGCAAGGACTACGACGAGGCGTTTATGGAGATGCACATGCGCATGCACAGCGACGAGCCCAGCTTCCACTGCACGATCTGCAACAAGAAGTTCGAGTCGGAGGAGAGCTTCAGGATGCACTCTAACGTGCACCAGGAGCGCGCCACGTACGCCAAGGAGAGCCGCAGGAAGGACGCGCCGCGCCCCTACGCATGCCAATACTGCGACAAGGCCTTCATCCGGCCGCACGAGAAGGTGAAGCACGAGCGCATCCACACTGGCGAGAAGCCTCACGCGTGCGAAGTGTGCGGCAAGACGTTCCGCGTGGCCTACTGCCTCACGCTCCACATGCGCACGCACACCATGGTGCGGCCCTACGTCTGCTCGCTCTGCGGCCGCCGGTGAGTCTGCCTTCCAACGCCCTCGCGACCTCCTCTGACTTTGCCGAGCGGAAGGAGAGTCGAAAGGACGTTGTCTTAGCCATTCATTCCCACTTTCGGGGTGTTCGCGTCTCTTCTCACAGACGCAAATAAGATCCAAGCAAGCTTGCACCTTTCCACATTCTTTCATATTGATGATCGAAAAAGGCCACTTTAAAGAGAGATTTAAGCAAGGACATAAGCAGAATCTGGCTAAAAAAAGCTCATTATTATCTACTAATACTCATTAGTTTTCTAGTTTTTTTAATACTTCACGAATCTCTAAAGCCTTTTGCAAGCTTCAAAATCGTTTAAAACCGATAAATCGCATGGAAAGAAAAATTGCTTTCCAATATCCTTTTGCAAAACAAAATTCGACAATTTGCAGTCAACAATTCCAATTGAATGAGGTTTAATTTAGATCAATTCAACTTATTTATTTGTCGTTAAATCCTTTTAATTCTGAATATTAGTGAAAGCGCTGAACGACAGATGGTTCTGACCTTCCCATTTCACTGGTCTATGCTTCGGCTGGGATGTTTTTCGCGCAATCCAGCGCAAAGGCGCTGGACTGAAACATGCTTTCTTGTGTATTTGTCATTTGAAAGGAGAGCCAGTTAGCACTCCCCTAGACAAGGATGGAAATACACACGACCCGGAGGTGGCACCAGAGTCTCCGGGCACCCATTTTTTTCCTCACCCACCCACTGATGCGCTCTCGCTCTCTTGCAGCTTCAAGGCACACGCCGTGTACAACCATCACATGAAGACGCACGGCGATGAGCGCAACTATAAGTGCCCATTCTGTCCCAAGGCCTTCAAGACGGCCGTTCAGCTGTCCGGGCACAAGAACAGCCACACGAAGCCCTTCAGCTGCACGGAGTGCAATCGGCCCTTCGCGTCGCTGTACTCCGTGCGGGCGCACATGGAGATGCACCGCAAGCCAGCCAACGGACTGCGCTACAAGTGTGACATCTGCGGCGCCACGTACGCGCGCAACTCCTCCGTGAAGGACCACATCAAGGAGGCGCACGGCGATGATCCGCTCATGGAGGAGACAGAGCTCTTCACCGAGATCGATCGTGCCGCCGAGCTGGCCGTGGAGACGCTCGAGGACGCCAAGGTGAGCTCAAATGCCACGCGCACTCATAGCCTCAGCTCAAATGCACTCTCTTTCCCTCTTGCAGATCGTCGCGACGAGCATCGCACTGGGGTCTGAGGCGGACGACGAGGTGCTCGTGGCCGAAGCCGAGTGGATCGACTGACTTTAATTTGTATATTTCCATTGAGACATTCTGTAGCTTCCCTCGTAATGGGCAATAAAAAGATATGTGTTATGTTCCAATTCTTCGCTTTTGAGCATTCAATTGTGAATTTTCAGCGCTAAAGAAAATCACAAACTTGCGTGAGATTTGAACTCATGAGAGCCGAAAGTGAAACTTTTAACCCTCACCAGGGCTTGGAAAGGTTTAACAGATGGCAAAATGAATGAATTCACTCCTTTAAAGAAAAAAAAACGGAGGTTTTTTCTGCCTCTCAAATGACTCCAAAAGACAATCGAGTGTATTTTAAATGCTCTATAATGTAAACATCCTCTTGCGAGACGTAATAAAACGACATTGCGGCTCATCGCAAGTACACCTGCAGCTGCATAGCCGTCTGCAGCAGCACCTTGATGCCCGGCATAAACACGGCGATCTGCGCGAAGTCCGCGCCTGAGCACATCTGCGTGTGCAGCGCCAGGCCGCTGGCGTAGTCGCCGATCTGCACAAATTGCACGAGTTGATTCAGCGCCGCCAGAGTGTTTGCGCCGAGCTGTGAGACAGCGAGAGAATTAGGGCTCGTCAGCCGGTGAAATTACACACAAAAACTTACTCTGTATTCCCTCAGCAGATCATAGAGACTCTCGAGACGACGCGCGACGTCCTCCAGCTTCCGCTTCACTTGCTGCACAAGAGAAAACAGTGGCGTGAGTGATAAGAATCCCTCGAGAGATTTCACTACAAACTCACCGGATTCGCCGCCGCATTCACGCACTGATTGCGCAGCTCATTCAATACTGTCTGCATGTAGATGTGCTCCTCGGGAATCGGCGCCTTGGGCTTCGGCGGCTCAGGCGTGGGCGCCTTCTGGGGCGGCGTGGCGGCCGGCTGGAGGCCCGGAGTCGGCGCCGGCACCTGCTGGAAACCCATCTGGCCGGTGAATTGCTGCTGAGGCGGCGCAAACTGTCCGCCAGCGCCATAGTTGAAGCTCTGCTGTGCCATCTGAGGCACCATTCCCGCGCTCTGCCCCAAGAAGCTCCCATCCGGCTGCTGATAACCGTTCGGCGGCTGCGCGGCCGCACTCTGATCCGCCGGGAACAGAGGATGCATGATAGGATTGTACGCTGAAGTGGCCGGCGGCGGAGCCTGTAAGCAAAATCACACCCAATCAATCTTCCACAGCAATTCATCAAAGTGTGTCTCGAGAAGAAGAGCCAGAAGAATGCAAGAAAATCTCAATAATAACAAAGAAGCCTAAAGGAGCGCACATTCCACAAACTTCAGCACTCAAAATTAAGGGTCGCTTCCCTGTTTTTTTCTGTTTTTGTCTCTTTAAATCACTTTGCTAAGTCTAGAGAAACAAGAGGTAAATTGATGAAAAAGTTAACATTTTCTCTCTGTTCTAAGATGAAAAAAAATTAACGAGTAAGAATAAATGAAAGAGGCAAAACATAAACAATAACACGCGCAAACCTTTGAACAAGTTTCCCTCTTGTGTGACTCTATTATTTTGCACCACTGCCGCGTGCCAGCGTGCTGAGCCGACATTTGACAGAGAAACTACATCGCGCAAGGGAAGAAAGTGCACGAGAGCGCCCCAGGAAGATAGAAAGAAAGACCATGAGACAATATTCTGCACTATTCACAAGATATGAGCCGTAAAAATGCTGTTTTAGTTAGATTCAGATCGTTAAAAAGGAAAATATTCTCAGGATTTGAACCCGTGATCATCAAATACTGAAGTTTCACACGGCTTTAACTTTTTTTTTAGCCATTTTCCTTGAAGAAAAGTATGAAACTGATTAAAAACAGATAAATCTGTGAATTTAGAGATTTCCACAGCATTTTCGGTTCAAATCTTGGACTTTTCTTTCGTTAAATCTCCCCTAGACGTCAAGGAGAGTCCTTGAAGCCGGCAAAACTTTTTGGAAACTCACCTGCGGCGGCCTATTCGACTTGAGCGCCGGCGGATCGTTCCAGCCGGGCGCTGAGGTGGCGGGTTTCGCCATTGCCATGGGCGGTGGGGCGACTTGAGGCGCTGGCGGCGCCTCGGGCGTGAACATCTGCGGCTGCTGTGCCGGCGTGGGGACAAACGACGGGAATTGTGACTGCTGGAAGGGCTGCTGCATCGGCTGCGGCTGGTTGAATTGCCCGAACTGCGCGCCCGGCGGCGAAGTGGTCTGCGGCGTGGCGTAGCTCTGTCCATAGCTGGGCATTCCGGACTGCACTGATGGATCCAGGAGATACTTGCTGCGACTCAGCAGTCCTCCGCCGCTGGACACCGCCGATTGCGGTCCTCCGCCGCTCGCGGGTCGTGGCGGCTGCGCCAGAGCCTCCACGGGCGCCGGCGCCGGTGGCTGGAAGGGGAATTGCTGCGCCACGGCGGGCACTGTGGGCATCTGCGGCACGGCGGGCGTGAAGAGCGACGCTGGCTGCGGCGGCGCCGGCTGACTGGGCAGGGAAGCTCTGGATGGCGTCATTCTCATGGTCTGGAACTGTGTGTTGCTGCTGGTACGCTGCGTGGCCGCCGGTCGCGGCAGTTGCTTGTAGCCCAGCGCAAAGTACAGTCTGTCCTTGAGATCAGCCAAATCCTCATCTGTCGTCGCTCCCAAGTAGCTCAGCGCCGAATCCAGAGCACCCTGACCCACCAGCATCTTCGCGTAGCGCGAGAGTAGAGTGGCCAGCTTCCCTTTCACCTCCACGGCGCGTCCCTGAGTCTCCATCGCCTTCTGCAGCAGCATGACAACCTCCACGAGATCCTGAATGTCGCCGCTGACCTTCTGCTCCTGCCACGCCTCCACCAGGTGTTCCACACTGCCGGCGCACAGGTAGCAGAGGATGGCATTCTGCGCCGTGTCACTGTTGCCAGCAGTGCGCGCCTCCTGGAGCAGCCTCTCACCCAGAGCGGCGCACAGAGGCGCCGTGTGGTGACGATTGTGGGTGAGAATGGCCACCAGAGCCTCCTTCCAGCTCTCCACGGCACACTGGTTCACCACGCCCGTCCACTCCTGCGTGATCAACGCCGAGATGATGTGACTGAGACTGGTGTCGCGACGCCTGAGGTAGCGATACTGCGTGCTGGCCAGTAACTCACTGCCACCCGTCATCGCCACGATGATGCCCTCAGTCGTGCGCCCGGATTCCATGCACAGCTCCACGGCCGCCTCCAGGTTGCCGGTGAGCAGCGCCTGACAGATCAATCCCTCCGTATCCTCGCCCGTCTTGATGACAAATCCACCCGGCGGAGACTTCAGCCCATTCTCCGCGATCATCTTCTGGCCCGCCACAATGGCGTCGAACATCGCATTCCCGTCCACGCCCTGAAAGAGAGGCGGAAGAAGCGCCGTGTGAGAAGAGCCACACAAAGAGACCACAGCGACTGTGACATGATCATGGATTCATGGGTGATTAGCCAGAGGAGTCTTCTTACCGAGAGATCAGTACTTTCGTCAGTTGTCTCAGTTTCAGTGGATTCATTCTAATCATGTGCGTGTGTGAGTGGTTAATCAAATAGGAACAAAAGGACGCGTGGATTAGCACAAGAGAAAGAAGCATATATGAAGTGCACGTGAATCATCTGCCCGGCATCTCAGCGACTCACCCGACTCAGTTCCGCCATCTGATCCGTCACCTGCTCCACAGGATCCTGCTTCGATTGCAGAATCTTCAAGAACTTCGCCGACACATCCTCCTGATGATATCCCAGCAGATTCAGCATCTCCGACTGCGGATTGGCATCGAAGTTCGCGCGCAGGAAATACCAAAGATATCTCGAGAACTGATCCGATGTCTGGTCAGCCTTCTGTCGGCAGTATTCGCCAAAATCGCCCTGCTGCAGCACAGCCTCGAGGCGATTTGACCTCTCCACGAGTTCAGGCTCTGTGATCACTTGCTTGATCACCACCTGGCGAGGATTTGAGCTCTGGAAGGTCACCAATTTCCCGCCAAACTGCAAAATAGTCAACCGTCAGCCAATCACAGCCATTCTTCTTCTCACTCTCTTCGTCCTCACCCCAAAGGACGCTCCCGCCGGCCTTCGCAGCCACTTCGGCGGCCTCTTCAGGTCACTGTACGTCGTCATCGTGGCCGGCTGTGGCGTCGGCATCTGCGCCGTCATCGCCTCCATGCCAGGAAACGAGTCGGCGATCTTGCTGGTCGTGTGCACCTGCTGCTGACTGCCGCCAAACAGCGAGTACACCGTCACATTCCCATCCAGACTCGCCGCGGCCACGATGGCCGGATTCCTGGGGCACCACTGCACATCTGAGTACCACTGCAGCGTGGACGCGAGCTCCGACAGGATCTCACCCTCCGCTTGCGTGGCATTGGGGTTCCAGCAGAGAATCTTGTTGTCCTTGCCGCACGACACCATCAAATCCGAGTCCCTGGGACACCATGTGAGCCCCAAAACGCCCCTCTGGTGGATCTGCAGCGACTTCGTGGGCGCCGTGGCGTATCTGCAAGCAGAGGAAGAGGCAGGAAATTGAGATACTGCGCCCTCTCTTGACCCTTGATAAGGTTCAAAACGCTTCTAAACTGCGCATAGAAGTGATAAAATGGTACGAAGCAGAGCATATTCTTCACATTGGACTCACCTCAGATCCCAGAGTTGCACCACGGGCGCCTGATCCTCCTCGGACGCGAGCCAGAGCTGCGTGGCGATCTCCGGGTGCCACTGCATCTGGCGCCAGCGGACGCGCGACTGTGAGTCCGACAACTTGATAATGGGCTCGTTCTTGCGCAAATCCCACACAATGCAGCGCGAGGAGAAGACGGACGCCATGATGTGCTGCACCTGGCGATTCCACGCCACACACTGCACATCCTCCGGCGGCTGCGTCTTCGTGCCGGGCGTCATGGGCGACGCTGTGTTGTTCAGGTCCCAAATCAGGATCTCCGACTCGCTGGACGCCGACGCCAGGAGATTAGTCTGGAATGGGTTGAAGTCCAGCGTGCGCACGGCGCCGCTGTGCTTGTCCTGGTGCGCCAGCAGCGCCTCCTCGCCGGCCAGGAGCTTCGCGGCGCTGTACACTTGCAGATGACCACCCTCGCAGCCACCCACGAGAACGCCGCTTGGATGCGCGCCGCCGAAGCCCAGCGGCGTCCAGACGAGCTTGTGAAATCTGCGGAAGACAAGCGAGATTAGACGCCAGCCTAAAGGTCGCTGGACTCTGTGGCTCACTTGTAGGGACTCGCGAGGCTGGCTTTCAACTCCATGTCATAGCCGGGATCCGACAGATTGACGGAGTAGATCTCCAGCGTTGAGGTGTTCCCGAAGGATGTGTCCAGCTGCTGGGCAGCCGTTCCGGCCGCCAGCATGATGGGATTCTGCTGCAGAGGCGACCATGCCACGTTGACAGTCTTCTGGAGTTCCTTGACCTTCATCTTGTCCTGATGATCACGAATTCCTGCGAAGCAAAGCAAGACATCAGAAACCGGCCGGAAGTTGATTTCCCAACAGAATTCTCTCTTGCAATCACTACAAAGTAGTTAAAAGCCCCTTTAAGACTCCACTTGTCACTTTCTAGCCGGGAATTTCATGAATTTCTCCTTGAAATCCTGGGAGTTCGATTGAATCATTCCCGGGAACTTCATGGGTCAGAATCTCATCGGATTTTAAGCCATTATCATACAGATTTCCATCGAATCTTCACTACCTTCGCCTGGCACAGAGTGCCTGGGCACACTTTTCACTTACCGAAAACTAAATAATTGGGAAATAATGGGAGAAAATGAGGAAAAAGCGAGATTTTTCTTCCCAGGCCACGTCAACGTCACAACGTCACTAACGCACTGCTTTACCGACGCCAGTGACAGTTGGAGGGTTTGTTTACGAAAATTTCAAGGATTTTCTGCCTGGACTTTTCCTGGCATTTCCTGCTCACCATGGTCACAGAAGCGGCCACAAATGCCACGAAATCCAAGGCTACGGTGAGTTTCGCCTCCTGCAATGGAAATCCTTAAGTGTCACTCGATTTTTCTCCTTGCAGTCCAGGAAACGCCCAACTCCTGTGCACTCCTGGACAAATTCCGACGTCCAGAAGTGGTATCGGCGGTGTGGTAACAATCCCAAGTATGCCGATCTATTCCAGAAGGTGATTGACGTACAATGGTGCGATTTGCATTGAATAATCGAGGTGTTTCTGGCTGTTTTCAGCATGACATCACGGGATTGACTCTCCTCCGGATGACTGATCACGCGCTACTCCGGATGGGCATCGAAGACAACAAGGATCGCGAGGCGATCTGGCGGGAGATTCTGAAGCAGAAACTGAAGGCGGACATAATGGAGATTAGAGACTTGGAGCGCATGGAAGTGGTGTGAAGTGAAAACCTCTGTAATTCTCAAATTCTGTGGAATGTCATTACATTACTCGTCACTGTCGTGAGAGATGGAGTTTGCTGGCTTCCTCAGCCTCTGCGAAGTCCTGCGTCCGGTCAAGTGGTCTGCCATGCTCTGTAGCAGGGGCAGGACTTCCAGGAGTTTCTCCCCTGTGGCCCTCTCGAAGGCTAGGCGCTCCTTCTCCACCGCCAGACGCTCTCTGGCCACTTCAAGGCTCAGCGTCTGCTGCTGGATTACCTGACTGAGGAGCGTCCGGAAGCCTGGAAGATAGACAGCGGGTTAGTGGACAATCCGGAGGGCGGGAGACTCTCTTATCATGCTTCTCACCGATTGTGGAGGGCTTGGGCGGCCTGGTGGCTGACATCCGGCGGTAGTTGATGGGCGCCGGGCGACACTCCTGGCTGGCGGTCATCGCGGGTGTGTGGCAGATCGTCGGCGTGGCCTTTGATATGATTGTGGGCGTCGATACCGTGGACTTGGGCATCGTGTTGACCAGCAACACCTTCATGGGCATCCCGGACGTGGAGCTGGCCACTGAGGGGATCGCTGACACCGCGCCCGTGGTGGGATTCTTCATGTAGATCGTGTGCGCGGGCTTCAGGGCGACCTTCTGCGCCTGTGGCTTCAGCAGGATGTTCGTGGGCACCAGGGAGATCTTGCTGGTGGGCGTGCTGGCGGGTTTTGGTGCGATTATCCTCGGACCGGCGCTCGTTGACACTTGCTTGGGCGGCGGAGACGGCGGAGGAGACTTCTTGATGTCCTCCGGCGCGATCAGGGGCTCTCCGGATCCCGAATCCTGGCTGTCGGACGTGTGTGCGTTGCTATTCTTGGGCTGCACTCGCAGATAAGCCGCCAACTGGCTGGGAAAGCTGTCAGCGCTGTCTTCCCTGGAATAAAAGGTTCGTGAGATTGGAAGGGCAGGAGTTGGGAATACTCACAAATCCAGCTCGTTCACGTCCGAATCGTCGATGTCTAGCGGCTCCTCCTTGGGCACGATGAGCTCCTCTTGCTCCACGTGCGGCACATCCTCGCTGCGCAGGTTCTTCGTCGCCTCCTCGTGCAGGATCTGGTGCTGGCGCTGCTGCTGCTGCATCGTGAGGCGGCTGCCGAAGATGGGCCTGTTCAGGATCTCGTCCATGGCGTCGTAGTGCTTCCACGTGGGCTGATTGATCACGCCCATCTCCATGTCCTTCTTGATGCGGTTGTAGAAGCACTTGAGGTTCTTCAGGCGCGTGTTGATCTCCGTGGGAGAGCGGTAGTAGCCGTACGTGCGCATACTCTCGGCCAGTTTGGCAATCACGGGATGTTTCTTGTGGGTTGTGATGAGCGTCTTCTGCACTTTCGGGTCGCCCCACAGAGAGATCAGTAGCTTCGTCTCCTCCGTCTCGAAGTTGGGATTCCTGGCGTGACTCTTCTTGTTGCCGCCGATCAGCACTCTGTTGTGTGACATCCACATCTCGCTCTTGCGCTTCGGACGGAAGTTGGGCATCGCGCTGGGCAGAGGAGATGACACGCGCAGGTCGCAGCGAGCACGAGCTCACTTAAGGGTTGCTCTCCGCCTTCCTTAGCTTTGCGCACGCTCACTCGCGCTCTTGTGCAAGGCTTATGACGTCACAGGAAATCAATAATCCGTCGCATTCGCTCTGGGTCAAGAATCGCCGCTGCGGCTTTCCGGAATCTCCAGATTCAGCACTCTCGTGGCCCCAGTGCGGCGGCGGTTGGGCGGATTTTGGCGCTAAGAGCTGAACAGTGACTTGGATACACCAAAGGCGGCCGCTCACTCGAAGCACGTTCACTGCGCGAAGAGGTTCAGCCGACTGACTACTCTCAACCCAAGTCTCAACCCCTCTGAGTGCCGAGATTGTTATTGTTCAGCAAACCTGCGCAAAGCGAGGGTTCGTCTCGCTTCCACTCGCGCCCTGCTCTTTGCGAGAGGGTGAAGAGGACTTACACCACTTGCCATCGCCGAAGCTGCAGCGCTATACTTAGGTTCAGAAAAAGTTTAGCACCACGATTTCGTGTCTGAAGCACGCCAAAGGGGCTCGTCAATGAGGGATTCCCTTCCCCGCCAAAATTGTACATGAAAGATATTTTTTGAAATCCTCTTTTGTTCATTTTTGTGCAATTAATTTGAGAGAAATTGTCCAAATGACGTCAACTAGGACTGATATGGATTAATTAATCCTTAGACGAAAGGTTAAAAAAAGGAAATTGCACACAATTTGTATGGACGAACATCAATAAGTGGGAAGAACTTAACGACGCGCTTAAGAACATCAGATTTGCCAGATATACAAAGTGGTAACGCAAATGCCTTCTGTTATTTATTTTTAATTAGAACTACACGAAAATGTAATACTCTGTTGGAATAATTTTAAAATTCTTCAAATTGACAAAATTTTTACAAGAATGTGTGATAAAATTTGCTACAAATCACATGAATACAATTTCTTATAGAATCTATTCATTAGCCTAAACATAAATCTAGCTTAATTATCATTTAACTATGGTTGTACTTTTTGTAAACTCGCTTAAGAATACGGAAAAAGTCAGCAACATTTTCTTAGACAGAAAAGTATTGTCACTCGCCTCCTCGATAACACACCCCTTACTCAATTTATTATGGCTCTGATGATTTTTCCTATGGGAATGAGAATGAGATGAGCCGAGCGCGAAGAGTCCTTCGGCTCGGCCTCGACTGCGGACAAAGGAGCGTCCTCTGCAGCGTGCAGCAAAGTCCTGCGGCCTCCGATTCCTGCAGCAAATGCGTGCGCAGGACAATAACTCCCCTCGACGGCTTTGCCGTGTGCGCAGGAGCGCGACAGGACGCAGAAGCACAGCGGTAATGATTTACTTGGCACGCGAAGACAATGAGGACTTGGTGGGCCGGAGAGCGGCTAGTCGTCCCTCTCAAGAGCCTCCATGGACTCGCTGATCCACTGCTGGAAGGACTCCACGCGCGTGTACACGCCGGGTCGGTTCTTCTTGGCGCAGCCGTCGCCCCAGGAGACCAGGCCGGCCAGCATGAAGCGGCCGTTGTGCTCGCAGGCCAGCGGGCCGCCGCTGTCTCCCGAGCACGAGTCCACGCCGCCCTGCAGGAAGCCGGCGCACAGCATCGACTCCAGGATGGGCTGCTGCCGGCCGCCGTTGATGGAGCTCTTGCGACACGTGTCCAGATCCATGAGCGGCACCGCGGCCACTCGCAGCGTCGCGGCCACGCTGCGCACGTCCTCGGCTGCAAAGTGGCCACATTCAAACACTTGCGCGCTCATCGTCTGATTTGCAAAACTCACCTTTGTGGGCTCCCCAGCCGGTGACGGAGCACCAGGAGCCCGGAGGCGGAGTCTCTCCAGCGCCGGGCACGCAGATTGGCCGGACGTGCGTGTTGAAGCCGATCCCCGATATGCTGGACGCGCGCACCTTGATGATCCCGATGTCGTTGCTGTACGGGCCGCTCTTCCTGAAGTGCGGATGCACGAGAATGCGCTCAACGCGGAAGCTGTGCTCGTGCAGGTCCCTCTCCTTCAGGCTGTGATCCCCAATCACGACCCGGAGGTACTCCAGCTGCGGCACCTGCACTCAAGGTCTTAGCATCAATACATAGCGGTGCTACTCAGCCGAAGCGTAGCGCCAGAGCGAAATTACCTGCAGACAGTGCGCCGCCGTGAGGACCAGCCTCTCGCCGATCACCGCCCCGCCGCAGTGGTGCTCGAAGTTGGTGCGGTCGTAGTGGAAGGTCTGGATCTCCACTTGCCAGGGATACGCGCCGTACGGCGGCACCGTGCCGCCAATGATCCGCCCCTTGCGTTGCGGCTGGAAGCGCACGAAGCGCGTGCCGCACTCGAAGGGCTTCTCGGGCGTCCAGGGTCCACGCGGGTGCGTGTCCGGGAGCAGGACAAAGGGGCGCCGCGTGGCATCTAGCGGGAACTTGGGGAAGCCGCCACTTCGGGCCACTCGGCCGCTCTTCGATGCCGCCACGAGGCCGCCGCAGCGCATGAACACGAGCAGCAGCCACCAGATTGCGATGCCCATCTGCATCTCCACGAGAGCGTGTCTGCCCGGATGACCCTGGCCTCCTGTGGCGGGGAGATTGATTTTTCAGTTAAGAGCCCCAAGGCAGCGATGAGATCTATTTTATTGCCCAGGTACCGAAAGATTCACTCTCGAGGGCCATAATTTGGTGAGTGAATTTACTCGTGGGAGGGGAAGAATTGATAATGTGATTAGGGTGAGAGCGTGGGGGATTTGATAAGCTGTTCGGCGCCTAGATTGAGGGTGAATATTCACTGAAATGATTGGGAACATTTTTTTCTGTCTTGATAAGGATGATTTTATCAAAACGATTTGGGTGCTTTCAGGCATCATTACTCCGGGCACTGAGAGTCAATGTTTGTGGAATTATTGAGTGTGTTTTCAATAGGCTATTTTTCTAGCTTAATTTATAATGCGATGTCAATGGAAATCAGGATTCAATTCATTCGTCCCTGATTTTTGGCATTTATTTCCAATAAATTTATTTATTTGTAAATCCGAAACTGAATGGAACGAATGTTCTATTTATACGTAAATTTATGTTTAAATAAACATGATTTTTAAGCAAAAAAATCGAGTTTTCACTTTATGTTTTCTGTTTTTTACTGGGACGAAAGAGAGTCAAAGGATAAATCTAGTCTTATCCTTTTCTCTTAGACAGAATTTGCCCAATTTTCCATTCACAATCTTAAGGGTTGAAAACCCAAAAAAAAACTTGTAAGCCAGACACAACACAATTCAAAAACAAATCCGAGACTGGATTTTTTTCTCTTTAATCTTTCATTTCACTCTTGAACCGAGTCTTGAACTCACTTTCCTTATTATGTTTCTGGTAAAAATATGCCACATCACTTTTAACTGACAAATTCTCGTATCTCCTTCGCATCGAAAATGCTTGTCAAATCAACAAATTTCTCCTTCAGTGCCCGGGAAGCCCTCAAAAATGTGGTTCACGTTTTATCTCACAAGTCTCTCTGTCTTGATTAAATAAAGAGGAGAGGAGGAAAAAAAACCGCGTCGAAGATAAAAGCATTGAGTTGTGATGTGATTTGAGTGCACTTGAGAAACCGTTGTGCCGAATATTTCTCCCCATCGCTGAAGAATTTCATTTCACTTTCGATTGTGCGCCACAGTGTTAAATTCGCGGTTTAATTGCCAGTGTGTTTGTGCCTCTGATCTCCTGACTTGAGGATATTACCTTTATGCCAGAGAAAAAGCTCCTCTTGCGATGCGCCTCTGCAGAGTGAAGATAAATCCCAAGAAATGCTCTGAGTGTTGACGAAACGATTTGTATACGATGTGAATTTCAATTTCCTGCACAAGGAACTTCCCGGTGAGCTTATGGGGGAAATGCGACAATTGAGAGGAAATTGCGATGTTACTGTCTCTTGAGTTGGTAAAAAACTGAAACATTTTCGACGATGGAGCGGATTTTTATTGAATCACCCGAGCAACTTACCTGCATTTTTTTTCGGCGACTCAAATAATATGTTGCTCGTCTCTCTCGGCTGAGAGCTCTTTTTTTTCGCGCCCAACCACCTCTCATTGATCTGTCGCTGGGCTCTTGTCACATGCGAAATGTGCAATCACAAGAAGGTGGATGGTGGGAGTGTTTGTGGCCCAAAACGTTGACACGCCGCGAAGTGATCGGCGCGAGGAAGTTTTCGGGGCCTGATGGGATTGCTGGGCAGCCAAGAAAGCCGAGGCATTTTGCACCTCATTGGGCGTTTCCGTTTTTACTTTCATTTTAAATGGTAATTGTAATCTTTGCGGTGATGTTTTCTTTTGCCAATTGTTGCTCGATTTTTTGCTCGCGCGCGCGAAATTCTTTTCCTCCTAAGCCACAACAATGGCGCGAAGAGAAATGGGCGCTCTTGTGCGTCCCGCGCGCACATCCCAGGGAAGAGAAGGTGTCAAAGAGATCATCCAAAGAAGCGTGTATGATCCGTTAATCATTCTTTCGCGTATTAATCACACTCGCCCTGCGCATACTTTCGCAATGACTGATGCTTCTTGTGTCACATTTCTGACGAGGAATCTCTTCATTGTCCTGGCGCGATTATCGCATTATCAGACGAGTGTGTGACTCAGTGTCACTGTTGATGCAACAATCACGAGCTTTGCTCCGATGCATTTTGCCAATGACCTCCTAAACCACATCCACTTCTTTATGTAACATGAATTGAATTAATTACAATATGGGACACTCTTGTACCATCATATCGCCCATTGCAGTTGCAATGTAAATGGAAAAGTACATTTGAAATAAATGTTTACGATTGGAAATTGAGGAATGGCAAATTTATGTGTGGAAAATCAATCATATTTACTGTGAAAAGTGTGAAAATAGCCTCTGAATTGCACTAAAATGTCGATTGACTACTCAATTCTCCTCAATTCAAATGAAATACGTGTGAAATTGAGTATCAGATTACTTGAAATATAATCTAATCTTGAGCTTCAACAGGCGAATCAATAGCACACCTTTAATGTATTCAAACTCAAGGGTTTTGCGGAATTGTAAATAATAAATAAAATGTTGTGAAATACTGAAAGTTCATCCCTTTTGTGTTTGCTGGTTGAAAACCTGCAAAATTAGCCTGATATGTGCAATGAAAGCTCAAAGCTCGAGGCGACAGAATGTTGCATTATTGCTAAAAAGTGGTGGTGAAACTAAAATATGAAAAATGGCTTTTTATCATATAGACTGGAAATTCAAGGAACTCTCATCAAACTTCCCTTCAGCACGAGCGAGGAGAGTTTGTATGTGAAATTAAAAAAGTTGTTGCAATTTCTCCACATGAAGGTTGATCGATTTCGTCAGTGGCTGAAGAGCTTGAAGGTGAAAACTCGGATGATGGGGATTATGTAAGGAGATTTTCAGGGGGATATATCGGTTGGAAAATGCATAAATTTCCCAATAGCAATAGGGGCAATAAATCACATCGCTCCGTCGCCTAATATTGTAGTTCATTTTAGCAATGCTTATAGTCAAAATTCCCTTTTTTTGGAAATAAACACATTGGCGACACAGAAAAAGAGAGCTTGAAAGAGTGGGCGTGTGAAGATGTATATATATATTGCCGATACACTTTTTATTACATATTTTTAACAACACTTCATGTGTGTGTTTGTTGTTTTTGCGGCGCAGTTTTATTTTTTGTGTACTAGGCACAGATTGAGGTGAGAAATATAAATAAAAAGAGGCGCAAAAAGTGAGATATCGAAATCAAGGCAAAGCGGGTGTCTGGCGGAAGATAATATTCTCACTTTCATTCAATGAAAACGACAGTTTTTCACTCTTTTTTTCGGCATACGCACTTTCCGTCTCTGTCGTCGAAAGCCAGGCCTATTTGGAGGGAAAACTCTCGACTACGCTGTGTGTGAGTGTGTTTCTGATGAAATTTTCAAGCGTTTTTGCCACTCAGCGCCAAACAGTTGTGATTAATTCATGACAAATGGTAAAATTGGGTCACGACATGTAGAATATTCAGAAACTTTTCTGCATCTCATTAGTGGTTTAGAATTTCTTCAAACATATTATTCTGTCCTCATTTCTCATCATGAAAAGATGCTCAGTATACAGAATTGGCAAAGAAATTCTAACCCACATACATTAATTTACAATTGTCGAATCAATTGGATGGTTTTCTTTTGTCGGCATGACAAGATATTGGGATGGATTGGAAAAATGGGCCACAGAACATCATTGTTCTGCCATCAAGCGAGAGCCAAGCTGTGGGTGGATTCCCGAAAACCGCACATTTGAGATTGAACGGGAATAGAAAGAAGAGTGCTTTTTTGCAGCCGCCCAGAAATTCGCCGTTCAAGGGTGAGGCGCAAGAAGAAGAATCAGAAAAAAGGCCGTAATTCCATTCCGTACCAGACGGTGAATCAGAAAGTTCCTCAGATGCCTTGGAAGAGGAACAAAAAAGGCGAAGAGTGAAATAAACCGATGGCAAACTTGCAGAAGTTTGAAGAGCTTTCATGCCTCTTCAGCTTTCCTCGGATGTCTTCTTGTCTGTACGCGTGGAAAAATCTCGACAGAAATCGATGATGCTGCAATTGTGAGAGAGAAATTCCAAGAATTTTCCCTTTATTTTACCAAATAAACTCTCGCTGTGATGGAAATGCATCATCATTTAAAAGTTTTCCATGATGCATTTCCAGTGAAACGTTAATTAGGGTATATTTCTGAGTTGTCTGCATTGTAGAAATTAAAGCAAAGAGTTCAGATATGAAATCACATTTTTATTACATTAACTGTAAGTACATAGTATTAAAGTATGACAAATGTGTCTCTGAACATCTAAGAAAGTCAGTTAAATCATTAACATCTGAACTTTGATTTAAGAGTGATTTCTTTGGGTGATTAAGATCAATTCAAAGTAAAATATCACATTGTGCAAATATAATTCATTTATATAGAAAAAAATATTTCTTCGATTATCATTTCAACGAAAAATTCACTTGCTCAAAGCATGCAAAGCTGCGCAATAAGAAATCGCCAATTTCATGATCTGAACGAAAGCATTCAAGTTCACGTCGTACATTCCGGCTGCTTTAAGTCCGAAATCCTTCTGCGCCATCGCGAGGACGAGAAGAAACATCTTCTGATCCTTCACGCTCAATTCGTACCAATTTGTGAGGTAAAGAGTCTCCGAAAGTCGCTCGGTTTTCATCTTGATAAGCTCACCGAACAAACACAGAAGTAAAATTTGAAAAATTCCTGCAGAACATAACAAATATACTGCAATTTGATCGTTTTCCTTGAGTAATAATGTAAATGTAAAAATCAAAAGCAAAGTACTAGTCGTGACCTGAACAAATCCTGTCTTCTGAATGGCACCGTTGAACAAATTCACTTTGTCAATCATATCATTGTGACGAATTATGATAAGTTTAAGATAATTAGGAATTTCCTTAGCTTTCTTGTCGATCAATTTCATGTAATCGTTGAGAATGTTTAGAACTGCCATAATTTCAATGCCAATGAAAATAACTCCCAAATCAATCGTGATAATATAAATTGCGCTTATTGTATTAGTTATAATCTGAACAGCATAAGTTACTTTGTCAGAAACTGAGTCCAATACAGGAATTTGTATGAACAATCCCATATTGCTGTTCGGCGTCATTACTATTGTAACTGTTAGACTAGTTAATAAGAAGAACCGAGTTCCCCATCTGAAATAAATTTCAAACGTATGGAAAAAGTAAAATTTCATATGAAATTTCTCACTTGGTCAGAAATTTCCAAATCTCCAGCGATCGAATCAAATGCTTCTCCAAAAGAACTTGAAGATCAGGATCAGTTTCTTGTTCGTTGTAGAGAGACTCAATCCATTTGCGAAGATCAAGAAAATGCTGACGTTCAAGAAAGCCAAGAATGAACTTCGAAGCAATTTGCAAATACGCGATAAGAAACATAATTGTCGTAATCATATTAAAGTTCAATTCCATTGATAGAGAATAAAATACATGAGTCCCGGTGAAGATAAATGCAAGGCAACAGGATAACAGAAAAATCACAATCAAGAGACGATTTTTCCACGGTCCGGAAAAGATGTTGATCGTCAAAGCAGAGATTTGGAAATCAAACACTGATTTTTCACAGTTGAACTTCTCCAATTGCTTGGAAACTTTCATTTTGCGATCTCAAGTGAATATCCTTCCGTAATGTTTGACGATTGCCGTAGAACTGAAAACAGTGCTGAAGCAAATTGCAAAACTTCTTAAATGTGTGCTCATTTTCTCATGACACGTATGAATACATATTGATTATACCTGCAATTTTAATTTAAAATTCAGATCGATGGCATAATCTGTTCTGCGACTTTCCATATTGAATAAGTTAGTAAGAATACTTGACATTAATTCCGCCACAATAGTTGTAGATGGTGTAGAACACCTCTTGAGAGTGCTTTAATAGATTTCCATCCAACTTTTAATTAATAACTCGTCTCGAGCACCAGAAAAGCTTGCATAATTCTCGCTCTTCCGCTCAGGCTCACTGAACAATTTCAGGCATTGATCAAAGAACAATAGAGCAGTTGTGCTCAATTGAAAGTGGTGTCTCTTTGTTGTCACGCCATCAAAGAGTTCTCCGGTCCAGAGTATTTGCAATTCCCCACCCGCACACGCTTTTGAACTCAAACCGCCCGCGATGCTCTGCCTGCTTTGCGGCGCTCACCGCCATTTTCAAATGGCACAACTGTTGCGATGCCACCGATGCCACACTCGCGCTGCAGGAGAGACAATCGTGAAATCCTTCGCTCTTGTTCACATTTGACCTCCATCAGTGGGAAAATAATTAAATTCTGTCGCGCCTCTGGTACACTGAAACGCCGTGTTTGAAGATAAAAACAGATTTTATTCCTTTTACTACAACTCTATTTGATGTTCCATTCACATTTCCAGATACACTTTGTTTTTTTTCCATATTAGATTATTTATGGGGAGGTTTTTTTTTCATCTCATCTTCTCTGTCATAATGTCTAATACAAAATATGGAAATATTGTGACATTATACCGTTTATATAGAGTTACAATTGCCACACACTATTTTACTGCTTGTTACTTCTAGTTAGGGTTCTTTTTCCATTCTTTTTTTTTCCTCTAGCCATCGGGAAAAACAAATACACTGTGCCGAAATTTATTGGACGTCTCTCGCTTTCTTGATGTGTCACGCCAGCAAATGTATTTGTCTTTCCGCTATTTACATACAACAGTGTCCCGTGAGTAATTGGAAGACACTGTGCCTCATGGATGGGAAGCTTTTGCTTAAGGGTGGAAGAGAGAGAGTCATGAAATTGTCCAGCAAATTCACACTTGGGGTGGAAAATTGAATTCTTGTCAACTTCACAATCTCAAAAGGCACAGTGTTGATGTTGCTCAATGAATGTTCTTGCGATGGAAAATGGCCAATTGTGAGGTGTTTTGGTGAAAGAGTTATTGCCCAAAAAGGTGTTTCTATGCGCGCTTTCTCATTTGTACAAATGTTTTTTTTTTCTTATATTTTTGCTGGGCCCATGAGAAGGGGTTGAGGCGCCACTACACGAGATGTGGTGTGATTGGCGCCTCTGTGGATTTAGTTGTTTTTCTCTTTTTATTCTTTTGGTAAAAATGTGCTTTCCCAGTGCACAAAAGTCACGTCAATATAAATATCCACTCTGAATATACAACTATGGTTGTTTTTTTTAATATATATTCTCTTGCCTAATATAAATAATATCCTTAGGTTCCACATTTCATTAACTAATCCTTCTTGTATATATATATAGAATTTTATTTTCTCAATTTCTTTTTATACAATATCTCTAACATCATGTAATTGAAAAACGGTGATTCACAAAGAAGTTGACACCACATCATTTATACTTTTTTACTCTCAATGCGAGATTTATTTATTTATGTTTTCTCCCTTTCTATTCCTTCAATATGACAAATTTTTCACAATTGTTTTCTCATTTGTTTATCTTTTCTTTTTAATATAATTTCACGCCTCCGCTCAATGTAAATGACTTGTGATGTTATAAACATTTATATACTTGTTATATAAATTATGACACAGTGAACGTATAGTACACCTTTGCTATTTTCATACTCATCTTGTGGGGTTGTTCAGGATTTTGTGTTAACATTTACACTGTCATTGTTCACCGGTGCTGCTGAATTGGCACTTTTATTGAACCCTGTTATTAGCGTCTCTATGATAAATTTAATTGTTAGCTTATAAATTCCCTCTACATTTGGTGTGTACCGATCCCCTAAAGTGGTCTCCACCGCCGCCAGGAAGGGCCGCTCTATTTTCTGCAAGAAGGCGGACAAAAGACAGTGAAATCTAGCGCAATCTAGAGCGCCAATCTGGGGTGAACTCACCCAAAAGTAGTCCGCCTTGAAGTTGGGAATTCGCCTATGGGAAGCACCTACTTGGTGGAGATACTGGAAGAACGCGTCCAGGTCGTCAAGACTGCGGATGCCCTCGTCCAGGGTCTCCATCACCTTGTTCGCGTGCTCCTGCAGCTCCTCCGACTTGGCTTGCTGCTCCTTCGTCTTCATCTCCTTGAATTTGGTGAACATGTTGAGTAGATCCGCGTGCTCTTCGAACAATCTGCAATGAGTCAGACTCGCGTAAATGTCACACAAATCACATTGCGTTTGCTGCTCAGAAAGTTGACTCGCAATGCAGTTGTTAAGTGTTCTCATATTGATCACCGCCCTGTTCAGTGTGGGGAGACATCAAGACGTTCCACCCGATTGCAATGAGTTCTTCTTCACCACAACAACAGACACTTCATCAACAGAGACTTCCACATCGCCAAGGCACGAGCAGAATTCCAAGAACTCATACAAAGAGGCTTTGGGCGGAATGGACTTGTGTGAATACGTGCTGAGTGAGTCTCAAGTGAATTTTCCCCTTGAAATTAATATCTCTTTTCACGCAGTGTTGAATCCTTTTTTGCCAGGCAACCAAAGGATTTGCCACAGGTGCTGCAGAGACAGCGCCATGAGTTACCGCTGCTGCAGGACATTTACGGTCTTATGTGCTCACAAATACGGGCTTTAATCTTGGCTTTAATTGCGAATAAGGGAGAAACTTCTAAGAATTCGCTATTCACTCTTGAAAAATGTGAAAAATTCAATGATAAAATCCGCCTGATATAAAACACCGAGTGTATAACGAAATTTTTGTTTTATCATCTTCTAAGAATGTAATGTGAAATGTACTGTTGCGTTCAGAAAAAAGCACTGGGAAATGCCAGAAGAAGGAATGTTTCTGTACTGTGTTCAGCTTTAATTCGAGCACTCCTTGTTCCAAAAAAGCAGATTCCGTTCTTTAAATGTCGTCCTGAGAGTATCTTATCGGATCTATCGGAGCTGTTGTTTTCGTTCCATTATCCTCATAATTGCATGTTTCTATTCTATATAGATATTTGACTAATAACACTGACTATTATTAGTCTGTAATCAAATGGCTCGTGAGAGGGATTTATTATAAAATCTAACAAATCTATCATATCAATTATTCCTTCTCTTGCTTCAAGCTTCATTCACATTCAATACCATATACAATTAATCTCAATTAAACCGCTATAAGTCCCGGAAAATGAATTAATTTGCGTAGGAGGCGGAAAATGGCACGGCGAAGCGAGCAATTTTACAATCTGCCAAACCTACACTATTTTCCGAATGCCGCAGTATGTATTTTTTTCTTCTCAAACATCTCATTTCGATTTTTCTCACAAAAATTTGACGCGCTGGGAATTCTTATGAGTTCTGCAACATCACGGGCATCTCGTGTTTGGCTGGTTACACAATGTTTCTCTCTCTCTCTCTTTTTTTCGTTAAAGAGACCCACAAGTTTTAATTAGTTTCCACCCTCCTCCGTAACAATTAGTTAAATGTGTTCATCGGGGCCCTGAAACATATCCAAACACCTTCATTATTTATTTATCATCTCGCTGAGTGGAGCTATTATCAAAACGTGGCGGTGTGAAGCCCCTAAATCGCTTTAATGCTTTAATCCCCCAGAAGCGGGCGCGGTGTGTCAGACAGATGCTCAGCTGAGAGATCCTTCGGCGGTGATTTCCGCTGTGCTGCATTAATCGCTACTGCAGAAATTGGTGCGATTTGGCGAATCAATTTGATGGTGCATCATGTTAGAGGCGCAATCAATTTGAGAAATGAATAAAAGCGTGGGAAATGTTTTTTTCTCTCTCCCGCGCTGGGCTATTTTTACGGCGCGAATGGCGCGAAAGGCAGCTTACGAAACTTACTTGATAAACATGCAGACTCCCGTTTGCTCCATGGCGCGACTGATGCCCTTCCAGGACGCCAGCATCGTGTACTTCTGCTTGGCGGTGAGCGGCAGGCGCGAGTCCGTGGCCTGCTTGGGCGCCTCATTGGGGGCAAAAGCCTGGCCGTCGTCGCCCTTCGACACCCCGGACAGCTTTCCGAGCTGACAGCCCATTGTGCCTCTCGAGGACTCTCTCTAAATAGAGCTGTGATGAATTGATCAATATTTTGAAGGGGGTGTCCTTATCACGAGAGCCTCTGCCACTCAATCAACTCTCACGGGCTTTCCCGCAATTCGCGCACTGATGTGTGCTTTCCACCGAACGCAGCGACTTATTGAAATCGCAGCATCTCACGGCGGAGCTCTTATCGCACTCACTTCCCTTATCAATTCACTTGCAGCGCGACTCGCGAGTCCTTGGCGGGGATTTTTCTCCACCCCTTCGCAACTATCCGGGAGCTGAGGCTGCACTGCTCGCACGCACACACACACTGAGCCTGGCTCCAGGCGCTGCACTGGTGGGCTGGCGGGGGGACTTGTGGCTGCAGGTGGCGCACTCCTGGGCCACGGGAGCCGCACTCACGACGCTGCCAGGGGGTGAATTCACGCGAAAACAGCAAGGAACATCCTTCCGACAGCAAACATTTTTCACTATGCGCAGAAAGTGCCCGTACAGCCACTGCCAGCGACTGCGACGACTCACAACATACTGGCAAGTTCAACATACAAAGTAGCCCCGAATTATATATACTTGTTAATATTTCCTGGGGTTCTGGATAAGTTTATCACCTTCGTGGGACTCGTGCCCACATCGATATGCGCGACAATCGGACAATCACATGAGATGTCACACGCGCTCTTTCTCCACACACTATACACAGGACACACGAGAGTGAAAGATATTATTTTTCTTGTAAAAATAGCCAGATGGAATATTAATAAAGTTTTTACTTCGCGCTCAACATTGGCTCACCCACAATTTCGCAATGCGATGCGCTGAGAATTTCTGGGCGTACGAGCTGCCAGTGAGAGAGCGCCATTTGGGATGAATAGAACAATTTGCCGCGTGTTCCCACCATTTCAGCAATTAATTCAGCCTTCCAGAATTTCCCACACGCGCTCCCACCATTTACAACCTGCAGCCCAGGGGTGTACAAGCGCGGCGCACAACGGCACGTCGCGCCTCCCATCAATCCACGCGACGCAAGAGTCCTCGGCGGAATCAGGCCAAGAGGAGCTCTCAAGACAGTCCGGGATCCGTTTCCCCAGGACGAACTGCACAGAGGAAAACCAACAATTTCCCTCCATTCTGATTGATATTCATGAGCACAATTGATTTCCACAATTTGCACTATCGCTCTGTTATCGATGTTAATCAAACGTGAGCTGCCCGGGGAAATGCTAATTGGCACAAATAGAATTAGGTTGCAGAATGTGCAGCAAAATTGCCAATTATTTAGAGATTTCCCAGGAAAATACATTGCAGGGCAATTGATTGATTTTCATGCCTTTCTCTGGGTTTTTCCACTGAGTCAGGACAGCATTGTTATGCAAACGTCCTGCTGAAATTATGCCTGTCATACACATTTGTGGATTAGGCCTCGTTTGCAAAGGCGTGGTTTGATAAGGGTTGAAATACACCCACAAAAAAAAAACTAATTGTAACGACAAAATACTTAATGAAAGCTCTTTTGGGAAAAGCAAATGGCATTTAGAAGTATGACGAAGAGAGGAAATTCATGCAATTTACATATAAGGAGAAGCGAAAATATGGTTTAATTTCACATTCAATTTATAATTTACTGTTAAATTGGGAAATGATTGTTTTAACAATTTTATTATGCAAAAATAAGAGTCTTGAATAATTCAGTCATTATAATTACTCTAATTTGCGATAAGTACGTTGAACTTTCTTCTCTCGTGTTGTGATTTCACACTTTTTATCTTATCAGCTCCAGCTGGCTGTCAATTTCTGACAAATTTATTGCCCTGGCTGATGGCCAGAAAGTGATGATTAAACGTTTATAATAATAGCGAAAGGATTTTCCATTAAATCTTCTTGTAAAATCATCTACAAAAATTTACTACCAAATATCTCGAATGCGATTAGTAATTTTGGTGTTGTCAACATAAATTCTGAGTCTATTTCAAATAAAGTCACGTCTTGAACTGTATGTTTTTGCATTCTCTTCATTTTTTCAAGAAATTCGTACACAATTCCAGCGGATAGTCTTCATTGTGATTAATGGCTTATCAAATTTGCGACTTTGAGTGATTCTGGGAAATGTTGAGCAGATAAAGTGTCTATAAATTGACACACAAATCAGAGGGCAAATTCAGTTTAAGACTTTGTGTTGCGTAAAGAATTTGCATTGCTCAGCGATGCCGGGCGAAATGAAATTCTTGGGTGTGTTTTTGGTAGTTTTTGCACTTCTGGCGGTGGAAATTCGTGCAAATGGCGATACGATTCAAAATCATGAGGAAATAGATTGTTTGGTTTACAACAATTGCACTTCCACTGCAACTCCTTCAGATGAAACCACCTTGGAAATCACCTCTACGCCACTGATAAGCACCACAGATTCTCCAAATCCTCCTGGATCTGAGTCAAAGCCTGCATTGTGCGAGTTCTCGTTAAGTAAGTTTGGCGACAATCTTAGCAACTGAGTGTATCAGAATCAATCTGCTGAGCGTGGAAGTCCGGAGACTTCCTTCAAGTCGTCGAATTCCACTCAATTGCTTCACAATGAAATGTGAAATTTCCCTGAATTCATCATTATCCATTAACCACCTTAGGGAATTGTATTTAATGCACAAGCCGCTAATTTGTGGTTGTTTTCTCTCATTCAAGACAAGTACGGCGCCTGCTTCTTCTGCTGCAAGGAGAAGAACAAGCCTGGTCGGAGTTGCTGCAGGACCAACAGCTTCTTCTGCATGCGCATGTTCGGAATGGATGAGAATGCTGGCTGGAACCATGGCTGGGAATACAGCTGGAACCACGGCTGGATCTATGAAGACGACTATTCTCACTGATAAACTGCTGCTGCGCGCACTTTCACCGCCCGGACCTGTTGCTGTTTGGATTACTCATCATCATTGCCGTCTATCCAAATATTTCTCGCGATTCTCCCCAACTTCGCTGGCGTGAACTTTTTCATCACAACTCCGCGGCGTGAGCGAGTGATGGACGATTGTGCAGACGGATGGAGGAATATATTCCCGAATGATCAATGCAAGGTGTATTATTTCATTGAGCGTCAATATTTACACATGTGTGAGCGTGCTCTACGAGGCATAAAAGATACTGTGTATGTAATTTAAAGGTGTCTGAAACAGGTTTTCTTGAGTACTACTCGCCGTCTCTTCCCCCACGGTTCATGGTCGATCTCTGGGCAGTACATAAAGCGTGGCGAGCGAGAGAGCAAAAAGATTTGGCGGTTATGAGCGATGTTTGCCCGATGATTAGCGCTCATTAAGGAAATTTATTAGCACTCTTGGCGGAGGTGCAAAGCGACTCAATGGACAGTGCAGATCGGCCTTTGGGGCTCATCTTACGGTCACTTGCGGGACCCTTCCCTAAGACATCTCGCCGTGTGAGCATTCCCAAGCGCCATCAGCCATGTATAACTGGAAATTGCCGTCTTGCCGATGGTCTCCGCATACATTTTCACCCGTGAAAGGTGAAACCACGGCGTGTGTGTGTGAATTCTTCCAGCTCTTTTATGCTCAATTGTTGATCTGTGCGCTTAGTTGAGAGCAAACGCCGTGCCAGTCGAGTTGCGTATATCGTGGAATTTATGTGGCCAGCTCACACACCTGTGGATTAGCCAGTGATCCCATTTGCACCCCTACACATCTCTCACCCCCAAAACTTCACCCGTTGGACAGCGACTGTCCATCCCCGCGTGAAGCGTGAATGAGAGATTTAGTGATACAGCCCCATTTCGACAAAAGTGAGCATCGCTGGAGTCTCGCCGAGACCACAAACCCATGTACATAACACTTGTTGGTTCTTTCAATTTTTCGCCGTTTATCGCGAGTGCAACACACTGAGAATTTATTCAAATCCACTTCCTGGTGAGGGAGAGAGCAGCGCTCTCTTGTCAGGGTTCCACAATTCGCCAGCGCGATTCCGTGCAGAACAGCACAAAGGGAGAGACAGTGCCGGAATGTGGTGTACTTGTTTCATTGCGAGGTGGTTTAGCGATAAGAAAAAACTCACTGAAGTCGCTTGAAATGTTATTAAATGTGTGTGTTTGATGAAAATCTTCTTTCCCATTATAAATACATTATAAAGTGATAATATTTAAAACGTCCTGGACAATATCATTTCGGATTCATGTATTTTCCCCACTTGGAAGTGTTAAACTAAATTTTCTAAGCTTCAGAGGCATTTTAACAATCACTTTTCTCACTTAAATATAGCAATACATCAAACATTTCGCTACATGTTGTATTTCTACTCTGAATAATTAAAAAAAGCCCACCGACAATTAAACATATACTAGTAATTTATAATTAACATTCGTCACAGTGCATGATTCTTATGTACACCACACACTCGCACTGGTTTCCCCTTGAGACAGACCATTTTTTCGGTCAGAGATTAAAAAAATTGGCCCCAAAATGGGGATGAAAGGGAGATAATTCCGCCAATTATCTATGTTTTGCCAGCATTTATGCCGTGCATACATCTTTTCTGGTGTATTTCTGAATCTATTGGAATCCGCTAAGACCCATCATCTTGAGAGATTGCGTTTTGAAGGCAATTTTCTCTTCCCAAAAACTAATTATATCTCTGCCTGGGTGTTTCTTTTTGTCAGTGGAAAGCCCACTGAAGATTTGAATGATTTAATATCTCTTTGGCAAGGTTTTTTTTTCTTCACTCAACAGAGGGAAAGAGAGAGAGAAATTAATAATTAATGTTGTGTGTGTGTGTGTGTGTAAATATTTATAGCGGGAACCCAGTAGGACAGAAAAAAAAAGTTGGGGGAGAAGTCAAAAGTTCCCCCGTGCAAACAATGGGGCATTAAGTCCGAAAAAACAGAGTGCTGACTCCTGAGAAAAGAAACTCGCGCGGCTATTGCCTTCTCTATCTAATAATTTTCACTACAATATTGTTGCTTTTTTTCACTGGCTAAGCGCGATGATGAAGAGAGCACAAATGTGGTTGAGGTGGAGTTTTATAAGATCGAACGTTCCAAGAGGCAGTGGTGTATGACACGATTTCTTCTTTGGGCTCTTTCTCACCGCCACACACTCACGAGCACACACACACACTCACTCACCCTTCGCCATGGCGTGTGAATAGTTGTTTTATATCTGCACCGCGCTGTATTATGTATAATGTAGCTAATACAATTCGGCGCCTATGTATACACTTTTTCGAGAGTATAAGAAAAAATTCATTCACTCCGCCGGACTCTTTCACTTTCCGTTCCTTATGTGTGGTGTGGTTCTTGAGGATTTTCCGCACGTTGGCCGTCAGTTGGAGGGCCGGTGGATGGAAAGCCCTCCTCACCTGTATAGTTTGTGAATTGCCTGTAAACACAGCAGACGTGCCCAGTGTGGTTTTTCCGCCAATTCAAGCACCTTTTTCCAGCACATTCAGCCAGAATTTCGTGAACACAAATATTTACCATCCCAGCTTGCAATTCTTTTGCATCTATATGGGCAAAAACCTTGACGCATCACGAGCTTTGTGGAACAAATATTCGCTAAAATGTTTCGCGCTTAACCATATTTGTTGTAAATGTTGCAAAATGTTGGAAATTAATATAATTTTGGAAAGCAAACAGAGAGGCAAGCAATATTCTGGGTCAAATTAAGTGTTTTTTTTTCAGTTACAATTTTAATCGCGATCTCAGCAAATTTGACAACCAATGAAAGTACAAAAACTTCTCATTTAACTATAAAATGCAAATCGTGGCGAGAAATTTCATTCTGTACATTCACAAGCTTTTTCCAAGTCGATCGCACTTCACTGTAGTGTTGAGATTGTAGTGCTTATTATTGTGTAGAATAAAAGAAAAGTCCCAAGAATTCCGCCCTCGAACGATGCAGAGATGTGCTTATGTAATGTTGAACCATTCAGTTTCTCTAGACGGCTAATTGATAGAGGATGAAAGTAACGCATAGAAGAAGAAAGAAGAATAGTTTTTCAATGCCACGAGACGAATTTGTGCCTCGTGTTAGAACGGTTCGGCAGGTGAAACAGCATAAACCGCGAATTCGAAAACCCTCAGGTGATGCTCGAATACATTGTGGCCAAATGCACATATCTTTTATCACCTCACAAAAGCGCTCCACTTATGCTATCACTCGCATTCCTCCACACATCAATTGCTCACGCCGCGGCGCAATTTCTCCCATTGCAGATAATTGCATTGAGAAAAATAATGGTGTCTTCCATCCAGTTCTTCCGTCGAAGCAATTAAATCAGCCGCCGTCGTACAGAATGCCGCCGCAGCCGCCCCCCGGCGTCACCGTGGCGTACAGCGAGTCCGCCATTCCCGGCGCCACGGCCAGCATGGAGTTCGCGAGTGGCGTGGGCGCAGAGCACTGCTACGACAGCGGTTCCGCCCTCAGGACGCACTCATCCAAGTTTCCGGTGAGTCCGCGCACTGTTCGTGCTGCGACAAGCCACTAATTACGCCCTCCCTCTGTCATTCGCCCAGATCGAGAAGGAGCTGATCCTGTCCGGCGACAAGGGATCAACGAAGATCCCACTCATGAATGACTACAGGACGCCGCCGGTGGGATTCCTGAAGACGGGAGTCACTCTGCAAATGTTACCACGGCCCGTGAGCGCCTCCATTGCGCCAGATCATCCGAAACCGAAGCATCTTCAGGCTTGGGTGAGTTCAAATGCAAGCGGCCACTCTTTGGATCGCTCAAGCAGAAGAGATTCCTATCGTGGCTATCACAGGAAGAAAAATGCTGGCCAGAACTTCATTCACTTGCTAAGGCATTTCCTTGCTTGTGGGCTAGATTGATGATTAATTTCTTGTCCAAATTGAATAGTTTCGCCTTAGACTCTTATCAGATACAGATTTTTCATTGCCAAATCTACTTGAGCTGCTGGGATGGGAGCTTTTCTACAGCAGTACAGCTTATTTTAGTGGTTTTTGAATCCTTTCATTTCTAATTAAGCCACTGTCTCTCAACGTCTGATAACGCAGTTAGTTAAGAGGTTTTGTCTAATGAAACTATTAGATATAGTAGTAAAGAGTCTTCTTTTTAATCTTAGAGAGCGATTTAAGAGTAATCGAAACTTCACAAGCAAAAAGAAAACGTTCTGAATGTAGAAAAAGAGAAAGTTTAATCCTCACTAACACTAGTAATAGAACTACTTGATGATCTCCACCATTTAGTCTGCCAACGAAGTGAACCACTTTCTCGTCTTCGAAGAGAAAGATTAGATTGAAGAGATGAAAGTTATGGTCATTGAATTCTGTATCTCTATTTTATCGATAAGATGGCAAAGTCAGTTCAGTTCTTACACAAAGCCTAAATAAATATTTGGCTAGGATAGCATTTGCCAAGTGTTTTTCCGGTGTTGCTTTCCAGATAAATATTGTTTTCATGAATATAAATTGCGGTATTACAATTCGCCTTTCATCTTTTTGTACCATGGAGAATATCATCAATCAATTTGAAGAACCAATCATTTCCTCAGCTTTGCTTCTGCACTTTGAGAGTGAGAGAAAAAAAAATAGCCTATCAATTTTACTGTTTAAATACCCACGAAAAGTGGTGCTTAGAAGTACTGTTGAGTTGATATTTCCCCCATGAGGCATTGAGTATAGAATGAAAAGTTAACAGTTGCAAGAATTTTCGCAGCACCTGTTGAGTTACCGTGGCCAGTAGGGGAAAAATGCATTAATTTATGTACATTTCATTACATTTGTGTTTGCTTCATCATTTTTTTTTGCTCTCTCTCGCGACCACACAGTCAATTTATGATTACGCACACAAGCAAGGAATCGCTATTAATGGCTGGATGATGGCCTGGTGAAGGTAATTCTTGGTGGAAGTAGAATATACTCATTAGCAATTCGTACGTTGTACTCTTCATGCATGAAAGCAATTTCACCAGGGGTGGATTTCCCTCTCTGGGCGCACTGTTTCGCCATTTCGTCCCAAAAAAAACAGTGCATCTCTGGGGCGTAACAAATTGAATAAAATGGTGAGAAGAGATTATTAGAAAGTATAAAGTTTCCCAGAGACTCTCTGCCAACAATGCCTCTTTTCCCATGACTTTGTAATCAATATTTCGAAATGATGTGCTTGCAGAACTCCCTGCCACAGCAGCAAGCAGTCCAGTTGCCGCCAAAGGTGGGCTGCGGAGCCATTCCAAGGACGCCAGCCAGGCTGCCCGAGGATGTCACGGCGCTGGCAGAGCGCGAGAACAACAGCAAGAACAGCGAATTGAGGGACTCGAAGAGCGCCGTGTCGAAGACTTATCACACACTCAAGGACCTGATCTCGTCCAAGTTCAGGAAGGATCATGGCGAGGGAATGGATGAGCTGAACAATGTCCTCACGCCACAAATGCAGGCGTGTCTAGAAGCGGGTGAGCTCAAGTCGCCCTATATGTCGCTGCCGGCGCATCTGAGACAGAACAACGGCCTGAACAATTCCCAGCCGAACGTGTGGCCTGAGAGGCCCTCTTCGGGCTCCCCGCGTGTGTCCTATCAGCACCTGCCGCCGCAAAGGCCCTACACGCCGGCCGAGACGATGAGGAACGTGAATCAGCCACAGAAGGCAGTGTCGCAGCCCCAACTCAACATCCCCAAAGAGCCCGAGGAGGCGCAGCAGAACTTCCAGGGGCACTTCAAGGCGGCCAAGAGGAGTTCTCTGGCCAATATCGACGTCACGGACAGCGACGAGGGAGGCTTCACTGCTCAGGCTCCTCGGCTTCAAGCCATGGCCAATCGCCAGGGTGCCATTCCCTTCCAATCCGCCTATGCCACGAATCTTCAGCAGCTGAGCTACCAAGAAGAAATGCACAAGGTGCAGAACGACCAGAAACACCCTGACCGCGTGTGGCAGTACCAGAGTCCTCATCATCAATCGGCGAAACCCCTTCCGGAGCCCCCGAAGCTTCCTCAGAAGCCCGATCACAGGGAGAAATCTACCCCGGATATCAGCAAGCAAGTGTCCGGTTCTGGAGCCAGTTCGGACTACGATAAGAGCGGAAATCAGAGCTCAAATGTTGATTCTGGTCGAGGAAGTGCTGCCTATTCCAGCTGCCGCAAGGGAGTTCAAGTGGACACGAGCCTTGAGAATCCTAGTCCTCCGGTGAGGGCTAAAGAGAACGACAGCGAGTGGGCAGACATTGTGGATGCTGAGTTGAGGCAAATTCTGGAGCCAGGCATGCAGAATCTCTCCCTGAGGCCTGAGAGCACGATCTCAGGCAGCGCCTCTTCCGTAACTCCACCTCTGCCGCCCCTGTCGCCGGGCGGGAGCACAAGATACACTCCCGCAAGTGCCAAGGACACTCCTGGCAAGCAGGAGTACGGAGCGGACAGCTACAATCGGCCGGGAAGGACCTCAGGACCGATCGGACCGTCTCGAGCGGGCTGGCCGGGATCCACGGTGCAGAAGCAGAGCAGATCAGGCACGAAGAGGCACGAGCAGACGCTCCTAAAGAGACACTGTAAGACACGCCCCTCTTCAAGCTCCGCCCTTGCAAATGACATATTTACTCATTAAAACGATTTATTTTCTAGTATTCGGCCTGGATAACGACGTTGCTTCCACCACGACGCGATCCCTGGACTTGGAATCGCTCTTGGGAGCCCCTTGGTGCGCTGGTCAGTCCGTCAGTGACTCTGAGACAGACACTCAGGGCCTAAGACACATCCGTAGCCAGCTGGAAGGCCTAGAGTACATGTACAGCGAAGTGCTGCGGATCATCGGATCGAAGATCCCGGGAATTCCCAACAGGCTGCATGAGAATCCTCGTGGGGCGGGAATCCGTCGGCGCCAGGGTAGTCTCTCCTCCCTGCCGTCCAGTTCGGTGAGCGGCCGCCCCATTCGAGAGCGCCGGCGGACGGATGACAGGCGAAAAGTGCGCGACATGAAGGGAATCAACAAGAGATTCCAGCGCCTGGAGTCGCACGTTGTCACGCTGGCCAGGAGCGTGGCTCACTTGTCCTCGGAGATGCGCTCGCAGCACGTGGTGACGCAGGAGCTGGAGCGCCTGCGAGATGATCTCGCCACTCTGCGCGTCCAGACGAGTCACTCGATGAATTTCCTCCAGGCGGCGAACGGCAGCGAGTCGCCGAACCTCACAAATCCCAAGCGCGTGAAGAAGCTGACGAAGTTCTTCGGCGAGGATCCGCCACTCATGAGACTCTTCCTGAAGAAGCTGGGATATGAGGTTGTGACTTGGCGCAATTATTGATTGACTTGATTGCTAAATTTCTCTCGCATTCCAGAAATACGCTTCGCTCTTCGAGACGGAGAAAGTGGGCATGATCGAGCTGCCCTACTTGGGCGAGGAGCGCCTCCAGAAGCTTGGCGTGCCGCTGGGACCCAGACTGCGGATCCTGCAGGAGGCGCAGATATCCCTGTGCAAGGACACAACCCTCTGCATCGTGTAACTTTCCAGTAAAACTTCCCACATTGCCGTAGATTTGTATAATCAAAATTGTATTTCATCAGCATTTTTTTGTGTTAAGCGTCATATGAGAAATTTTTGGGCCGGATCAGTGCAATTTCAGTGTAAGAATATTCGTTCAGTTTTCATTAACTATTCTCCTTAAAAGTATATCGTTTAAAAATATGCATTAAATCAGAATACTGCTGCGCCAGAATTGTCGCAAAGTGGTAGAGAAAAGTCCTTCTTCTGCGACATGAGCGCAAAGATGAGGATTGTCATTTGCCTTTGTATAAAATGTCATCACACAATCGTAAGAAAAATCACTGCACACAAACAGGCCCGTGAGAGGTACTTTTGGACATTGGTTAATAATACTCTTTGTAATTGCTAAGTAAATATTTAAACTGATAAGTATGACGAGTGAGGGTAGCGTATAAACACGAGTTATAATCGATTTGAGATTTCACATGGGTTTAGCCAATCCCTTGTGTATTTGCGATGGAAAAGTGGCACTGTTATCACTAAATGTTAGAATAATTTCATGACACTGCAGTCAAAAATGCCCGATAACGCGCTGATAGTAAGGTTTGACACAAGACTGGAAAGTATTTAGTCGATTTACCAAATATTCCCTCTCAGTTCCATTTCATCCTCAAGTGACACGAGATCACTCGCATTGTCCACAAACTCTCTTTCTCTCAGTTCTCAAATAAAAAAAGAATCACATTACTCTGTCCAACAATGCTCCGTGCAATCTTCATTCTCGCTGTCCTGACCATCGTCATTTCGCCAAGTGCTTCGGAACTGGTGAGATTTCAACAGTGCGAAGAGACATGTAAGTTTTCCTCCTGGCCGTGTGATAATGAATTTTGCCAAGCAAGCGCAATTTCGCTTATCATTACTGGGAATTAAAATAAATTTGGCTGATTTGCTGCGGAAAAGGTCACGAGATCTCATCTGAATCTGTGTGAAAAGTGGCGATAAACTCTTTGAGAAAATGGCTTCAGCAACTATTTTATGGGATCAAAGTTCCAAATAGTTATTTGTGGGGAAACTTTAGTGCTAAATAGTGTGTGAATTCATGGAATAACATCAATTTTCGAGGAAGAATTCACCGAATAGCTTTAATAGCTTCAAATGAGTGCCTTCCGACATGTATTTGCATCCTTTCTGTGTCCTTAACAGCACTAAATGTATGAAATTACTTGGATAAACTCCACGGCTTCTCCATTGAATGATTTGCAATTTGCATTCTATGTCAAAGAAGCGCCAAAGCTGTCTGTGTATTTGATTATCCATCCACTTCTCTGCAGTTTCTTGTAGAATAGTGAATCATAGGGGATTTCTGAGCCGCTTCAAAGCCCATTGAATCACAGAAGCACTTCTAAAATATTTCATGAATCAGCCTTGTTAAGCGTCCTTCCAGGAAATTTAATGCTGAATATTTAATTCAAAGAAGGAAGCCTCTGATTTACATAATGCATCACTTCACTCGAGTCAACGTCTTACCTTCTTCAACATTGCGCATATTACGCATATTATTCATTCCCAGTTGAGCGTCTTTTCCGCACGATTTACCCACGATCTGAGGCAATGGTGTGAATGCGTGTGTGTCTTTTCAGCCCCTCAGCCGTGCACAATTCACGCCGTGCGGATAAATCCCTGTCCGGAGGCGGAGAATGACCAGCCGTGCAAGATCAAGCGCGGCCGCTCGGCGTCCATTGAGTTCGACTACGCCATGGAGTTCCAGGCCACGGAGCTGGACAGCAGGATGTACTGGAACAACGAGGGTGTGGATCTGCCGCTGATCGGCGTGGACACGAACGGATGCAACATGGTGTCCTGTCCAATTGAGGCCAATGCCAACAACACGTACGTGTGGACGCTGAATGTGTCCAAGAAGTTTCCCATTCGCGTGTTCGACATCAAGGTGAAGATCAAGAACCAGGACAACAACTTCTGCTGCTTCCTCACGAAGATCCGACTGACAAAGTGACGATCTCACATCAGGAAATCTCGAGAAGCTCTCTCTGTCTGACAATAAATCCCAATGCGTTTTTTTTGTGTTTTAATTGAACTTTTATTTCCACTGCTTTCACTTGGCAATAAATATACGCTGAAAGCCTTTTACATTGATAGACAAAGAAATTGAGTGGGAAAAAAGGGGCAGAAAATCTCAAACATGATCACGATAAACATGCCTGAAATGAGGTCATTTCTAATTCCCTCTCTCGGGGGGGACATAAATTTAAATTTATCTCTGCAACATTAATATTGATATGTCACTATAATGCATTACAATTGGTCAGAATATGATAAATTCTGCGCGATAACGACTATTTTTCTATATCAACTCGTCATACTTTTTCTCTCTCTCGCTCTCTTTCGCCAAAAAACTGGAAGACTTTATATTTCACATAACTTTTACATAAAATTATCGTTCATGTTCTGTTTTGTTGGGTGGGGGAAGAGGTCATTCTGTCAGAGCTGGACAACGTCGAGGGTTTGGGCAATTTAATATTCCAATGTTTGTCGTGAGACAATTATGCACAACTAGTGAAAAAAATAGGGAAAAAGCACTCAATTTATTATGAGCTTCATGAAGTGAACTTTAAGTCGTTATGTGCAGACTTGTGAATGAATATTTGATTGAATGGGTGGACTGAAGTAATTGTGATTGACGATTCGCTTTAATTGATCAATTCACGCTTAAAACGCTCAAAACATTATTTATGGCAATTTTCCCGCCTTTGGCATTGCGAGATTCGAACCTGCGACAATTCAGGACTGTGCTGTGCAGAATGGATTGGGTTCAAATCCCGGACTTTTCGTCCATCTCTGACCTCTCATCGGAATGGTGAAATAAGGTTCTTTTTTCTTCAAAGAAATCGCTTTCGGAGGAGTTTACTCCATGGTGCCGTACTGCACCTTCTTCACCTTGAAGTACCGCCACAGGCCGTAGCCCGTGATGATGCACAGCGTCATCACGGCCAGCGTGGAGCCCACGGCGATGGGCGCCGTCTCGTCACGATAGGTTCCCGTGGCGCTGCACTGATAGGACGGACCCCACGTGCTGGCCTTCTTGTACATGAAGGCCTGCATGCGCAAGTCGCGCAGATACAGCTTGGCCAAGTGCCCAGATCGGTCGTCCTCGTCCTGGGAGAACATCGTGACCACGCGCTCCTGGTCGCAAGTGTAGGACTTGCCCACGGGCGTGGGGAACAGCAGAGTGTTGTGCAGCGGCGTGGAGAGCTTCACGTCCAGGTTGGGTCGGTCCACGTGCTCGAACACGCGATTCGAGGACGAGTAGGCGAGATCCACGTTGTTGATGTACCATCGCTCACCGCCCGGCGTCTTCTTGAAGTTCATCGTCAGCACGAAGCCCTTGAAGCCCATCGTGAGGCTGGACTCGTCCTCGTCGCACTCGCCCTTCAGATCAACGTTGTCCGGCATGAAGATGTCCGCTTCCTGGGAGGGAAAGACTTTCATTATCCTGTGTAATATGTGATTTGGAGCGATTCTCAGTCAAACAGAAAATGTTAAAAATGTGTTGAAAAAAATGTGTTAAACCAACGACCTCCAGAGTTTATTTTAAAGATTATGTCAAAAGTAGAGTGATAGATCGAAAATATAGCAAGAGCTGTTTTCCCTTATTCATTTCGAATGTTTAACTTTTATATATTTAAAGTTTAACATTCCTGGGAATTGATGTGACAATCAAATTATCCTTCTCTCTCTTTGGTGACTTATGTAAGACCTTTTCCATTGTCACGGGCACAATGGGGGTGTTTTCCACCCTTAAAATACCTTGTCCTCTCCGAGTTTGGTCCTGTACTGGATGCTGAGGAGTCCGTCAGTCCTGATCAGGATGCAAGTTGCGCCATTTGTGGCGTTAACACGATAGAATGACGTCGTCGCAGGCGATGAGGTCACCTATTTGTGAAGCAGAAAAAGGATTCTTTGCATAGTGACAAATACAAGTGAACAAGAGAGCTTTTCTTCATACAGTTTGGGAGGATTTCGTGGTGTACTTGGTGATTCTGGGCTTCTTCGTTGACAATCCTTCGAGTTGAAGATTAATTGCGCCTTTCAAGACAGAACCTGAGGAATTTTCAGTGGAAAAATACAACCTTCGAAGGCTGTGGACATCGGTTTTTTCACACTCACAGAAAATGATGGTGAAGAGGAAGAGTTTCTCTGGCAGCTTCAACATTGCTTCGGTTTCTTGGTTGAATCCTCTCTGTTTAGGACTAAAGCACAATTCCACAAAACTCACAAGAGGAGAATGAACACTTTTTGAGGGACTTTTTCTACGTGATTGTCCTCATTGAGGGATTGCAATATGGATTTTTGGCCACGCATGAGCACAAGACGCAACGTGAAACTTTCTCAATGGGAATCGATGAAAAAGACGTTAAAGATATTTTGAAAATGAAAAATGCTCTAAATTTTATTCAACTAAAAAACACTGACGATTCAACCTACAATTCATTCTTCTTCTCTTTCTTACTCTTCTTGTCTTTCTTTCCCTTCTTGGATTTCTCCTTCTTCTGCTTCGCTTCCTTCACCTTGGCTGGCTTTTCCCGCTTTTCCTCCTTCACTTTCACCTTCGCCGGTGGCTCAGCGACTTCTTCCTCCACTTGCTGCACACTTTCCACCACTTCGGGCTCCGTCTCCTCCTCCAGGATAGTCTCCTCGGCCACTTCCTCCTCCACTGGCTTCGCCGTCTCCTCCTTGGCCTTCGCCTTGGCTTTCACCTCCTTCTTGGCGCTCACCTCGAGCGCCACGATAAGAAAAGCACACAACAGAACCACTGCGAGACGCATTTTTGCCACCTTTCCTCACCTCAAACGACTGGAGGTCGTCTGAGAGCGCTCAGGCGTTTTATACAGCTTCCCGATAATCTACTAAGATGTATTGTTGCCGTGCCTAATGTCTGGTTCCACTGATAGCGCATGAGGAACGTAAATAGAAATAAACAATGACATGGAATGCAAATATTTGAGAGATTTGGGAAAAATGTCTGTAGAATTGTCTTAAATCCCAGTAGAGCTACAATGTAGAGGCAGAATTGTGCATTCTGCAGAGTAAAAAGCCGTGTATCAAGAAGAGATTGAGGGTGCAAAAGTGAGAAGAATGCGGAGATTGACCCCAAAATCCGGTAAAAAATAGTTTCAAACTCAAATGTGTGCTCCAAATAGCAAACTTTCAGGCGCAACGCGTGTCTTCGCTAATTGAATATCCCTGCACTGAGAGAAATCGGTGATGAAGGAAGATTTGACGTCTCAAATGAGAAATTTCAATACAAATATTTATGTATATATTTTTAATTCTGTATCTAATGGTGAAAACACAGCATTTGTAATTTGTAATTTGTCCACGATCATCTCTTTCTTCCCCTCGCGTTTCGTGTATTTTCCTTCCTACTCTGTCAGCGTCTGACTTTGACATGTCGAGACAGCCACTGTGCGAGTAGGAAGGAAAATACACGATACGCGTGGGGAAGAAAGAGATGATCGTGGACAAATTACAAATTACAAATGCTGTGTTTTCACCATAAGAATTACTTTTTAATCTCATAAGAAGTAGATAAGGGCAAAAACTGTTTAAAGTGAATTTCTCTCAGTGCTGAAGCCTGTTAACTGTCGCCGTGACGTTCGGGCTATTCGATTTGTTTTGATTTTGCGACTCCGCGAGAAATCAAGAAGTGCTTCTCTGAGGCGGATTTCGTCGGCGAAAGCGCCCCCAGTTTGCCTCTCGCGGCGACCGAATCTGTCCGCGATGAAGTTCAACAGCTATCTGCGTGCGATCACGCACACGAAAGATCGCACGCTCTTCCGGTACTTCCTGCTGGCCGCGCTGCGCGTGGGGCTGGTGTTCGTGCCGCAGACCGGCTACATCCACCCGGACGAGTTCTTCCAGACGCTGGAGCCGATGGCGGGCGACGAGTTCCAGCTGGAGGTGTCGCGGCCGTGGGAGTACAACGCCACGTTCCCCATTCGCAGCGTCGTGGCGCCGCTGTGCGTGATCAAGCTGCCCTTCAACGTGCTGCGCCTGCTCAACCTGTACTCGTCGCACTTCCTGGGCCTGAGCCTCATCTCCAGCTACAGCATCCTCGTGTTCCCGCGCCTGTGCGTGTGCCTGCTGTCCTTCGTGTGCGACTACAGTCTGTTCCGCATGTGCCGCGTGTACGGGCTGCGCCCCGAGATGCGGCTGCTGGTGCTGGGCAGCTCGTACGTGATGCTGGTGTTCGGCACGCGCACGTTCAGCAACACCGTGGAGATGATCCTCACGTCCTTCCTGCTCTGCGTCGTGGCCGAGTGCATGCTGCTGTCCAACTCGGTGATCAAGCAGGCGGAGATGCTGCAGGACAAATACCGCGCGGCCACGCGCATCGTGGAGCGCGTGAGGATCTTCAAGCTGAAGAGCGCGCTGCCGTCGCACAGCTTCAAGCGCTGCTTCCTCCTGTCCAGCCTGTGCGTCGTGGGCGTCTTCAACCGGCCCACGTTCATCTTCTTCGGCATGCCGATCGTCTTCTTCTGGCTGCTGCGCGGCCTCGGCTCGCGCTCCGTCACCTTCCTGGACTTCAACGTGCGCGTGGGGCTCTTTGTGCTGGCCTCCGTGCCGGCGCTGCTCGTGTGCACGCTCGTGGACTCTCTCTACTTCGGCTACTTGACGCCCGAGGAGATCGAGAAGCTGGAGATCGGCATCGACAACTTCGTCTTCACGCCGCTGAACTTCATCCGCTACAACATCAATCCGCGCAACACGGCGCAGCACGGCCTGCATCCCTGGTATCTGCACATCCTGGTCAACATTCCGCTGCTCTTCAACATCCTGGGCGTGCTGACCATCGCGGCAGCGATTCTCTTCGTTGTCCGGTGAGTTTTTTCCACGCACAGCGAAGGTTTTCCTGCTCACTGTCTCATCTCTGCAGCTTCTCACGCGGCGAGTACTCTTCCCTGCCGCGAGCGCAGTCCATCCTGGGCCTGATGGCGGTGGCTTCGGTGACACCGACGCTCCTCCTGTCGCTGATCAATCACCAGGAGGCGCGATTCCTCATTCCCGTGCTGCTGCCGATCGTCCTGCTGCACGCGCCGAAGCTCCAGACTGGCCTCTTCACCGACAATCCGTTCCGGCGGCGCAACTTCCTCACCAACTTCCTCTACGACAAGCTCCTGAGCGTGGAAGCGGCCAGGAAGTACCTGAAGATCTGGTACGTGGTGAACATCCTCTGCACGCTCTTCTTCGGCTTCCTGCACCAGGGCGGCGTGCTGCAGCTCACCACTCACTTCGCGAAGGAGCTGGAGACGCGCGGCAACGATGTGAACATCCACCTGGTCACCAGCCACCTCTACAGCGTGCCCATGAGCGTTCTGCGCATCCCCAGCAGCAAGCTGCTGTACACGAATCCGTACAACGGGCAGAAGTACAAGCGCGAGAAGCGCTTCTTCCTCTACGAGTACGGTGGCATGGACATGCGCATGCTGTACCGGCGGCTGAAGCTCATCCTGGACATGAGCGAGCTGAAGCTTGTGGGCAGGAAGCAGAAGTACGCGCTGTTCCTCGCCATTCCCTCCAGCCTCACGGACGATCTGAACGTGGCCTTCTACGCCAGCAACAGCACGCTGATGCGGCACAAGCAGGTGAAGGTCTTCTATCCGCATCTGTCCACCGAGGCCATGCCCAGCGCCTTCGTGCGCCATCCCTGCGAGGTCAACACGGACTTCTTCGAGATCGACGACACGTGCAGTGCGTACGAGGACGAGGAGGCGTACTCCCTGGACGCGCTGCTCAGGCGATTCTCCTCGGTCATCCATCAATTCGGGCTGGTGCTGTATCGCATTGAGGTGGCCAGGAAGGGCTCGTGAAGTGCTCTGCAGAGTGATATTTCTAGTCTTTGACGCCTTTCTTATGCATTCTACCGACTGTCCGGTGAATATTCTTACGCCTCCCGTGGAAATCCGAAGGAATTTCCAGCGAAAATCCATTTTTATTGTCCCTCTTAAAAAAAAATACAACGAAAACACACACTTAAGAAAACACTTGAAATTTTTCCATCACGATTATTCAACGCGCGCGGCTCTATGAGATTATCCTGGGCTCAATAATTACATAAATCTCCGCATTTTTTTTTCTGAGGTATTTTGAATAGAGCCGCAATAAATTTGTCCACTCTTATCTGCAGTCTGTGATATGCTCTTTTTTTTGTCACTCAACTAATGTCACCAATCAAATGCACCAAATGGCGCAATAGTTTGAAATGGCCAAAAATTTACAATTCCGATTTTCGGTTCATCATCTCGCTTCGCTGCTCGCGTGAATTGAATTTGCCAAAAACTTGAGAGCTTGCAGAGTGAGAAATACTCTGGTTTTCTTTGCCCGCCAGACTTCCTTTTACGACACGTTATTTTTAGTTTTTGAACATGTGGCAAGAAGAGCAAAAAAAAGACATCAAAAGACACCAAAGATTGCACTTTTTTGCACATGTCTTTAGGCTGTTTTCTGGGCCATCATTCTCACTGATTTGCAATATTGCCGCCGCGGAGAAGGGATTAATCGTATTCCTCCGCGAGTGAGTGAAGAAAAAAATGTGTCTCAACAGATCGAGAAGCCTTGAGAAGAGACATTGTCGCACGGCAAAAGAGACAAGATCAAAACTCCTTCATTGATTTAATTCCCAATTCATCAATGGCTCTATCGAAAATTGTCGTTTGTCGCACTTTCAACGCCCTTTTTCCCCTCCTCTGCCTTGGCAAGTTCACAGATTTTGCTGTGTGTTGGCTTGAGATTGTGTGTAAAGAATGCCATTTGTACCTTAGAACAATAAATTTTGAATGCAATAATAGTAAAAATTTTTATCGAAAGAAAGTTGTTTTTGTCCACCTTGAGTCTCAATGTGGAACCAGCGTTTTTCATCTCAGACTCTTCGGCGCAGCGCCGTTGCTTTTCACAGAAAATAAAATCTGTTTTTATTGAGATAATTGGATTACTTAAGAGAGTCTTTTGACTGTGGAGAGTTCTTCTTTTTACCGAGACCTAGAGAATTTTAATCTCTTCCAGAGTTGATGAAGAGGAGATTTTTAGCATGAGGAAAATCTGTCGAAAAGTAATCAATAAAGACGAAGAGAAACTGAAAATCTACACAAAGATTAAGAACATTGATAGTCGTGATGAGTGAATCTTTAAGCAAACCCTTTTGAATAGGTTTAACTGCGAAATTGTCTACTTTTTCGACTTTTCTGAGCTTCAGATTTGAGGTTATGTTCTTCAAAAATATCGCTTTGCTTTCAAATTTTTCCTAAAAACTTTTAATAAATGCATTAAAATGCACTTTTTCACTAAAATTCTTTAATTAGTGATTTACTATTTCCCCTCATCCTTATCATTAATCTATGAAAATTCTCAAGGATTATTGATCAACTCCGGTTCCGCTCTCAAGTTTGATATCATTTTCTCAATAACTTTCTTAAGAAGACTCCGGAGTTTGATTGATATTTGAAGAATCATTCAACTGCTCAATCGATACTGTTTCGTACAATTTGCCTTCTGCAACCTCTGCCATGATTAATGGCAATTTCGCAAGTCGGAGTGCAATCGCAGCGCGTGATTTAAAAACTCCAAATTCGGTGCATATCAATCTTCAGGTGAGAAAGCGCCGAATGTGCCAAACATCGCGATGCATTCAGGAGTTGTGAAAAGAATCATAACTCATCTGTTTATTGACTGTGTTACATAAAAAAAAGAGAGAAATGTGCACTGTTTGCCCATCGTTAGTTTTATTCGGTTCAGATTTGCATCTACTCTGCATTTGAGTGCTTTGAGGAATTGAGACACACAAACACTCTGAATAGGAGTTATGAATAAAATTTGGTGAATGTGAGCGCGCCTAAAAGGGAGCTTTATGGGATTTTGTGGGCTTTTTTCTCACGCTTCACCGTCAATTTTTCACCCAAATGAAAATATGTTGTGAAATGTGATCGCGCGACCTTTTCTGCATGTCTTTCACTCGATCGCGACCACCTTCTGCACTCGAATAGATGGTTTGCGCGAGAGAGGAAAAAAAAGTGATCCAATTATCACTGTTGCGAGCGCTGTTGTCTCAAGTCCAAGAAGCGCGCCAGTGTGATTCATTCACGACTGGCGCGCTTTTTTGAGGCTGCATGGCAAAGTGGGGGCACGAGTGGCTCTCTGATCACCCTCCTGATCGCGAGGAAGGTGTGTATAAAAGGGAAGGTGATCACTGCAGAAGACATCATTCGCTTCCAATCCACGAAACAACAAACAACCAAAAATCCCAGCAATGGCATTCAAGGTAAAGGAACTGTGACAGTGCTCGTGAGCTAAACCGTGATCTGGTGTATATCTTGTGATTGTTCTTGCAGTTGGTCGCCTTCCTCGCCACCCTGGCCGTCGCCCAGGCCGGTCTCCTGGACGCTCCCGGACACCTCGCCTACTCCGGCGGACACTACGGCGGACACTACGGTGGACACTACGATCACGGCCTGGCCTACAGCCACTCCGTCCACGCCGCCCCGGTTGTGCACGCCGCCCCAGTGGTGGCCCACCACGCCCCAGTCGTTCACGCCGCCCCCGTGTCCTACGCCCACTCCTACGCCGCCCCCCACAACTACGCCTACGGCTCCCAGCACCACACCGTCCTCCGCAGCCATCTGGGCGCCACCGCCGCCGTCTACGGCAAGCACGTCGAGTCTCCCTACTCGCACGTCTCCAAGTACGTGAGCCGCGTGGACACCCCTCACGTTGTGGCCCACCACGCCCCGGCCGTCGTTGCGCACGCCGCCCCCGTTGTGGCTAAGACCTACGCCGCCCCAGTGGTCGCCCACCACGCCCCGGCCGTGTACTCCCACGCCCACGTTGCGCATCACGCCCCAGCCCTGTATGCTGGACACGTTGCCCACCACGCCCCCGCCGTGTACGCCGCCCCCCACGCCGTGCACTACTCCCCCGCCCACGCCGTGAGCCACGCCAGCTTCCACGGTCTGGGTGCCGCCTACGGATGGTAAACCCGCCCCACGCCAAATCCAACTTGTGCCTGAATGAGAACGACCTCATGACCCTACCATAACTATATTTATTTTCCATGAAATAAATATTACAGTTGAGAATTATACTTTGTGCCTTTCACTATACTGAGTCGAGAGTTGGGAGGAAAGAGAGAGAGAGAAGAGAACATGACGTACGCTGGCAACGATGTAAGAGGAAAGTTATAGAAAAGCGTGGCGAAAACGAAGTCAAAAAGAACGAAGAATCATGAGATAGACCTAGAAGTGCAAAGGAACGAGAAAGAGCAAAGAAGAGACAGAAATCACTGGTTGGAAGAATACAAAGAGAAACGCAGGCCATGCAATACTCATTGAGTCCAAAATTTTTGGAGCAACCAAAATTGGACACTCAGAATTAAAGATCGAGTCTTAGATAACAAGGAATAGGCCATAGACAGACCATTCTAGTAATAATAAAGGGACGGACGTTCAGGCAGAATGACGAGGAAGTTTTCTTGTTCAGTAAATAGTAGACTTTAGGCAAAAAAAGTATTCTGTGCCATTTAAGGACTTGTCCATCGGAACGTCCAAAGATTTCAGCTGACTCTGGAACACAACTGCTGGCAATGTCGCTTTTCAGCTCCTTCTTAACTCAAGTTTCAGACTCTCGTCTGCTGAGTGCTTTACTTTCAGAATGATCGCATAAATATGATAAAATATGAACGATTAGCAGCGGAGCAAAGATCGCGATAGAACAGTTGCACTGAGAAATTGAACACCCAGCAATTGATCGCGAGCCTTCCGGGCAGAGGCAGTAAATCTCATGATATGATCTCTCAAAAGAGCTGTTACGAAAAATAAGAGTGTCGTTTGTAATTTTCGAGTGGCGACATTTGCGGTGTTACTCAAAAGTGCATTAGGCCTAAAGACGAAGAGTGGCAAAAGAGATCAAGTGGCAATAAATTGAGGCAGTTAATTTGAATAAAAGATGCAAAGCACGCACACGAAATTCGAGTCGCATTGGCGGAAGGTAGCGATCGATCACGGCGATAGAGGAATCGTTAAGCGATTGCGCAAGAGAGTCGAGAGATGAAAGACTTGTGGCAGAGGAAAAAAAACGAGAGTGTTACTGATAATTGCGGATTTATTTACCTTTCCACATCATTAACGATCACACAGCGGCGATGGTGCACTGATACGGACTTCTCCTGGGCCAAGAAGTGTTCCGATGACCGCGCATGAAAAGGAAAGTGTTGTGTTTGTGCATTCTTGGGCGTTCTTTTTTTGCCATGCGCGCGCGCTCTTGAAACACCTGATCGCGGCTGCAGAGGCGCGGTGAATGAACACGATGACGATTGGAGGAAAGGTCATCTGGTTTTCGGCATGATATTTATTCAAATCGCTGGGTGATATAATTCTCGATGTCGCATTCTCTTGGTTTTGTGCGTGAGTGAGGGTTTTATGGGTGATGTTTTGCCGCGCGCCAGTAAACAGACCCAAATCCAGGTCACAACCGTCGAAATATACGATCAAGAAGTGATCTTTCGCACTCCTCCGGGCCAGGCAATTAAGACTGCGCCAGCAAAACACCAAAACACCCAGAAGACAATCGGCACGACAGCCAAGATCGCAAGAATTGACACACCTTTTCGGCTGGGGCTTTTCGAGCAAGTCATCTTACTCTAATTTCCCACCAAATTCCGCACAAACAGTCAATATGCTCGGCATACGAATGAGAGTGTCGTGAGCTCCCAAAATCTTGACAAACACATAATGCAAAACAATTAAATAACTCATACAATATTCAGTGTTATTCAAATGACGATGGTTTTCCAACTGAAATGCCGCGAGAAAGCATTCAAATTGCGCAAAAGCGAGTTATGTGAATTTGACTTAGATCGCATTATATTATAAAATTAACTTTGGGGATGGCAACAATGTGATCATATTAAAATTTCTGCACTGCGATCGTCAGCTGGGAAGATGATAAAGTGGCCGATGGACAGCTCGTGGATCCTACAAAGAGGCAACATTTCGGATTTTTGGCATTGCTTCACTTTCGATGCACCATGAATCACCAATTTGACCTGTCAATGTCCATGTCGTCTCGCCTGCAGAAGAAGGATTTAATGTGAAACACAGAATTATTGCATAAAAGTGATACATTTACGAGACAGAGTTGCTCGAGTCTGGAGTGAAGTTTTACTAGAATCTACATGAAGATTTACTCTAGTCTTTTCAAGCAAAATCCATAAATGTCTAGTAGAGTTCGATAATACAATTTGAGGGGCAAAATGCACTTTTTGAGCGTGAAAATTGCGACTAGAGACTAGATCAAAGCGAGAAAGATCACTTTCTTATAGAATTTCCGATAAAACCGTTCATGTTCAGCGTTTTCTATCATTAAATTCACTGTAAAATATATTGAATGCAGTTTTTCACTGCTTATAAACTTGCTGTCAATCGAGACTCTCAGAAGGATTCTCACCAAATTTTGTGAGTTAAAATTCCCATAAAATCGTCTATAAATCTCTCATCTATTCTGTTCAACTCTGCTAGCCGTAAATCTCAGCAGATTTTGGCGGTAAAGGTTCGAAGGGTGATCGCACAGGTTTACCTTGTGGCTGCTCCCCAGTTGCTCTGCTCTGAGATGACTTGGATGTCCGCGGGAGCGCTGAAAGTGGCCAGATGGAGAGAAAAGATCAGGGTCGCGTGTTAGATCGGGAAAGTGGGATTGAGTGGGCTGTGGAAACTACCCGTACTGGTGGCTGTTGGTGTGCCTCAGCGTCCTGACCTTCCGCAGGCGTCTGGAGATCTTGGCCAGCGAGAGGCTCAGCGGAGACGCGATGGCCCAGAGCAGAAGGCAGCAGAATGTGGCGAACCAGAGGCCATTCAGCGGATCCATCAGGTGTCTGCAGAAGAGGGCTCGATTGGCCGCGAAGATGGCAAAGAGAGGTGAGCACGAGGCTTCCTGTCCACTGAGGCTGTCTAGGAGATGCTCTCGGGCAATGTTGACGTGATTTCTCAGCCGCCTCTGATAGGCTTCCGTGTGATTCTTGCAGATCTCCGTGGCTTCGTCACTCATGATTTCCTGGGCGGATTGCAAGAGGCGCAGCGAGAGGTTCACCTGTCTCTCCCACGGATCCTTCTGCAGCTCCAGCGCCGTGAGATGATACAGCAGTTCCGCCCGAAGCTGCTCCAGGAACTGCATCACACTCACTTCCAGCCGCCGCGCGCGACTGCCCAGCGTGGTCATGCGTGACGATGTCGCAACGTCTCGAATCTGCCGTGAAAACACAATTCCAATTACAATCATATCAGCTGAACACCTTCTGACCCACTTCTTGATTCCCAAATGCAAATTCAGCGAGTTTTTCCAACGGTCAATTAATTATGAATAAATTATGCCCGAGATGATATCAATATTTTTGGACCGATGTTGATCTGGCTCCACAGAGACGTGATATTATTTTTGAATAGCATTTTATTGAAATTAATAATGTGAATTAATTGGGCTTTGAGTGTCCCACGAGATATTTTACCTTCATGTCAATGATTCATGTGGAAAAGTCACATAACTCTACAGCAAATTTGCATATAAATGCATTAATAACTTTTAGTGATGTTTTAATGGCCGCGTGAAATATCACAAACATTCATAAGAAGTGTTTATCAACGTGGCGTATTTTTAATGGGCGGGGCAAGCAAATGGGCGGAGCTTCTCAATGATGTTTGCCTCAGTTTCAACTATTAGCAGTACTGAAATCATAGTCTCTGCGGTCCATTTTCTCATCGTCAGGCATAAAATGGAAAAGCCCGGCGGAAAGTGTTGGAATTGCATTATTTGTGTTGGCAATTGCTCGGCTTTTCCCTGTGAATCACCTGGAGGGATACTCGCTGCATTTGGTCGATGAATGTGGTCAAATCTCTCTCGGGAGTCGCTTGGCTTAGCTGCATTCGATACCTGGTTAGATTCACGTGCGACTCATTGATGATGATGTGCAGAATTTGCCCCAAGGACGTCGTGAGGGTGGTGAATTCGCCCTCGCTCGCCACCACTTCGGACACAGCGTCCGTGAAAGTGGGGTATGCCTCCAGGGAAGCTAGCTGAGTGGCTCTGAGGAAGTTCTCGAGTTGGAATGTGGCGTATGTGGACGCATTCTGGCTGCAATCCTCCAGCACATCCGCCAGAGTTGTGGTCACCGTGGCGTTTCTGTTGCTGGCGCGATTCAGCAGAGCGTCAATGACGCCGACTTGCGGCTCAGTGGCCAGGAGAAGACCTGGCTTATCGAGCAGTTTCTGCAGAACGTGGTAGTGGGGGGAGTCAGTCAGGGGCCGACAGATGAAGACTTCTCCGTGACCGCCGAGGAGCATCACCATCACGCCGAACAGCGACAGGGAGAAGCTGCAGATGCTCATGAGTGCGGTGCCGCCGAGGAGAGTGACGCTGGCCTTGTCATCAGCTTCGCAGCACGAGCAACTGAGCGAGGAGCAGATCAGCAGGGTGATCAGGAGAGCCACGATTGAGCAGCAAATCCCGAAGATCCACAGCAATCTTCCGCCGATTTGCATCTCATCGAAGCCAGGCACAATTCTGCCCCAGAGATGATCAACTTCGTCCATGAGATTCCTGGCCAGAATCCCACAATCCCTCCTGAACCAACTGTCGGCGTCTCTGAAGCGCACAAGTTCTCTCTTCACTCTCTCTCTGGCCTCCTCACTGTCTTCCAGCATCTGCAGTGGATATCCGAAGAAGTTCGCTCTGGCCGCCGCTACTTCGTGCGACAGATTCTGCCAGCGACTGTCCACTTCCACCTCCCCGAGGCTCATCATGCGCAAGAGGGCGGGATCCCGCTGCAGGCCGTGCAGAGTTCTCAGCAGCCCGCTCTCGTCGAAGCCTCGCAAGCGCAGCGTCTCGCATAGAGGACGATCCCTGGACAGACACTGCTGCTGGAGGACCGAGAGCTGAAACTGGAGATCCTCAATGCGAGCCGACGCGTCCGCCGAGACGACGATGGCGCGAGAGACGCTCTTCTGGAGCAGATGAACCTTGCGCAGGAGCTCGAGATTGAGGCTGCAGAGATTCAACAGAGCCTCGAAGGCCAGCTCAATGCCTGAGACTTGGGCGAGATCTTGACGGATTGGCTCTCCCAGGAGACTGTCCACGTTGGTGAGATCGCTCTGGACACTTTCAGTAATGTTGAACAGAGCTGAATGAGCGGAGAAAGTGATTTGTCTGCAAATCAAAGCGTTAGCATTTGAATTCAAGTCACATTTGTTGTTATCCAACCTGAAACTCTCCTTTATGAACATTTCGGTGTCTTGCAATGAGATTCTGACCAGCGACGGTGCATTCTCGACAGTCGAGGCCACTTGTTCATTCGTCACGAACATCGTGATGATGCTGGCCAAGAGGGCGACCAGGATGAACTGCAGAACAACAGCCAGAACTCTTCGGCGGCAGTTGAGAGTGTCTTCCAGTGATTCATCGATTACCATTGAAGATCCCGCCAAGGAGGACGCTGTGGTGATGTCCTCCGATCCTGGCCGAGATTCGCACTGCGACACCGAAGACTTGCCAGCACAGCTCCAAGTCAGAAGGACAGTGAGAGGGATGAGAGCCACGAGGAAGAACAGCCCCACCAAGCATATGAATCCCGACTCCACCTTCAGCGCCTCGAGAATCAAGTGTGGCAGTGAAACTCTGGACCTGAGCACGTCTCGCAGGAGTTCTGCAACACAGGAGACTTGCCAGGAAACGGGTCAGCGCGCGGTGCCAGGGATTTGTCTGCGACCAACTTACCCAGTGGCAGCTCATGGGGCGTGATGTATGAGAGGAATGTGGCCAAGAATGTGAAATGCAGGGCGCCCTCGTGGACGTCCAGCGTGGAGATGACATAAGAACCTGTTGGCTTCGCCTCTGGGGTGATATTTTCCCCGAAATCGTCGAAGAACGCCGTCGACGGCGACTCCACGATGCTCCATCCCGATTCATTATGCATTTTGGGGCGAAAGTTCACCGCCAAAAGACGCCTTCTCTTGTTGTCTTCACTGGTTGGAGGAGGAGTTTTGCCATCATCGCATTTTGAGGTCAAAACATACAGTGAAGAGCGAAAATTGCGCGAGCATTTATGGCTCAATAGTACAATAGATTTTTGACTTCAAATACTGCTATGACGCTGGAATATTGATTTATTGAGAATACACTCATCTTGATATGCATTTTATAGTCAGTATTGACGTTAATAGTGCCCACTCTTATTTCCCAATGCTGCTAAAAGCACACAAAGTGAGTAAACGATGTGGAGAAAGTTTCGATAAATATGCACAAACTTTGCGTAAAACTCCGAAAAGTATGCAAAGTTGAAAAAGTTCAACGAAGTCGTTAATGCGAGGCATCAATGTGAGTAATTTCATAGTGTTAAAGAGTCACCCTTGCTCAGTGCACTAAACTATAATAACTATTTATGCCTTCATCAATTATGCTGTTATTCCTTAACGCAATTGAAGAACACTCAATCTGAACTTACCTTGCGTGTCAATTGTGTTGAACTTTTAATACTTTGCACTTTGTTCATTCGTGCAAACCTAGAATTAAGCTGTTGAATATTGAATGATCAATTGACAACGTGATTAGTCAATAAGAGCACCCTGAAGTTTATATGACAACATTCCCTTTCTTTTAACTATAGACACATATATGTTTAGTGATATTCTGGATATTTTACTATTCTTAGAGTCATTGGCGTCTAAAGTCTTTACTTTAGTGGAATTTCAGTGATTTCCCCTCTGATTTCAGTGTAAAACTCTGCTTTAGGGCATGAATAATGAAAATATGGGCGGAGCATTTAAGTGGGCGTGGCTTGTGAGTGTGTGGAACATTAAAGATTGATTCTTTCCCACACTGAAAGCACGCAATGTGCGCGACTCAAATTTCGCTGATCAGTGTAGAGATGTTTAAAGCATTCTAGGCCATTAAGGACCAAAGTTATTGCTGAATGATTTGAAATTGTAAGCAATTTCGCACTGTCTCCCCCTTCTTCGCATTTGGTGCAAAAGGTGAGAAAGGCATTGACACAATGACTCCTTTTATCGCTCCTCACCGCCTTTTTGCACACCTCAATTGACAAACTTTCTGGCAGGCGCCTCATAAAATTGCAACTTTTGCCATCACAATTTTTACGATCGCTTCGCCTTTGCTTTACGGCACTCGGAGTGGCGGAAAATGGGGTCGAAAATCACTTTATATGTCTCCTTGTCTCGTCACAATACACCCAGAAGCACTAAATCACTTGGATTAATTTCACTTTTAGCGACATAGAATCCTTCTGGTTTGTGGGTCACAAGTTCCCGAGCGGCAGGAACTCTGCGTGTTGTGTGCTAAGTGAGAGTGAAGGAGCTGCACTGTGGCCAAAGAGGTGTACTCAGCAATAAATTGTGCTAGTGGGAAGTCGTAAAAGTGTGAATTCGCATTTCTATGGATGTCCCTCGTGTTGAGTGTAAATTTCACTAATTTCTCGTGATTGCACTCACCAGGCGTCTCCATCGTGTGGGGAAAGCGCCACGCTTGTTTTTCCCTCCACTTTTGTGCTCATCATCTCTGCGCATGGGCATTTTCTTGTTTTCCCACCGGAATCTCGCTGAATTGTTTATAAAGGAAATTCCAGTGAATGTTCAGGATTTCGCTGACCAACAAAACCACCCACCCAATGAAAAGGGATGAAAGGGTAGATTTTGCATGCATTTTTCCAGGAAAGTCTCACACCTGAGAAGCACTCACTGGCAAAGCCACACTTCATCTCGCAACGAGGGGGTGGGAAATCTCCGTGGGGAAGTTCCATGACGATGATGATGATGATTTTGTCTCTACAAAAGCTCCCATTCAGCATCAGTCGTCGTGCAGTCGCGACTCTGAACAGTTCAATCGTCAACAGGACGCGAAAGCTCTCTCGCTGAAGTGCTTGGACAGCCTCGAAGTGCAACAGTGCTGGCAAATTTAATTCCACTGAGTGTCTGTTTAAATTAAATATACAGTGTCCTGTCGCTGTGGGGAAAAAACACAGAGATTTTGTATGTCATTGTGTGGCCGAACAAGGGGCGTTCATAATTAAATTTAATATACTCACACGTCTCAATCACCCTCTCATCAACAATAATTGTGTGCACATTGAGTTGCCACAGCACACACCCCTCGAGGGGCAGAAATACAATTTGGCGATGAATAAAAAATTATGCCAGAAGATGTAAAGCGTGTGACGGTGTAAAAGCGCCAAGTACACACAAATGATAACAGAATTAGATAAAATGTGACTCTCACTGCGAGTCTGTGTCGGTTGTTTTGAGTCATAAACATGAGTTTGTATAACTCAATTGAGAATGTCACACTTGTGGGTGGATTTTCATTATATTGCCTTTCCCACGTCTTGCAATTTGTCACGATCAATTGAAAGCATCGAGACTGAACATCAAAAGATATCCCCTTTTTCTTTCTCTTCCACTTTGATTGGGAGCAAAAATTCCCATGAGCACACCGTCAGCAATCTGACGAGGGATTTTCCATTTCCCCCCACGAAGGAGGATTGTCTAATGAAGTGCGGGCAAATGCAATTTCCTTTCCGTCCTCACCAACTGTGCTCCTCATTAACCATGAAAGTATTTGTGTGACTCTGTGTAAAATCCCATTAATAGTCGCCCAGAGAAAATTGACAAGTTAATGATGAGAAAAGTGAAATTATTGCAATTTTAATTAAAGTCACTTGAGAAAGCGCCCCCGCAGCGCCTCTAAGTCACCACTCTTTTCATTGCACCTCCCCAATGTCAGTCCCCAAGGGGGATTTGCATGAAGAATCTTTGTCGCACAAAAGAAATGACACTCTCAAAGCGCCTCAGACGATGTCATTCGCACAATTGTATCACCTTTCAAGCACTTTTCAGGCACTTTATTTGTATTCACAGTGGAAAATTAACCCCCGTCACTCTGCCTAAATGTCTCCTCGAGTGACACTCGCTCCCAAGAGTGCCTTTTTCGGAGGACAAAATGACGAAGAGCTCCTCAGACGATCTGCTCATTCAGCAAAGTGTCTCAACTTGCTCTCCATTGCGCCGCTTGTCTCTTGTGTTTAGAGGGTTTCACAATGAAAATTATTACGATTACAGAGTGGATGAAAATTGCGGTGAACACATAGGAAAACTGTTGAAAAATTAATCAAAAGCTCATTAAAAGTTTAGTGAATTGAAAAAAGTGCAATGAAGCGACAATCCTGCAAAAGTGACGCATGGCTTTGAAGGCTTAAACCGCCTCTGAGAACACTCAATGTGTAAGTTTTCTTTCCTGTTTTCACTCTTATCATAAACACACAAAAAAAAATCCATAACCATTTTCGACTTTGTATGCTTTTCTTTATCCACTTGAGAGACAATTTTCACCATTATTTATTCAAGTCGTATCGTTGTCTTTTCACCAAGTTAATGCTCATGATTAAAACAAGTCGCAAACTTTTTCCATTACAATTAATAAAACACCCCCCTTCCCACTCCACGATGATGAAACATGGAAAGGTTTCCCGGCAGTTGAATAAGTTTTGCGAAAAAGTGGACAAATTAATTGTATGCTGATGAATTTTTCACTCCCAACATGACTTCACGTCACAACTTGAGCAGGGAAACATTCTGCATTTGCATAATTATTATTTCGACTCACATTGAAAACACTTAATTGCTTTTATAAATACTTTATTAGCTTGATGAAGTCACAGTAACATTTTGACTGTAATTCAAGATTTGAGTGCGTTTGTGAAATCAGCCAAAGAAGTTTACATATTTGCTGTTATTGAATAGAAACGCTTTACTTCCTTCTATTTTAAATAAACTTTCAGGATATATAAACAAAGTTCTTTGCACATAAATTACCGAAAGATTTGCCTAACAAATTCCTGAAGTCAGACGGAGATTCTGGTGCAGCGACTGGTGAAATTTGCAACTTTGCAACAATTTACTAAATTACAATCAGTGATCAAGTTAAGAGGTGAAAATGCCTCAATTTTCTTGTGGATTGACGCAAGGAAATCTATTTTATACCTTATCGAAGGCAAACTAAACAAGCCAAACGATCTAATTTCCCTTGACATTAATCTCATCTTTTCCATGATTTAAGACTAAATGAAAATTTCAGTTGCTTAAAGAATACAAAATAGCGCAGTACGACATCGCCAATTTGAGGATCTTAAGAAAAGCATTCAAGTTCACGTCGTACATTCCGGCTGCTTTCAGTCCGAAATCCTTCTGCGCCATCGCGAGGACGAGAAGAAACATCTTCTGATCCTTCACGCTCAATTCGTACCAATTTGTGAGGTAAAGAGTCGCCGAAAGTCGCTCGGTTTTAATCTTCAGAAGTTCACCAAAGATACACAGAAGTAAAATCTGACTGATTCCTGTTAAGCATAATACATATGCTGTGATTTGATTGCTTTCTTTCCGCACAAAGAGAAATATAAAGATCAAAAGCAAACTACTGCTTGCGACTTGAACAAACGCCGTCTTCTCAATGGATTCCTTGAACGAATTAATATTCTTTATAATATCATTGTGACGAATAATGATAAGCTTAAGATAATTCGGAATTTCCTTGACTTTCTTATCGATCAGTTTCATGTAATCGTTGAGAATATTCAGAGCGGCCATAATTTGAATGCCAATGAAAATCACCGCCAAATCAATCGTACAAACGGAAATCGCACTAATTGCCATCATGATTATTTGTATTAAGTAATCTACTTCTTCGGGAACTGTTTTTGGGCCAAGAATTTTCATAAATAACCCGAAGTCGCTGTTCGGTGTCATTGCAACTGAAATAGCAGTTGCGGACAAGACGATGAATCGCATTCCCCATCTGAAACAGTTTCCAAAAATATGCAAAAAAGTAAAATTTTATGTGAAATTTCCTCACTTGGTCAGAAACTTCCAAATTTCCAGCGATCGAATCAAGTGCTTTTCCAAGATGAGTTGAAGATCAGGATCAGTTTCTTGTTCGTTGTAGAGAGATTCAATCCATTTGCGGAGATCAAGAAATTTCTGACGTTCAAGAACGCCAAGAATGAATTTCGATACAATTTGCGCGAAACCGATTAAAAATAATGCCGTCGTATTAAAATCCATGTTCAATTCCATCGGCAGTGAATCAAATAATCGTCTGCCTGAGAATATTAGACTCAGAATTGATCCAAGAAACAAAAACACAACGAAGACACGTTTTTTCCACGGTCCGGACAAGACGCTGATCGTCAAAGCGGAGATTTGGAAATCAAACACTGATTTCTCACAGTTGAACTTCTCCAATTGCTTGGAAACTTTCATTTTGCAAACTTAAGTGAAAATCCTTCCGCCGAGTTTCACGATTGCACTTTAACTGAAAAGTCGTCCCGAATCTAAGCTATATGATTACATCAAAAAGTGTGTTCTTTTTCTCATGACGCCAATGAAATGCGTTTCATGAAGGACATAATAAGGCGCAATTATCCGAACATCAAAGGCAAGGGAAAAATTGCGATACACAACTTTTCACTAAAGGAATTTCTAATGCTTTCGATTTTATTATTACGTAAGGATTAAATGACTCACTTTTCAATACTCCTTTATTATGGATGAAATATTGATCTTTTCACAAATTAAGTTGTTAGTGATAAAAAAGGAGTGAAGTAGAAGAAGAGTCTGAAAATCGACAGTCTATTACTATTATTTAATTATCGGAAAAAAAGGAGTAACTGCATTGATTCTCTATATTAGGGTTAAGCTAGTAATTAACTTATGTTATTAATCGAGTTCTGAAGCATTTAATTAAGAGCGAAGAAACCTGTAAGAGCTCTTGTTTGTTTGATTACGCGATGAAAATCCAATTGTAGGTAAACTTGCGGAGCTTTAGAAAAGCTCAAAGTGACATTGACTTTTTAACCCGCTGGAAATTGAGGGAAAGTTCGCGATTGGAGAGTGAAAGTGATGAATTTCTCACGAAGAATCTATAATCTTGCCAGGAACAATGCGCTGCTCGGAAATTGTACACGGAAACCCAACAGTGCTAATTAGTCATCTGGTCGGAAGTGCTTCGCAGCACCTTGACAAGTCGCAACTCCTTTTACACCGCTTTCCATTTCCGCTTCAGTCAATATTTCACTGTTGCGACTCATTAAAATCCGCTCATGTGGGAAATTAATAGGTTAATGTCACGCCGAGGGATTATTTTGAGTGTTTCTGTGAAAAATGGGATTGTTTGTCATCCTGAATCATCGATAAAGTTTTTCCTCTGGATTTGCCAGTGAGTTGAAAAAACGAGAGAGAGAGAGTTTTCAGAAACTGTAATTGCAATGAAACGAACTTTTTTCCGAGGGTGATTTGTGTCGGCGGAGAGACTCATGGAAAATCCTCTCGAATTGCAATCCCATTTTTTTCGGGCTGAGTAAAAGCTCACCAGACATCGTGAAAAATAAATATCTGCAAGCACTAAAATATGGCCTCTGTCAGTTGTAGTTTGTCTCCCTTGAACTCCTCCGGTGACCTTTAGTGCGGAGGCGTGCAAATGCATGCATTTCGTCGATGAAATTCAATTACAATGGCATCATTTTGAACGCCACTTGCGCGCCCTTTTGGCGCTCTCGAGCGAGCGAGAGAGAATGCAACCAACTTTTGTGCTGCAGCACAAGAGCAACAATTTTTAATAAATACCCATACTGGGCAATAAATCTATCACTGCAATTGATGCTGAAAATTTTGCCAGGCATTATTTAATGTCTATTGTCCGCCCAGTGCTGAGGGCTGTCGAGAGCCAAGCGTTGCGCGGCGCAAATGAAAATTGCACGGTCAGGGAAGCATATCCATTAGTAGGACTTTTAATACCATTGATTATTTCATGGTGTGAAGCACATAGGTAGGAAACACCCTTGCATGGGCGATGAAACACTGAATTTTTCATTCATCCCTTGATGGAGTTTTCCCGCACATTCTTGCCATGGAGAGAATTTCTTGGGCGAATAATTGTGCCGCAGATTATCTATCCATGTTGTTCTATATTAAATGAATGTTTCAAGGTGAAAAGTTGGGGAAGAATATATAATCTATTTGTCACAAAATAAAAGCTGAATAAGTTTGAAGGGAGTAAATATTAAGGAAACCGGAATACAGTAAACTAAAAACGTACATCATTACAGGATATGTGAATTTCAGAACGAGCAATAAAAAATAAGTACCTTTATAAGTACAAACATTGACTTTTTTATTATTCAACTATAATTTACAATAATTCAATAACAGGGGAGTAATTTGTTTCCTCACTAAAGTAAATATTATTTATTTATTAAGGTCACTCGAAAGGAACTTTTACATAAATACAGTTCAAAATTTAACACAAATTCATGGCCCTAAAACATAGGTGAAGACTTGAGTAAAAAGCATGGAGAAATTTCGATTGAAGAGCGATTGAGAATTTGAAATTCTCTGGTGCCGCTAATGCGTTCAACTAAACAGTTTATTGCATAATTTATAGTTAGTTTAACTAAAAATTAGAGTTTTTACGGGTGACGACACTAAAGGCTGAGGACGAGCAAAAATCAACATAATCTCACTATTTGCAATCAAATCAAACAAACCGGTCCAAAAACTAAAATCATTCGACATTTTCTACACAAAGCGTGTTTAATTGATAATTTCACTTGCTCAAAGCATACAAAGTTGCACAGTAAGAAATGGCCAATTTCATGATCTGAACGAAAGCATTCAAGTTCACGTCGTACATTCCGGCTGCTTTCAGTCCGAAATCCTTCTGCGCCATCGCGAGGAGGAGAAGAAACGTCTTCTGATCCTTCACGCTCAATTCGTACCAATTTGTGAGGTAAAGAGTCGCCGAAAGTCGCTCCGTTTTAATCTTAACAAGTTCGCCAAACAAACACAGAACTAAAATTTGAATAATTCCTGTTAAGCATAATACATAAGGTATTATTCGATTGTGCTCCTTAAGTAAGAACACGAACATAAAAATCAAGTCCAAACTACCGCTCAAGATCTGAACAAATGCTGTCTTCTGAATGGCATCGTTGAACATATTCACTTTGTTTAGAATATAATTGTGGCGAATGATAATAAACTTAAGATAATCCGGAATTTCCTTAGCTTTCTTTTCGATCAGTTTCATGTAATCGTTGAGAATATTCAGAGCTGCCATAATTTGAATTCCAATGAAAATCACCGCCAAATCAATTGTCATTACACTAATTGTGATAATTACTATCAAGATCGATTGGATCACGAAAGTGACTTCATCAGAAACTGTATTTTGGCCAAAGATTTGCATGAACAATCCCAAGTCGCTTTTCGGTGTCATTATACTTGCAAAACCTATTGCTACCACGGTGTAAAATCGCAATCCCCATCTGAAAGATGTTATCAATATGAAAGAAATATTTCAAACTGTCTGCAAATCCTCTCACTTGGTCAGAAACTTCCAAATTTCCAGCGATCGAATCAAATGCTTCTCCAAAACGAGTTGAAAATCAGGATCAATTTCTTGATCGTTGTAGAGAGACTCAATCCAATTAAGTAATGTAAGAAATTTTTGTCGCTCAATTAAACCAAACGTGAATTTCGTAAAAACTTGAGTAATTCCACAATTCAACATAAGTGTTAAAATAATATCAATATTAATTCTATTCCAATCTATATTCAATACACGTAAATTAGAAAATATTAGTCCTAAGAAACTACAAAATGCAAAAATAACAATCAAGAGGCGATTTTTCCATGATCCAGAAAAGATATTGATCGTCAAAGCGGAGATTTGGAAACCAAACACTGCTTTTTCACTGTTGAACTTCTCCAATTGCTTGGAAACTTTCATTTTTCTCGCACTGAAGTGAAAATCCTTCCAACAAGTTTTATGGTTGCTGATAAACTGACAATTCATTCGGAAATTTGAGTGAAGAACTTCTCGGAAATCAATTCTTTTTCCCATTGCGTAAATAAATGATGAATTTCTTTTAATAATTAATTTGTGATAATCTCCCAACATGAAGAAATCACTTGATTTAGAACGTCATAGTTCCAGGACTTTGCGAGTGAATTATAAATGCATATATTTTACGTGAAAATCATAAATAAGAAGCTAAACTCCTGATAAAATAATAATATTATAAATGAATGTCTCAAAGTGAAAAGTTGGGGAAGAATATTTACCAAAAAAAAGCTGAATAAGTTTGAAGGGAGTAACTATTAAGGAAATCACAATAAAATAAATTATCTCGTAACAGGATATGTGAATTTCAGAACAAACAATAAAAAATATGTCCAAACATTGACTTTTTTATTATTCAACAATTCTTTACAATAATTCAATAACAGCTGAGTGATTTGTTTCTCCAGTAAAGTAATTGTTAATTATTTATTAAGTCAACTCAAAAGAAACTTTTACATAAACACAGTTCAAAATTTTACACAAACAAGACTTGAGTGAAAAGCATGAAGAAAATCCGATCGAAGAAAGACTGAGAATTTGAAATTCTGTGGTGCCGCTGATGTGTTCAACAAAATAATATTACTACATAATCTATGGTTAGCCTCTAAGAAGAATAAAAACTTTTCGCGGGTGAAGCCACTAAAAGATGAGGAGGGACTGGAGGGAAACCCCCGAGAATCACGCAAGGAGAAAGATCATCATAATATCACTATTTGCAATCAAATCAAACAAACCGGTCTAAAAGCTAAAATCATTCGACATCTTCTGCAAAATTTTACTTGCTTAAAGCATACAAAGTTGCACAGTAAGAAATGGCCAATTTCATGATCTGAACGAAAGCATTCAAGTTCACGTCGTACATTCCGGCTGCTTTCAGTCCGAAATCCTTCTGCGCCATCGCGAGGATGAGAAGAAACGCCTTCTGATCCTTCACGCTCAATTCGTACCAATTTGTGAGGTAAAGAGTCTCCGAAAGTCGCTCGGTTTTCATCTTAACAAGTTCGCCAAAGATACACAGAACTAAAATTTGAAGAATCCCTGTAAAGCTTAAGAAATAAGGTATTATTCGATTGTGCTCCTTCAGTAGAAAGACGAACATAAAAACCAAGACCAAACTACTGGTCAAGATCTGAACAAATGCTGTCTTCTGAATGGCACCATTGAACAAATTCACTTTGTCAATAATATCATTGTGGCGAATGATGATTAGCTTAAGATAATTCGGAATTTTCTTAGCTTTCTTATCAATCAGTTTCATGTAATCGTTGAGAATATTCAGAGCTGCCATAATTTGAATTCCAATGAATATCACCGCCAAATCAATTGTCATTACACTAATTGTGATAATTACTATCAAGATCGATTGGATCACGAAAGTGGCTTCATCAGAAACTGTATTTTGGCCAAAGATTTGCATGAACAATCCAAAGTCGCTGTTCGGTGTCATTATACTTGCAGTACCTGATGCTACTAAGGTGTACAATCGCAATCCCCATCTGAAAGATGTTTCTAATAGGAATGAAACATTTCACACTTCCTGCAGATTTTCTCACTTGGTCAGAAACTTCCAAATTTCCAGCGATCGAATCAAATGCTTCTCCAAAACGAGTTGAAAATCAGGATCAATTTCTTGATCGTTGTAGAGAGACTCAATCCAATTAAGTAATGTAAGAAATTTTTGTCGCTCAATTAAACCAAACGTGAATTTCGAAAAAACTTGGTTAATTCCGCAATACAACAGAAGCGTTAAAATAATATTAATATTAACTCCATTCCATTTTATGTTCAGTACACGTAAATTAGAAAATATTAGTCCTAAGAAAATACAAAATGCAAAAATAACAATCAAGAGGCGATTTTTCCATGATCCAGAAAAGATATTGATCGTCAAAGCGGAGATTTGGAAACCAAACACTGCTTTTTCACAGTTGAACTTCTCCAATTGCTTGAAAACTTTCATTTTTCTCGCACTGAAGTGAAAATCCTTCCAACAAGTTTTATGGTTGCTGATAAACTGACAATTCGTTCGGAAATTTGAGTGAAGAACTTCTTGGAAATCAATTGTTTTTCCCATTGCTTAAATAAATGATGAATTTCTATTAATAATTAATTTGTGGTCTTTTTCCACATGACCAGGGCTTTGCGATTGAATTATAAATGCATTTTTTACATGAAAAACCACAAATAAGAAATTCAAGTGCTGAATATCAACGGTTTGCAATACACTTTTTTTTTCACATACTATATTCTCGTTATCGATTTTCTTTTCTCTTTTACATAAATCAGGATCAAATGGGTCGTTTTCAATTAATTCTATGATTTTCCACAAATGAAATCATGTTTGAAAGGCACCAAAGGAAGCTTTGGCATTAGAAAAGATATAAATGAAGAGAAATGTTGCGGTTATTGGCAATGAAATGAACATATTATCTTCTTGCACAACTTCCGTTGTCAATTGTGCATCTGCAATTTGTGTCATTTCCACATAATTACTGAACTCTGGGTAGCCGACAAAAAAGCGACTGTGAACTCCAAAAATACCCGCAACAATGGAGGAAATGGCCGGGAAATTGCCTCGGACAAAACAGTGTATTGAAGGGTCGCGAGGGGGAGTTAATAAATTTTCAGCACTGCCCTCGACGCCATGCCCTGCGCCCTCCTCGGCGTTTTTGGCAATCATTCATGGTGTTTTGAAGTGCAATTATATGTTAATGACATTCATTGCCATTTTGTCGCGCGACAACGGCGTATCACACCCACAATTTATCGGCATAAACAAATAAGCGGCGCGGGAGAATTAATAATGAGGAAACTCTCAATGGGTCCCTGCGATATGCTTATTGGCAGACGAGAGAAAAATGGGCACGCCATTTCATCTTTCCAGAAGAGTCACTTTCAGGGCAAAGACACCATAAAAAATACTCCCTAAATTTTTACTGTGACTTTTTTTTCCCACCCAGGCATTGGGAAATTATGTCGTTCACCCGCTGTGATTTGAATTGGTTGCGCGACACTTTAAGGGTTCGTGCGAATTTCGATAAATACACCAGCTTAAAGTGTCGATTACATTTCTTCCTGGAAGCGAGCTTGGAATTCCTCGAATTTTTTTCTCACTCTGTCAGTGTTTTGTGAATGAAAATCTCGAGAACTTCCTCGAGTGTCGCATTTCTTGTATTTTCTTCAAGATTTTCTTTCAAATGCGCGCCCCTCTAAATAAGAGTCTCGAGTTAATCTTCTTCACCATCCGCCATAGAATTTGTGTGACTTTTGTATGTGCGGTGGAGTCCTCTTTTCTTGTGGCGGACGGAAGAATCATGGCAGAGACACTAAATTATGTACGCAATTCACCCTCTTCCGGGGAGCTTTTTTCCACCCTCGTCGCACTGGGCATTGTATTGGTATGAATGAGAGTTAATGACGAGCGTGGGAGCGCTCGGGGATGACAGAGGGAAAATGCATTTCCTCTGCTTCCCAATGGAAACTTTCCCCTAAAACTCACTCGAGCAATTGATTCATTGTGACTGCATAGCCGTTTTTTCGCCCCACCGACTCATCCTTCCCCCACTTGCGCTCCAGTTGAAGTGTACAAGCATGGAAAACCATGTGAAAATCCCTTTACGGAAGTGTCAGTGGAGGTATAAGTGGATTTGGGGGTGAGAGAAGTTCCCGGAAGAGGCGATTAGTGTCCTGTAAACCCTGTAAAAGAATGTCACGGGGCAAATTGTATAATTTTTCCTCGCACTTTTCCCCCCACTTAATGCAATTTCTGGGGAGATTTTTCTCGGTGTGTCTTCGTCCTGTGATCCATAAATTTTGGGCGTGAATTTGCTCCTTTGCCGCTCGGTGCTATAAAAATCACAAATTTATCCTTCAAGAAAATGGAATTTTTCATGCATCCCTCTGGCTTTTCCTCCTCGCAGCGCCCAGGAAATTTTTCATGAGACTAAATGATAATCTGTTGCTTCAGCCGGAGCAGCATGTATTGAAAATACAATGAAAATTCACATAAATATAAATGATACAATCCTCCATCCATTCAGGCTCAGTCCTCAAATCCAATGGATTTCTTTGACGCCATCTTTGGGGCTTCTGGCCCCCAAAGATGGGATAATTCTTCCACTCAATTTACCACCTAAAGCATCGCTCTGAGTGTGACTGCGAGAGAAGGCATGAATATGCAAAATGCAGACGGTCTCAGAAAGTATATTTCGAGTCCTTCTGACTGTCTTGGAAGAAATGTAATCCAGACCATTTTATTAGACAATCCCATTCGAGCTTTGATGGAGAACTTGCAAGCTTTCTCTCGCTATTTATGCCCACAACACTTCTTTGAGAGATTGCTGACACTTTAAATTTTTTCAAACTGAGTTTCAATGCATAAATTTCTGGTAAGTTTAAGCATAAAAAACAGTCAAAATATGAAATTTCCGCTAAATTGCATGAAAGATGAAAATATTTGAGTTTCTTTGAATTAAATATTTTCTTCATGTTTTCACACTAAACTCATATATTATTTAATTAAAGAAATTGCAATTCAATTACTGTTTTTCGTCATTTTTGCTAGAACGTTTAATTGGCAAAATTGTTACTGAAAGCTCTTGCATAATAATCGCATATTAATTCACTTTTCATGGATTTCACAGAGTTTTAACATAATTATCAAATTACATTGTGTATTATATTTCACGTCTCATTTTATTGTAAAATTAATTGATTTATTTTTCGTTAACCTGCAAATTAATTTACCATAGTGCTTTTGTCATTGCATATTGACTGCATTTGATCTCTCATTGAGAGTCAGTGAATTCATTTCCATTATTTCGGAATTGTCGTGGAATTTGAGGCATCGCGGTGGGAAATTCATGAAGCTCCGAGTCGATTTCTTTGGCCCATTTGTTCGCCCCCATTGACTTCGACAGGGAATGCCTTGCAGATTGAGAGAACGAAATCGTGCGGAATTTACAATGCGTGACGACTTGTGAATGCCAAAATCAATAACCACGTGGTTTTCTGCTCCATTGGAGGATCCTGGGTGGGATTCTGCTCGACAGCGAACGGGTTAGAGAACATTTGGCGGAGCAGAAAACGGCTCAAGGAGGAAATTCCAAATGGCAGGATTTTCTCGGTTTTTCTTCCTCCTTCTCGGGCACTTCCTTCTGCATGTTGGTCGCCTCTTTTTGTCTGCACCACAAAATCTGGTGTTCTCTCTATACGAGGAATACATTTTAAAAATTTTCCACTGTGATTCTAAATGTGGCAACTTTTTGCCTCCCCTTTCCCCGTGATATGGAAACCCACTCGGCGAAATTTGCAATAAATTCTTAGTTGTATCTCAGCAAAGTTGAGAAGGAGCGTGTGGGGTGAGAATCTTCTATTTAAAATTGTGAATTTTTGATCTCACACAGAGCAAGTTTTCCCTGCTGAAGCAGCTTATGTGCCACCCTTTTGCCACTCGCCGCATTGTCAGAAGGTGTTGGAGGAAGTTTTCTGCCAGATTTTCACAGTGTCGGAATGTGAAGAGCAATGGAAACTTCCCGCCCTTTACATGGTAATTCAATCTACCAACGCATAAATGCACTTCAATGGGAATTCACTCGGCTGTTCCTCATCTTCAGTAAATCGTGATTTTTCCATCTCTCACCCCAAACCCCCACAAGACACTCCTTTTCGTGTGTGTGTAGAAAAATCAAGGGTGGAAAAATATTCAAAGAAGCTGTGGTGAAACATCTCTTAAGACTTTATTTATGATCTTGCTGTACAAAAGTTGAATTTGGCTTTTAAATTCACTCTTTATGGACCATTAAGTGTAGATTTTTAGCATCTCTTCCCCCCTTTTTTTGCCACTCGTCCGCGTGTGTGTGTATGAAAAATATTTTTCTGTCAATTTCAAAGTTTTCCCGCCCCCGTCGCGGCATCTCCACTCCGCATCAGGATCATTTGTTGAAACTTTCACAGTTCTTGACGGTAATTTAATCATTCTCTGCCCGCCCTCGGCAAAAGGGACGCCGAAGAGGGAGGACTTGCGAGAAAAAAAAACCGGAGAGACATTGACTTATTTTTCTGTTGGTAACATAAATGAGAAATGGGTATTCGTTTCATTGTATTTTCAAGAGCGACTAAAGTTCTTTCTTTTTCTCACTGTCGCGCGGAGTTGCGATGAGTCCAGATTGAATCTTAGCATTAATAAACTAATCGTTTAAAGAGATTTGATGTAAGATTATGGAATAATCCAAATATCCCATAGAAATGCTGCCAATTGAGTTGAAAACAGGCAAATTTTTGGAGCAGAAATCAATATTTTCCTGTTTTTCTTAGTTCTTTTCTTCATTCCATAGAATAATACTGACGAAATGAGCCCCAAATTTATCTAAAACAACCCCACTTTTATCTACGATAATTCAATTTAGATTCTCATCGTCAAAAAGGATTCTGCGAACACCTTTCAAAGGCTTCGACAAAACAAGCAAAACAATTGCGTTGGAATTTCTCTTTCGTCATAATTGCAATCTAGTGAAATGATGCTGATTTTCCTGCCTCAACTCTGACGGCATTTCCTGCTTCTGCAGCACTTCCTCTCCACCCAATCGCAAACTGTAAATTAACAAGAGCCCGTCTTCCCAGGACGAATTCAGCCACACTGCCAGTCGCTTTCCCTTCATCTGGAAGCCATCCAGAGTTGTTTCGTGTTGGTTTGCCGGAGAAAACTTTCAGCAACTACCAAATAAATAGCATTGAATAACACATTCATTTTCCCAACTGCCCCACTTTTGCCATTATCTTCGAACGGGGAAGAGACAGAGAGAGAGAGAGAGGAATTCCTCCGGGAAACCTCTTGTTTGTTTTTCACATCCAGTTGAAGGTATGAATCTTGGAAGCTGAAGTGGTCATTGTTGAAGATTTTGAATACACAATCTCGATTTTGGGGTGAAAAACACTCCTGAATGTCTTACCCTTGGTCATTCTCTGCTTCTTGTCACTCACGCGCCTCAATAGCACATGTGTTTCACCCCATTTTCCTGAGCAGGGCCCATTTTCACCAACAAAAAGGCGCACAATGACACACTTTCTTATCCACATTGAAACTCCTTCCGCACTTGAACCATTCACTTGTTCGCCACTTTCTATGTGAAATTGTCTCTCATAAATTATCGTTTGTGGTCGCTTTCAGGGACAATCTCCGAAAAGGCTGAGCTCTTTCGTCGATGGAAAAAGCTCTGAAGCCATCGTGAGGGATTCCTCGATTTCGTCATGTATCTAAAAACCCAATTAAGGTGTATTCATCTATTTCTGGAGGCAATTTAATTTACAATTGGAGGTCCTTCGCATGTTAATTGTTCAAAATGTGAAGGAGATTTTCAGCAAATTCCCCACTAAAAGACTTCAAACCACTAATTGGACTTTCAGGAAATTCCTCAGTTGTTGTCTCACCATTGTTTTGGGTATTTTAATTAAACACAATTTGTTAGTATTTCTGCATAACATTTCGACAGAATGTCTATTAAATACTTTAAATAATTATTTCCCGCCCCAGAGGAAAATGTAACTTCATATTTACCGATGCAGTTAAGCTGCAAAAGCTCTCGCACCGAAGAAGAAATACTGGCACGATAATCAGGAGAAACCTGCTGCAGAAATTAATGAAAATGTGTTAATCCACAAGTGATATATTTAACCGCAATTCTCGCGCACGGCCCTTTACAATGGAGGCGCCTGGTGGGCTGAAGTTTCCGCGCGCTCGTTTGCATTTTCGTGGCGGGAGACGCTTTTTTCTCCACCCTCTCACACCCCATTTCTCGTCCACCGTGGACAGACAATATGGATGATTTTCCCACGGTGAATTGCATGTGTGGGAAAACAGCAGTTTTTCGCATATCATATCACAATTGCTTCTGCTCGTGCCCACAGTTTATGTGGGTGACAAGCGGGGTGGGGAAAAAAGGGCGACGTTGGTGAAAAGAGGATGGCCGCTGGGGGATAAAAAACTTTAAAATATTTACTTAAATCAAGCCCGGGTGAATTTGCACCACATTTTGGCCGTTTGCCAACGCAGACTATTTGCTATTCCTCCGTGCGCCTTTTTTTCTCCATCCACAGCGTACACACAGAAAACATGGTGGTTTTCACTAATCATCTGCAACTGCCAACAGTTAGTGGATATTTAGTGGGTTTTACCTTAGCCCGTTGATTGATAGTTTACGCCTTTGCAGAGGTGTTTCACGTAAAGTCTACTTAAGGGGCTCAATTGCATAATGCAACGTGGGAAGTGAAGAACTGGCAGTTTAGCAAAGGTGTGACATTGACTATGTGCCGATGGCGCCAATGACAGCGCCACCTACCGTGGGGCGGGATAAGGGGGTGAGGACGAACCAGGTGTCACTCTAGTGATCGACAAGAACAGCGTCAGATATTGAATTAATAAAGGCCAATTGATGAGGCAACTAATAAACGAGAACGGAGAAGTGATATTCTTGGCGCAGAAATCCACAAAGTGAATGATTTAGTGACAAAATTGGAGCGAATTTTTGATGTGGCATAAAACAAAACGTAACAGATTTCAAGACTTCATGGATTTCACGTTTAAAATGCGGTTAATTTAATATCTCATCAATCTAGAGTGAAAAACTAACGATTGTCTACAAAGTCGTGAGTTTTTCCTCCGAAATTCTGTAGAGTTTCGCAAGCTTGTCCACTTTAAGTGCTGTAAAAATGTCTCTGAAAATTTCTTTTACATTACCAAATGACAATTGCCTCGCGAGAGAGCAGATTTTTCCGAGTGCAGTGGCCTCAGCGGGAAACTCACGTGCACAATCCTTTGCAGATTTGGATCCCGCCGGAGGATGGATCCAAAGGCGGGAGTCTGGCTAGTGGCGCCGTCCGTTCGCAACGCCAGCTGCTCCCATCCGCGCTACACCGCCCACTCCCTGTGGAGCCTCGTGGGCCCCGTGGAGGCGCTGCAGGCCCTCCTCGTGTTTAGTCTCGCCGTGGGAATCATCGGTGCGAATCTCATGGTCATCCTCGTGATAAACAACCGCCGCTACTCGTCGTACATCCAGCCGCAGGTGAGTGTGAGCACCTGGGCGTGCATCGTCGCCACCCACCGTGACATAATGTCTTGTATCCGCAGCCACGGTACCTGCTGACATCGCTGGCACTTAATGACCTGGCGATTGGCGTTCTTATCACCCCGTTCGGTGTCGTCTCGGCGCTCTTCCACTGCTGGGCCTTCGGCGAGGTTGTGTGCCAAATTCAGGTGAGTTCCTGCATCCGCCAAAAAGTGCCATCCTTCACATTGCGCGCCACTCATCTCCGCCATGCATTAGTCCTTATCTCAAATAATTGCCCCTCCGCGTGCTCACGGCCCGTTTATCACCCCCGGAGAGGCACGGTCGGGACATATGTAAGTGCAGGTGGGGTTGCTCTTGGCCACAGCAGCACTAATTCTTCTGCTGGGCCATTTTTCACCCAACAGCCTAATAAATTGCATCTTCTCATGCTGAATAAATTGGCAAAAGTGGCAGTTTGATAGACAATCAACATGGAATCTATCGAAATAATCCGCTATCATGTTCTGTATTATTGAAATAAGATTGTGCCGCTCGAAGACGTACTCAGTGAACTCAATCACTTTAATCTATCTTCAAACGGAGAATGATACAGTGAGAGGATGAAATAGAGTTGAATTTAATTTATGGGAGTGCAATTTTATCTAAACGGAATGCTTTCACGCAAACTCCTTGCATTTGAAGTTTCTTGGAATCCATCTTTTTCGGGTCACGATGCGACAACGAGATCTCTCTTTCTCTCTCACACACAGACTTTGTCTGAATGACTTTGGAAAATGTAGAACGTTATCACAAGGGTTCGACACAGGAAAATGGGGTTGAATTACAGAGTCAATTAATTTGCTAAAGGCAGTTTCATCGCAACATTTCATCCGCATAAAATCTATTCGGCTTTTAAATGAACTCTTTTTTCCGGGGGGGGAAAGAAAAATACTGCCAAAAGTGGGGAAATTAAATGAAAACATTGCATGTGTTTGCGAAAAAAACACACACACATACACACACATTATTCAGTTATACAAAAAGACATATAAACAATTTGATCCATATTTCGACAAAAGAAAAGAATAATTTGAAATGAATTTTCTATTCAGTTCAATGTTTTCTCTGTGGGAAAAAGATAATAGAGCTTTTGTGAATCGCTGTTTAATTAGAGGCGCAAAAATGTGAAAATCAAAGTCCTTGCGAAAAAGCGACTGTCACTGCGTATTCTAATGGTTTGCCAATATTGTAGGCTCTCCTCCGTGGCGCTCTATCGCAGCAGAGCGCAGTAATTCTAGTCTGCATGGCCATCGATCGGTATCTGAGCGCTCTTCATCCTAACCGATATCACCAGCACTCGAGCAAGAAGGTAAGTCAATTTCATGGCACTTCTTCTCGTGCCATAAATTCCGAAGAAAGCGACTGGACGATCGTCCAGCGCACGCCAAACCCACTCCAGAGATAAGACACTTTATCTAGTGTGCGACGAAGGATGGGGGAAGACAAGACAAGAAGTGAAGCCCTTTTTCCATCTAATATTTTATTATCCATCATCATGGTTTATTGCAGTTCCCATGAAAGTATATCATGGTTCAATTTACTTCTCGCCATTCACATGAGCAATCAATTTATTGCAACATGATAAATATTGACATGGGTTTTCCAGGCAATGTGGCAGAACTTTCCAGTGAAAAGTCTTGTTTGCGTGCGGGGAAGTTATCAAATGAAAATCATGGGTGCTCCACACAATTTTATTATCCATCTACGAGGCAGTGCTCCTTTGCACAGAGAGATCCTTGGCGTCTGATATGGAGAAATGCTGGAGGATTTGTGGATGTTTTGCCACCCCTCCGAGTGAAATGGGTTTGGAGAATAAAATCAAAGTGGAAACAACACGTGATTCGAATAGGAAATTGATAGTCTCGGCACTGAACGGAAAATCATAATACAGCTGACATTGCCAGCGAGGATTCGGCAGAATCAAATAATATTTTATTATTTATTGAAATCTCCATGAAAATTGCACAATCTTTAGGATGATTTTAGCCGATTTTTTTTCGTTGTTGATAAATTCAAGGGTGGAGAATGGAAAGGATATTTCCTCTCAGTGTCTCTTTTGGAGGGGGTGAAATTTCGTGGAACAACAGTACAGACTCTCCTCGCAATGAGTTACATCGCAGAGTCAATTTCAATTTAACTCCCACCTCAGATAATTGCCACCCAAGCGAACACGATGGAGATATTAAGTTCCGTCCAATGACACTTAAAGGCTCTCATCGACTGTTTACCGCAGAACGACTCGCCGCGTTGACTACAAATTTCAGTGAAATTTTCCCCGAGCCTCGGAGCCACTTCACGAATGTGATTTATGACTTGTTTATTTGACTCTAATGCGTCACATATATAACTTATGGATTTATCGTCCTGAGGAGTGTCCGACATGTAAATATATTCTTGAGAGTTTCCCCGAGAGTTTCCGCCACACTTTTCCAATCCACTAAGGAAATTGAATGGGAAGTGAGTGCACTTTTCACCCACGAGCACCGTGAAATATTGAATTTAGAATTGATGCCTGCAATTGTTCGTTAAGCGTTGGATCAGTTTGAATTTTGACGGGTTGTTCAGCATCAGAGCTGTCACAAGCAGCCTTATAATGAAATTTTCAAAACAATTTGCTAAGTTTACAATATCGACGTGCACCTGAGTGTTTTCTCTCCTGAAAAGCTAATAAATTGTCGTGATGCAGCCGGTGAATTCAATATAGAGTGACTGTGAGAGCAATAATAAATCACTTTTGTGTGACGGCAAAATGTTGACTCTTGTGCTCTTCTGTTCCTTTTCAAAATTTAATTATTCATACACAACCTCATGTCTTTGTCGCACAACCATATTTGCCACTTCTTCCACTTCCCCAGGAAATCAATATTTTCCAGCAATTTGCCTACGACACACTTCTTCAGCACCCAGGCTGAAACGGAAGCAATGCAATTTCTTTCCTGAATTCCTAATGTCAGTTTATATTTATATGGAAAGGAAGTCACAAGAGCACCTGATTGAGGGAAAATAAAATTTCCTTGTTAACCATCGACGGCTATGTGAAAAGGCTCCGGTGTGCACACCGTTTCCTATTTTTGCACCGTCAATAGAGGAGTGCCGTCACTATTATTGACGTCTTCATGGATATTCTAAAGTAATCAATCAACAGGTTGCGACGGAGCTTTTGAAAATATTTGCTCTTGCAATGCATCTCAATTTGTTCCTAATTACATTGTGGTCTACTTGCAATTGATGAGGCAAAGAAAATACACTTGTTTCTATAGAATGAATAACGAATTCTGTGTGACTTTTACCCTTTATTCAACCTATGTTAAGTTCCTATAATTGCTTCGTCAGTTGCTCAATTGCTCTTTATCAGAAAAGAGAAGAAATTTGCGAGTTTTCTTATATTCTCTGTAGTTTCTCTCGTCTTTTTTTCATTTTGATAAATAAACATCCTTCATTAAAACTAGTTCAGTTTTTCACGACTTTTTCCAAATTTAAGGGTTGACTAGACACAAACATCAAAGATATATTTTTCTGCAATTAGTTACATTCCTTCCTTTCTCTTGTTCTGAATACATTTCTTTAATTGCTGAACAAATGGTTATTTTACGTATCGTTCCTTTTGATGACAATTGCGAATGGTTTTCGACTTCAAAAGAGTGCATATAACATGAAAGTATTTCAATGAAAAGCTTCCATTTCACCATGCAGAACTGTATAATTGACCACAAATGAAAAGGCGAAGTGAGTGAATATTGATTTTCATAGAATGTGATGAGAAATCTACGAAGAATAAATTGTCCAACACATCACATAACAAACCTTCTAGAGTTGATAGGGAGAAATATGTTCTTCATTCACTGGAAAATATTCACAACAACACGTGAATGACAACATCTCGTGCAGGAGATCAAAATCCAAATTGCGTGCACGTATTGCAGTTAAATATTCCTTTTTTCTGAGCTCTCATCAAAGGACACGACACAGAATCTTGTCAATGGAAGGCTCTTCTGTGCTGTGCGAGGATGAGAAATGTGTGTCAGTGTGTAAAATCCGGTGCCCGCGGCAAATTGATGATTCTGTGAGAGCTTTGGAGAGAAAAGCTCCATCTATTTCTCATTCACTCTTATAAATAAGATGAAGTAGGAATAGAAAACGCCTTGCAACACACTTTTCATTCGCTGTGCTTTCAATTGAAAATCCCCCTTGGAAAATCATCGCAACTGATATCAATTTCCCACTTCATCAAAGCTCGACTTTTTCACTGTCACTTCTTTGTCCCCATTCAGGGGTGTTTTGATGGTGTGCGAGCTGAGAAATAGCGCAACTTGTACGTGAGTTTGACGTCAAAGAAGTTGACTTTAATTGAATATTTTAATATGGCAATAAAATGGTGACACAAATTTATCGCTTGTGCAAATGGGTCAGGAAATTGAGGAAATTTCCTCCCCATTAAAATTACATTTATCAGACTGGATGTTCAGGGGAAATGCCGGCAATGGACTGAGTGTAAAATTCATCAACAAAACTTTTATGAATAATAATTACTTGGGCATGAAACATGGACACGGGAGTGTTGTGTGCTGAAGAAATCACTAGATCTGACCTGGAAAGTGAGCCCTTTTCTTCTTGGTGTGCTTGTGATGAAATTCTTGAATGAAAACACCTGAAGGCGATTCCAGGGAAGATAACAAGCAAGCGAGAGAGGAGAGTCTTGGCAGTTAAATTGAGCTCATTTCATGGGCTGAAAATGAGATCCATTCACTTTGGCTAGGCGAACTGCCAAACAACACTTCGGGACATTTTTCATATTTTTCCAAGCGAAGAGCAAAGAAAGGCTGCAAGCAAAATATAAGAAAACACTTTGCTGGGAATATTTTTCTCATGAATGTGTGTGCTTGTCTCACACAAAAGCCAATGAAGCATCATCTCTATGATATATTGTACTGTCTAACGAGGAGAGACATGACAAAGTGATAAGATGAAAGTTCCATCCCTCCCAGAGAAATTTGTTCATTAAGTTAACATGGGTTGCTGAGATTTCGCATGAAGAACATGAAGTCTGGCGGGGGTGAAATTCAATGGGAAAATTTTCAATAACATGGATTTCATTCAAAGCTCTTCCCTCACACTCCCACCATTAATTGTCTTGGGGAACACCTTCTAGCTCACTTCCGAGGTAAATCAATTACCAAATTGACAATTTTCTCACTCTCTTTGTCGGCGCCTTGGCGGAAAGATGAGATGCTTCACTTAAGAAACAATTTTCATACATCTAACGACACATTTTAGCGCATAAAATCCTCATTTCACGCTCAATTTGAGCATTTAGGGCAAGTTAAGATGATGCTCAGACGATAAATATGCGAAAGATTCTGTCCGTGGCTCATTTTTTTTCCTCCATATTAAAACTTTCGCGACTCCAAGAGCCACAATATGGAGACGTTATATTGCAATCTTGAGGAATATTCCGGGTGGATTTCAGGTTAAGGACACTTTAGAGTTTTGTTGTACGCAAGTTTGCCAGTGTGGAAGCATTCAAAACATTCTAGAAATGCCTTTACAATCTGTATTTTCTTCCCTCTTGGTTCATCTCTTAAGTTTTATTCATAGAAAAGTACATTTTTAGAATAGATATAGAAATTGTACTGAATCCAATGAAATTTATCTCTGTTTTCGGATTTTTCCGTGAAGAAAATGCGTTCTTCACTTCTTTCTGAAGTGTTCAATATTGAACTGCAATAGAGCCAGAAGTGTTTGGATGGAATTCGCAGAGTTTCAATGATTGTTGACTGTATTTCATAAAGAATTGAGGATATAAGTTTGGGGATGCAGTAGATTATCTTACTTTTTCAGAATGCATCCTTAAAGAATATATAGGGTGGAAAAGTTTCCAACTTTCAGACTCATTTAACTGTGGAGCAATTTGTGGGTAATATTTATTTTCTTCTCACTTTTCTGACTCTCCAACAGACAAATCCAGCAGAGTCGCAGTGTGTGAAAGTGTCTGACAGCGAAGAGGAGAAAAAATGGCTATACAAACTGTGAATCCTAATGAAGTTCATGCAATTAGGGGGTGAATTCAAATCTTTTTCTAGAAATATTCACACATCCACTGCCACTGTGATGGCAAGCAATTAGCAGTTTTCTTCGCCACAATCTCCCCAACACTCACATATATTTTCTTGCGCACTCGAAATGTGAACAGAATTTTTCATTTATGACCTGCATCTCCATTCCGGCCAGCGTAGTTTGGAAAATTGAAATTCCACTGCTGCTATTCCAGGACTAAATCATGCAAATTCAGACCACGATGCCCTCGAAAGC